CGCGACTCGGGTTGGCCGGGCTGTTGCAGGTTACTTCCCAGGGATCCTAGGATAGTGCGAGTATAGCCACCCCCAGTCCCCACCATTCTGTAAAGGGCAAATCGAGCCAACGGATGCGAGCGGATGCGAGTCGAGCAAAATCGGTGACTCATTTTGTAACTAGGGGTCAGATAATATATATATATCGATATTTATATATTTTTTGATTATGACATCCAACGTTGTATTTAGTGTTTAGCTTGGCCACTCAGACAGCGTCACCCCAAAACAGACGGATGAACGCAAAAGAACGGAAAAAATGAACCGCGACTCGGGTTGGCCGGGCTGTTGCAGGTTACTTCCCAGGGATCCTAGGATAGTGCGAGTATAGCCACCCCCAGTCCCCACCATTCTGTAAAGGGCAAATCGAGCCAACGGATGCGAGCGGATGCGAGTCGAGCAAAATCGGTGACTCATTTTGTAACTAGGGGTCAGCTTGGACTGCCATTTTGTAACAAAAGCCTTCCTCGGTGAACGTTGGGTTCTGCCAACTTGTAAGAAGGGCACCTTTGGGACGCCGTTCTGTAGCTACAAAATGGGGCTCCCAACCCCTCGGGTCCAATCTGAACGGGGATACATATACATACATACACATACATACACATACATACACATACATACACATACATACACATACATACACATACATACATATACGTACACATACATACACATACATACACATACATACACACATACATACATACATACATACATACGTACATACATACGTACATATACATGTACATACATGTACATACACATACATACATATACATACATATACATACACATACATGCACATACATACACATACATACACATACATACACATACATACACATACATACACATACATACACATACATACACATACATACACATACATACACATACATACACATACATACACATACATACACATACATACACATACATTCACATACATACACATACATACACATACATACACATACATACACATACATACACATACATACACATACATACACATACATACACATACATACACATACATACACATACATACATATACATATACATATACATATACATATACATAATATACATACATATACATACATATACATACATATACATACATATACATACATATACATACATATACATACATATACATGCACATACATGCACATACATGCACATACATGCACATACATGGACAAACATACACATACATGCACATACATACACATCCATACACATACATACACATACATCCCGGCGGGTTGTTTATCGAAACCGCGTTTTCAACGTTTGCAGTGTTTGTCATTGATTTCATGCCACAAATCACAGTGGTTTTGCATCTCTCTCAAAGTTCAATTTCCTTAAAAAGTACGCGCGTACTTTTCACCGGATATGTAAAAACCTCAGCGGCACTCTCTTTTTTTCTGCTCTAAGTGTTCTTCACAATTTCTGCAGTGAGCTTGGAGAGGTTTTTGTGGGAACTGTTTTCCCATCTCCACTGCCAAGCGCGAACATGCGTCCAAATCTTGCCATTGAGCAAGACTAACGTAGACTAACGTAGCATCATATATGTGAGGAAGTGCAAGACGATATACAGTAGCGTTGCATCATGTATGTGAGGAAGTGCAAGACGACGTACACTAGCGTAGCATCATATATTTGAGGAAGTGCAAGACGACGTACAGCAGCATAGCATCATGTATGTGAGGACGTGCAAGAAGACGTACAGCAGCGTAGCATCATGCATGTGAGGAAGTGCAAAAAGACGTACAGCAGCGTAGCATCATGTATGTCAGGCAGTGCAAATGAACGTTATTACCCCACCCCACCCCACCCCATCACACCACGTTAACCCCATGAAAGACATAGAAACATGCAAAACGCTGGTTCGGTTTTCAACCCGTAGGCACATACATACATACATACATACATACATACATACATACATACATACATACATACATACACATAGACATAGACATACACATGCACATACACACACACATAGACATAGACATACACATACACATACACATACATACATACACATACACATACACATACAGATACACATACATACATACACATACAGATACACATACATACATATACATACAGATACACATACATACATACACATACAGATACACATACATACATATACATACAGATACACATATAGATACACATACAGATACACATACAGATACACATACAGATACACATACAGATACACATACAGATACACATACAGATACACATACAGATACACATACAGATACACATACAGATACACATACAGATACACATACAGATACACATACAGATACACATACATACACATACATACACATACATACACATACATTTACATATACATATACATACACACATACATACATACATACATACATACATACATACATACATACACACACATATACACATACACACATACACATACACACATACACAGACACAGACACATACACATACATGCATACATGCATACATGCATACATGCATCCATGCATCCATGCATACATGCATACATGCATACATACATACATACACATTCACATACATACATGCATACATCCATACATGCATACATCCATACATGCATACATGCATACATGCATGCATGCATAAATGCATACATGCATAAATGCATACGTACATACATACATGCATGCATGCATGCATGCATGCATACATACATACATAGATACACATATATATATATATATATAAATATTAACTATGATATATTATCAAAATTCACGAGCTCCTGGGATTTTGTGATTTTTAGGGAGTATTGGATATCAAGGTCAAGATGCAATATTTGGTGCAGTGTACGCGCACAAGGGTCGCACGAAAAAACTAGCGTCATGGTTTGCACGGGTTTACACTGGATCAGCCTTCCATCAATGGATTTGGTCCAATTAATCGTTCAGCCCACAGTGAAACGGTCGGAAACAGTCGGAAACGGTCGGAAACGGTCGGAAACATGATCAGGCCAAAACTTGTCCAACCCGCATTTTTTTTAAAATAAGCATTTCCGCGCAATGCCGTTTTTTTTTTTGAAGGTCCAAAGGTGTCCAAGGGGAAACGGTTGGAAACAGTCGGAGATCGCACCTTCGCTCGGCCAAACTAGACGACGGATGGCCCGAGAGCGTAGAGGAGCAGGGTCTTCTCTTGTTAGTATGGAGATGCAATTTTAGAAACGGTATATGAAAGCTGTGTTATAGGCAGTCGAGAAGAGGAGTATCAAGACAAAATAGTGAGAAGTGCAAGAGACAATAGTTTGCATCGCAAACACTTTTACACACAGACGCTTTTACACAGACGCTTTTACACACAAAGCTTTTACCCACAGAAGCTTTTACACACAGAAGCTTTTACAGACAGAAGCTTTTACATACAGCAGCTTTTACATACAGAAGCTTTTACACACAGACGCTTCTACACAGACACTTTTACACACAGACACGTTTACACACAGACACTTTTACACACAGACCCTTTTACACACAGGAGCTGCTTTTACACACAAACGCTTGTACACACAGAAGCTTTTACACATAGACGCTTTTACACACAGGCACTTTTACACAGAAACACTGTTACACACAAACAGTTTTACACACAGACGCTTTTACACACAGACGCTTTTTACACACAAACGCTTTGACACACGGACGCTTTTACACACAGACGCTTTTACACACAGACCCTTTTACACACAGACGCCTTTACACACAGACACTTTTACACACAGACGCTTTTTACACAGAGACACTTTTTACACACAGACGCTTTGACACACAAACACATTTACACACAGACGGTTTTACACACAGACGCTTTTTACACACAGACGCTTTTTACACAGACGCTTTGACACACAAACACATTTACACACAGAGGCTTTTACACACAAACGCTTTTACACAAACACTTTTACACACAAACACTTTTACACACAGACGCTTTTACACACAGACGCTTTTACACACAGAGACTTTTACACACAGCGACACTTTTACACACAGAAGCTTTTACACACAGACGCTTTTACACACAGACGCTTTTACACACAAACACTTTTACTTACAAACACTTTTACACACAGACGCTTTTACACACAGACGCTTTTACACACAGACGCTTTGACACACAGACGCTTTTACACACAGAAGCTTTTACACACAAGTAAAATCGCAATTTTTCCTCAGTTTTTGACGATCGACCCTCATTTCGTGCGAAAGGGTTGCTCCGGCACAAGTAAAATCGCAATTTTTCCTCAGTTTTTGCCGATCGACCCTCATTTCGTGCGAAAGGGTTGCTCGGGGGCAAGTCAAATCGCAATTTTTCGTCAGTTTTTGACGATCGACCCTCATTTCGTGCGAAAGGGTTGCTCGGGGGCAAGTCAAATCGCAATTTTTCCTCAGTTTTTGACGATCGACCCTCATTTCGTGCGAAAGGGTTGCTCGGGGGCAAGTCAAATCGCAATTTTACCTCAGTTTTTGACGATCGACCCTCATTTCGTGCGAAAGGGTTGCTCCAGCACAAGTCAAATCGCAATTTTACCTCAGTTTTTGCCGATCGACCCTCATTTCGTGCGAAAGGGTTGCTCGGGGGCAAGTAAAATCGCAATTTTTCCTCAGTTTTTGACGATCGACCCTCATTTCGTGCGAAAGGGTTGCTCCGGCACAAGTCAAATCGCAATTTTTCGTCAGTTTTTGCCGATCGACCCTCATTTCGTGCGAAAGGGTTGCTCCGGCACAAGTCAAATCGCAATTTTTCGTCAGTTTTTGCCGATCGACCCTCATTTCGTGCGAAAGGGTTGACGTTTCGTGACTCGCCGCCGGCACCACCCTCGGCCTTAAGAGAGAAAGATAAAAAGAAGGCGTGAGAGAGAAGGTGAGCAGGTGTGAAGATGAGCAGATGTGAAGATGAGAAGATGTGAAGATGGGAAGGTGTGAAGATGAGCAGATGTGAAGATGAGCAGATGTGAAGATGAGCAGATGTGAAGATGAGCAGATGTGAAAATGAGAAGATGTGAAGATGAGCAGATGTGAAGATGAGAAGATGTGAAGATGGGAAGGTGTGAAGATGAGCAATGTGAAGATGAGCAGATGTGAAGATGAGCAGATGTGAAAATGAGAAGATGTGAAGATGAGCAGATGTGAAGATGAGAAGATGTGAAGATGGGAAGGTGTGAAGATGAGCAGATGTGAAGATGAGCAGATGTGAAGATGAGAAGATGTGAAGATGGGAAGGTGTGAAGATGCAGATGTGAAGATGGGAAGGTGTGAAGATGAGCAGATGTGAAGATGAGAGGATGTGAAGATGAGAGGATTTGAAGATGAGCAGATGTGAAGATGAGAGGATGTGAAGATGAGAGGATGTAAAGATGAAAAGATGTGAAGATGAGAGGATGTGAAGATGAGAGGATGTAAAGATGAAAAGATGTGAAGATGAGAGGATGTGAAGATGAGATGTGAAGATGAGAGGATGTGAAGATGAGATGTGAAGATGAGAAGATGTTTTACAGACCCCCACTATTGGAAGAACCCTGCGCTCAGACGCTCTCGGGAAAAAACATGTTTTTACATAATTTTACATAAACGTGAAAAGCGAGTGAAAAGGCTGTGAAAGTCCCGTGAAAATATGGTTCTGGATGTTTTCCATAATTTCCAGTAACATTTTCCTTTCGAAGCGCTGGGTATGTACATATATATATATATGCATACATACATATATATATATATATGCATATATATATAATTACAGATATGTATATTTATGTATATATATATTTACACATGGGTATATTTCTATGGGTGCGTCTGAGAATGAGGAATCCCCCCAAATGGCCGGTGAAATAGGGAAATTGGGTGTCGCTTGCCACTATGGGACGTTCGACCATTGGCACATACGGGTAGCTTAGTACAGTGAAGGATTTGGTAGATTCTGCCTAGTTTCTGTTTGAGCAAATATCGTGGTTTAACCAAGATATAACAGGGAATTCAGCATCGAAAGTATGGGACTGGTGCTAGTAGTTGGATGTACAGCTTTATCTCTTTCCACTTTTATGAACATACCCCATTTAACATGCCGAATAGTGTTCAGTTCACAATGAATTGCATTCATAGTTCACCATAAACATCCATAAAACCCATTTAACTCTCATGGTTATTCGTCAAAACCCGTACCTTAGGTACAAAATAATTGCTTAGTGGCTTAGTGGATGTTTCTTCCCCCAAAATCTGGTAATTCGTTGGATGGTTGCGAAATCCTGCACCAGTTGAGAGGTGCTTTATCCCGTTATTTACGGGTCTCAACCATCCTTTTGGTGATGCAGAATTTCGCAACAATCTAAACTTTTCATAGGTTTTGGCCCATCCCCATATGTTCAATGGTTGAATCCCTAGATCCGTTTGGCACCCGGTCGGATGCGAGGTTCCTCGAAGCTCGTGGTCAGCAACATGGAAACTGGTTGCTCCATTTTCATGACGACCATAGAGCTGACTTGCAAAGACAGAGACTTCAGAGTGGTTTCATTCAGCTGTAGGGTTACCATTTCTGGTTGGTGGTTTGGAAGATGAATTTTATGACGTTCCATATATTGGGAATAATCATCCCAACTGACTTTCTCGGAAACCCACAGTTGTGCCCCTTTGCGAGTTATAAGTCAGTTATAACCTCATTTAGGGAATTAGAACCCTTTATAACCATCGACAACGATTATTGACCATTAATAACTGGTATTTCAGGCCTTAGCTGCAACAATTTGATTTGGCATGATTTTTCTGTCTCATTTCCATCAGGCTCGGCCACTTGAGTCCCAGTTGAGGACTCAAACACGGAAATGGGAAATCCCCGATAAAAATCGAGATTTACGGGGAAAGCCATGCCCAAATGCTCCATGGTGCTGGAATATTTACCCAAAATTGCCCGAACAAAATCACGCAGTTTTGTAGGTAAATACACCAGCACCATGGTTCGCATATGGAATGTATAACTGGTGGGATTTTCCATTGGTATTGACGGGTTTATGAAAAATTACTTTACTTCGTGTGATCCCCACCATGACATTTATACATTTTCTTACTGGCAAATCTTCTGGCATTCTATCTGACATATCTTCTGACATTCTATTTGACATTCTATCTGGCATATCTTCTGGCATATGATCTGGCATATCTTCTGGCATATCTTCTGGCATTCTATCTGGCAAATCTTCTGGCATTCTATCTGGCATATCTTCTGGCACTCTATCTGACATATCTTCTGGCATTCTATCTGGCATATCTTCTGCCATATATTCTGACATATCTTCTGGCACTCTATCTGACATATCTTCTGGCATATATTCTGACATATCTTCTGGCATATCTTCTGGCATATCTTCTGGCATATCTTCTGACATATCTATCTGGCATATCTTCTGGCATATTATCTGGCATTCTATCTGGCATATCTTCTGGCATATATTCTGACATATCTTCTGGCATTCTATCTGGCATTCTATCTGGCATTCTATTTGGCATTCTATCTGGCATATCTTCTGGCATATCTTCTGACATTCTTTCTGACATTCTTTCTAACTTTCTTCTGCACATTCTTGTCCCATATCTTCCTACATGAGGTCCGGCAGGGAACACTTGGCGTGGATACTCGCGGTTGAGGTCCGGCAGGGAACACTGGGCGGGGATACTCGCGGTTGAGGTCCGGCAGGGAACACTGGGCGCGGATGGTCGTGGTTGAGGTCCGGCAGGGAACACTGGGCGGGGATGGTCGTGGTTGAGGTCCGGCAGGGAACACTGGGCGTGGATGGTCGTGGTTGAGGTCTGGCAGGGAACACTGGGCGTGGATGGTCGTGGTTGAGGTCCGGCAGAGAACACTGTGGATCGCGGGTCGCAGTTGAGCAAGGACGACGAGGACGACGAGGAGGACGAGGAGGAGGAGGAGAAGAGGCGGAGGAGGAGGAGAAGGAGGAGAAGGAGGAGGAGAAGGAGGACGAGGAGGCAACTGACATAAAATCTAACAACCCTCACCTGGCAGGTGGGGAAAAACCTTGGAAATCCTGCGGATTTCCTGCAGGGAGACGGCCGTCAATCCAGCAACCAATGAGGCAACCCGATGGGCAATCCGCCATCCAATGCTTTTCACACTGTGGTGAATTGCCTGAACATGGATCCGACCAAAGCCAGTCGTGTGAAGATCAAAGGACGGGGGTGCTCCAAGTTATGGAAACGATACATGGTATATATATATGTATATATATATATACATATAGCCTCCAGTAAACTAAGATAGCAATGGAACATGGACCATTTATAGTACTGTTTTATCTATCTATCTTTCTTTCTTTCTTTCTTTCTTTCTTTCTTTCTCAATATCTATTTATCTATCTACTTATCTTTCTATCTATCTATCTATCTTTCTTTCTTTCTTATCTGTCTATCTATCTATCTATCTATCTATCTATTTATCTATCTATCCTATCTATCTATCTATCTATCTATCTATCTATCTATCTATCTATCTATCTATCTATCTATCTATCTATCTATCTATCTATCTATCTATCTATCTATCTATCTAGCCTATCTATCTATCCTATCTATCTACCTATCTATCTATCTATCTACCTATCTAATCTCTCTTATCTATCTTATCTATCTTATCTATCTTACCTATCTTTTCTATCTTTTCTATCGTTTCTATCTTTTCTATCTTTTCTATCTTTTCTATCTTATCTATCTTAGCTATCTACCCATCCATTTTTCTATCTATCCATGTATCTTATCCTATCTTATCCTATCTTATCCTATCTTATCCTATCTTATCCTATCTTATCCTTTCTTATCCTTTCTTATCCTATCTTATCCTATCTTATCCTATCTTATCCTATCTTATCCTATCTTATCCTTTCTTATCCTTTCTTATCCTATCTTAACCTATCTTATCCTATCTTATCCTATCTTTTCCTATCTTACCCTATCTTACCCTATCTTATCCTATCTTATCCTATCTTATCCTATCTTATCCTATCTTATCCTGTCTTATCCTATCTTATCCTATCTTATCCTATCTTACCCTATCTTATCCTATCTTATCCTATCTATCTATCTATCTACCTATCTATCTATCTATCTAGCCTATCTATCTATCCTATCTATCTACCTATCTATCTATCTATCTACCTATCTATCTAATCTATCTTATCTATCTTACCTATCTTTTCTATCTTTTCTATCGTTTCTATCGTTTCTATCTTTTCTATATTTTCTATCTTTTCTATCTTATCTATCTTAGCTATCTACCCATCCATTTTTCTATCTATCTATCTTACCCTATCTTACCCTATCTTATCCTATCTTATCCTATCTTATCCTATCTTATCCTTTCTTATCCTATCTTATCCTATCTTATCCTATCTTATCCTATCTTATCCTATCTTATCCTATCTTATCCTATCTTATCTTATCTATATCTTATCCTATCTTATCCTATCTTATCTTATCCCTATCTTATCCTATCTTATCCTATCTTATCCTATCTTATCCTATCTTATCCTATCTTATCCTATCTTATCCTATCTTATCCTGTCTTATCCTATCTTATCCTATCTTATCCTATCTTATCCTATCTTATCCTATCTTATCCTATCTATCTATCTACCTATCTATCTATCTATCTATCTATCTAATCGATCTAATTGATCTAATCGATCTAATCTATCTAATCAAACTAATCAATCTAATCGATCTAATCGATCAAATCGGTCTAATCGATCTAATCTATCTAATCTAACCTAATCAAATCTTATCTGATCTTATTTTATCTTATCTTTTCCTACCATATCTATCTACCTATCTATCTTTCTTATCTATCTTATCTATCTTATCTATCTTATCAATCTTATCTAGCTATCTTTCTTATCAATCTGATCTATCTTATCTATGTATCTATCTATCTATCTACCTATCTATCTTTCTTTTCTATCTTATCTATCTTATCTATCTTATCAATCTTATCTAGCTATCTTTCTTATCAATCTGATCTATCTTATCTATGTATCTATCTATCTATCTACCTATCTATCTATCTATCTATCTTTCTATCTATCTATCTAACTGTCTATCTATCTATCTATCTTTCTATCTTATCCATCTTATCCTATCTTATCCTATCTTATCCTATCTTATCCTATCTTACCCTATCTTATCCTACCTTATCCTGTCTTATCCTATCTTATCCTATCTTATCCTATCTTATCCTATCTTATCCTATCTATCTATCTACCTATCTATCTATCTATCTATCGATCTAATCGATCTAATCGATCTAATCGATCTAATCGATCTAACCGATCTAATCGATCTAATCGATCTAATCGATCTTATTTATCGTTTCTATCGTTTCTATCTTTTCTATTTTTTTTAACTTTTCTGTCTTTTCTATCTTGTCTATCTTTTCTATCTTATCTATCTTTTTTTTCTTACCTCTCTTATCTATCTTATCTTTCTATCTATCTATCTAGCTATCTGCCTGTCTATCCATTCAGTTTTCTATCTATCTATCTATCTTTCTATCTTTCTATCTTTCTTTCTATCTAGATCTATCTATATATCTATCTATCTGTCTATCTATCGATCTATCGATCTATCTATCTGATCGATCTAATCGATCTAATCGATCTAATCTATCTAATCTATCTTATCCATCTTTTCTATCGTTTCTATCGTTTTTATCTTTTCTATCTTTTCTATCTTGTCTTTCTATCTATCTATCTAGCTATCTGTCTGTCTATCCATCCATTTTTCTATCTATCTATCTATCTTTCTATCTTTCTATCGTTCTATCTTTCTAGATCTATCTATCTTTCTATCGATCTACCTATTATCTACCTATCTATCTAATCGATCTAATCGATCTAATCGATCTAATCGATCTTCTCTATCGTTTCTATCGTTTCTATCTTTTCTATCTTATCTATCTTATCTATCTTATCTATCTTATCTATCTATCTATCTAGCTATCCATCTGTCTATCCATCCAGTTTTCTATCTATCTATCTTTCCATCTATCTATCTAATCGATCTAATTGATCTATCTATCTTATCTATCTATCTATTTATCTATCTATCTATCTATTTATCTATGTATCTTTCTAGATCCATCTATCTATCTATCTATCTATCTATCTATCTATCTATCTATCTATCTATCTAATCAATCTAATCGATCTAATCGATCGAAACGATCTTATCTATCTTATCTATCTTCTCTATCGTTTCTATCTTTTCTATCTTATCTATCTTATCTATCTTATCTATCTTATCTATCTATCTATCTAGCTATCTATCTGTCTATCCATCCAGTTTTCTATCTATCTATCTATCTATCCATCTATCTATCTAGCTATCTATCTATCTCATCTGTCTATCTAACTGTGTATCTAGCAATCTACCCATCTACCTCTCTGTCTATCTATCTCTCTGTCTGTCTGTCTATCTACCTGTCTATCTGCCAGCTTGAACACCGAGCTATTCTGCGAGACTTTCTCAGTTTTCGAAGTTGACAACATCAAAAACGCAGCAATTGTGCAAGACTTCTTCATTTTTTGAAGTGAACAACATTCAAAACGAAGTAATTCTGTGAGACTTCTTCAATTTTTGAATTTGACAACATCAAAAACAAAGCAATTCTGCGAGCTTTCCTTCAAAATCGAAAGTTGAGTGCAGCGCTGACGGCCTCGTACCAATTCGTTTTGCGATTTTTCCACTCCACCTGTCTAAAGTACTGCGCCTGCCACGAAAAATTGAGGACAGGTCATACGAAGTGCTGCACCTGTCACGCAAAATCATCTTAGCAAACCTACAGATCTGATGCTCCAAAATGCAGCCTCTCTCAGGAAATCAGCGCCCTGACCTCCTAACATCTCTGATGAATATGTCTTTTGTACTGCGTGTGCCACGCGGAATGCATCTTTGAAGATCCTCTTCAAATGCCCCATGCCTGCCATCGTTTTTGGAAATGCTACAAAACCCTCACGTTTTGCTCACTTGTGACAAGGTGCACAATCCTTTGCGCCTGCCACGCGAAAGCACATCTGAACGTCCAAAAGTGTTCCGTACCCCCTCAGATTTTTGCACTTTTGTCTTGGAAATGTGCTTCGCACCACACCGGCGTGCACTTTTTTGACATCGCAACTTCCAAAAGTGGTCCGAGCATGGTGTGTTTTGTACATTTTGACTTGGAAATGTGCTTCGCGCCACAATGATGGCGTGCACTTTTTCGACATCTCAACTTGCAAAGGTGGTCCGAACATGGTGTGTTTTTTGGTACATTTTGACTTGGAAATTTGCTTCGCGCCACAATGATGGCGTGCAATTTTTCGACATCTCAACTTGCAAAGTGGTCCGAAAATGGTGTGTTTTGTACATTTTGACTTCGAAATTTGCTTCGCGCCACAATGGCGTGCAATTTTTCATCTCTCATCTGGCCAGCTGGCTCCGCACCCGCCGCTTTAGCGAGCCTACTTTTCCACCCTCCGGAGCCACAAATCATTGGAAAAACACAGTTTTTCGCGACTTTCCTACCTTTTCGCGCATCCGCCTCTTCTTTCTTCCAACTCTTTCTCTTCTTTGACCTTCTCTCTTCTACTCTTCTATTCTCTCTGACTCTGCCCATCTCTGCTTTTCATCTGTCCATATTGTCGGAAGTTTGACTTCTAAACCTCCTTCGATCAGGGTGTTTCTCTTTTCCATAGTTATGTTATAGTTTACCAGAGGGTATCCACGTTTTGGATCCTTTCCTTCAGCCTAACAGTTGGCTATCACAACTGGAGCTGCAGTTGAGGTTTCGATTGGATACTACTGGAGGTTTCCATAGGGGTACCCCTTTGCATCATCCATTTTAGATTGGGATTTTCCACTATGAACCATCCAGCTATTGGTGGTACCCCCATGTATGGAACCCACATGTCTGAACACAATGGAACCCCAACCATGGTGAACTCAAACCCCATCAGTTGGGCAAAACCATGCCATGTTTACCATCCCCCAGTCACCATAGGTGGTATGTTTACCATTACCACATGGGTGGTTTATTGTTTTACCCACAGTTTTGCATCGAGTTATATCCACTGCTACTGGAACAGCACTTCCAGGCGGAATCCGCCCGTTTTTTTCACAATGCTATGGGTTGCAAAATCCAGGGCCTGGCAGTTGGCAACTGGTAACAATAAGTAACAATGAAACTGTGCAGAAACACTGTAAATCATGGATTTTTCTTCGGAATGAGCCACCAGTTCTGGTGAAGGGTTTCGCTCATCCTCCAGATCCCATCATCATCATCATCATCATCATCAACCATCATTAAACATTCATCAACCATGTTTTATCATCAACATCACCATTCCTTATACCCATAGTAATGACGTAACTTTAGCTTGCGACTCGTTCAGGAGCCTAAGAGAGGCTGTACCCGTAGCTACTGTAGCATATCAAGCCATACTTCACTGGCTGGTGGTTTGGAACATTTTGTATTTTCCATAATATATGGGATGTCATCCTTCCCATTGACTTTCATATTTTTCAAGATGGTTATTGCGCCACCAACCAGTATATACATATCATATATATATATATTGATATAGATATTCCCATAGTCATTTAACTATACTAATCTCCAACTCAATCAGTTATATACTATACTAATCACCAACTCAAGCCATACTTCATCATCTGCCTGGAGGAAGTGACTCCTGTGGGAAGCTGACCTCCACTCAATACTTTGCGGCTGACGATTCCGTAAGCATGGGAAGCGGAAGTGTTGAGATTAAGCCGGGACAAGTGGCGAACCTCACGTGTGTCTGGGCAACGGTTCAGTCTTTGAAGTGGCGTGTGTATGCAGTTAGCAATTTTTTGTACATTTAGTTGATTTTGATTGCATATTTGACATATTGTAATATATAATACGATATTTGAGTTATAATCAGATGTGTAGTGTGTATATATATATACGTTATATACTATTTATACGCAGTAGTAGTAATCATAAAGCACCGTTTATACTATATATATATACTATTTATTTAATGATGATGGACATACCTATATTCCATCCCGAATTTAACATCTTTAAATTCTCTTTTTTTTGGGATTCCGGGTGCAGAACCATCGCAGTTGAGGTGTTCTCCTGCCCTTCCCCATTGGAAACTCCGCCGAAAAGCGACCCGGAGAAGATAACTTCGCCACGTCCAACGACGTTAAACTGGACTTTGCAGCCCAACACTTTGATAAGGAGACGAATCTGGCAAAAACTTTTAGTAAGGACTTTGACGGGGATTTAATGGAACATCCCGGGGGATACCATGGGAAAACCATGAAATATCACTGGTTATAATGGGAATATCATGGAATATGGTGATTTTATGGAAATTTACTAGGTCCATCTTGGATGGGTAGAAATTAATCCTTTAGTCTTGGATGGTATCAATGGGATATTTACGTTCACCGGCTAAGAATTTATATTTTTTTTGCAGGGTATCTAAAGATTGGCCATGATAGGATTCGTCGGACCTAATGGGATTTAAAAGCCCCCCAGTGATGTTTGTTGGTTTGAAGTGAAATTAGGAAGTGAATGACCTGGAAGGGCTGAGTCCATGTTTTTTTTCGTGCCAGGAATTCCACTAGAAATTGGGAATCTATAAGAAATATGTTTTAGTTCTCTGGTAATTTAACATAGCTATGGAAAATCACCATTTTTAATGGGAAAACTCACTATAAATGGGTAAATCAACTACTTCTATGGCCATTTTCAATAGCTATGTTAAATTACCGGAGGGTAGTTCTTTGGGGTTCCCATTTTTATGGGTTGTGACCTGGCTGGGTTTGCGCCATCGGCGCCACTGTGGGAGGTTCGGCAACGATATGTTGGTGTCCCAATGCGAGGGGAAAATGTTTTGTTTTTGAGGAACAGGGCCTGCAGTTGTGGCCGTGTACCAATTCTAAATGATTATAACTGGTTATAAGTGGGATTCCATTTTTATGGTGTTTTCTCAGTATTTACAACTTGTAACTGTTATTTCGGGCCTGAACTGTAGAAAGCAAATCCAATTGATTAGTTTTCTTGATTGGGACTAATTCTTTTTGGGGGATTTAACCATCAAACATGGGGATACAGTGGATGTGTGTATATCTATATACCCTCTGGTAAACGTTTACATAACTATGGAAAATCACCACTTTATAGCAGGGTAAATCAACTAGAAAGGACCATTTTCAATAGCAAACTGTTGGTTTACCAGAGGGTATACATGATCAATGACGATCTGGTTGGTGGTTTCATGTATGTCTTAATTTTTCCACCACTTGTCGGGGATATTAAAGGGGATATGATGATATACGGGTGTATCTGAAAACGGCGGATAATTTTAACCATGAAATCTTGAGGTTTTCATCCAAGCAAACCAGACAAACTCAGGTTGTCTGCGCCCCAGAAACAGGGCTGCGCCAGGCTAGTATTTTGTAAATGATAGCCACCCTGAAATTGGAGGTGTTAAATTGTTAACATGTGCTAACTCTTTATCCAATGGAAGCCCCGTGGGGTGTATTCGGAACCTTGAGACATGCTATGATCCCAACAGACTTGAGATTTTTCAGGAAATCCGCGGCTCAGGAAACGCTTGGAGGGTGGCAGCCAGTCGGTGTCCATTGGAACGGTGAAGTTTTTGCAAGATCCGGAAAAGGCGCCCCTGATGTTCGAGGTACCCTTAAACCATCAGTTGGCTAGCTGGACAATCACCCTTTTAAGAGGCTTATTTTCATGTATAAATGGTATTTTTCTGTGATTGTTTGAATGATTGTTATGTGTTATTATGTGATGTTACACTCCGGTAAACTACCATGGCTAGCTAGAAAATTGCCATTTATAGGTGATTTACATATTGAACATCATCTACAAATCATCAAATTTTCTATAAAGAGTTAAATAATCACATAATCTTTCAACGGGCCATTTTGCATAGCTGTGTTAGTTTACTGGAGGGTACCCTTCGGTACTCAAACATGATTTGCTGGAAGATACCCCCTCTTAATATCCTCGCTTTTTGGTGTGTTTTTATAAGGTACCCACTTTTGTAGGGGGGGTCAAAAATCCGTATAAACCAGAGGGTTTTCCTTTTTGATGCGATGTAATCAATAACCATTCTATAAACTGCCCCAATCTTGTGGTGTTATAAAATGACAAATCCTTTGGAATGCAAAAAACGGGTCACAAACATTCGATTTGTGTTTTACTAAAAAGAAACAACAACACCCTCAAAAAATGATGGTTCATCTTTAACCTGTTTGGATTGACCTGGTATACGAATTTCGTAAGAATAGAGCAGATACCTCTTATAAAATGATAATTCCATGTCATTCTGTGGAGTGTACAGGACTCACATTTTACACATATATCATCACATGATTGTTCAAAATTCAAGACAACTCAAAATCATTGAGCACCTCAAACCTTCTGAAACAAAAACACAACAAAAATTGCAAGAGAACAAAGCACAATGTTTGCCCAGGATTCAGTAGTTTATAGTCCAATATAACAGTATACAGATGTATAAGGAATTATAATGATGCATATAGATAGATGTACATATGTGGTATTATGTAATTATAAAATGCAAATAATGTCATGTCATTCTTGCCACAACACATGATTATCATTTCATCTGAGGGAGGCTGCCCCCCAGGTTCTAGCAGCAAACATGACTTGCATTTGGCATTTCATAAGGCCCAAACTGTTGCAGGTAGCAGATCTACCTTTTTTTAATAGTGTTTTATCTGTTGCTTGTTAGCTGTGACCTGAGAAACAATTTGCCATTTTATAAGTTTTCTTAAGCTATCTGCATGTGTGCAAGAAATCATTTGTTTTTATCATGTTTTAAGGCACACTTTCTTTTTCACTGTCCTTTTCTTTTGAAAATTGCATTATTACCAGCAAAAACTGAGAAACGAGAACCCGGAGAAATTGCTGCAAAGTTTTTTTCTTATAAATAAAATGATCTGGTGATCGGTCTATACATCTATTACATCTATCAAATGCGTCCTTCATCAAATTTCTCCTGAACAAACCGATGATTACTGATCTTTTCCCATCTTTGCATGGAGACCCGCAGATTCTGTGTGTCGAAGCTCGAAGAATTTGGTCACTGTCACAGACTCCATGCAGAAGCCCAGCTAGAACAATTGCCTTGTTTTTTTTCGGTTCCGGTTTGGCTGAACGCTACACCAGAAGTGCAATTTTATAAATTTAAAGAATTGCCAATTTATAAAGGATATATTGGAATTGCCATTTTTTAAGGAGGGGCATCATTTTATGAAGAATGTTTTTATAAACTTGCGGTACCCGCCATATATTTGATAAAATCTCTATGGTTTATTTTACCCTCCAGTAAACTAACACAGCTAATTATTGAAAACTGGCATTTACTTCGATGGTTTACATATCAAACAAGGTGATTTTCAGTTCTGTCAGTTTACGGGGTAGCTTTGACAAGTCGCATGGGCTTCTTTGATGTGAGATCTGGCATACTTAACATTCCCAAGACTTGGAATCTGTAGAAATTGATTGGCACTACTCTTAGTTTTCCCCACGAAGGTGATCAGAGGCATTCAACTTGACCCCGGGTGACACAATGCTAAGGGTTTAAGAGCTGGGCCAATCTTCATCAATGGATTTTTTAAGTGATTGACCCTGAGGTTGGCAGAATCCCAATTCGTCACCGTTGTTTTTGCTATGTATCTCATATTCCCATAGAATATCCCATTTTACCCTATCTTAATCATCTATTTTAGTTAAGAGTTAAGACGCCCGTTCGCACTAAACTCGGATGATCTGACATTCTCTTTGCAGAAAGTACTTGTTCAGGTGTTTTTATATAATATGATCATCTATTTGTTTTTGCCTTGCTTAAAGGTTATATATCAAACCCGTGGTGCCCTTCCGTAATCAGCCATGGCAATTGGAAATAGCGTGACAACCAATGGTTTTTTTCAAATGAGCAGTGTTCAAATCCCCTGCTGGTTGATGATTAGTTCGGGGATTATATTACCCAGTAGACTGGAGATTATAATAAGCCAATAGGGGCATCCCGTTCTTAACCAACCGGTATAATGGAGTGACAGATGGATTTTGAACACTGCTCAAATGGAACATCATCGAACTAAATGGTGGATGTTCATCGTCATGTTTTAAACAACTGAATGGTACATTGCTACCATTCAAGTCCAACATGGGCAACGTTGAAATAACGGATTTTTTTTTGCTGCAAAGTGAGGCCTCCTAGTGCTACATTGTTTTATAAACCCAATTGAGTATATTTAATAGTTATAAGTATCATGAACCGTAGCTACTGGAGTTATAAACCAACTTAACTATCGTTTGGGGGGCCTATGTTCTAACCATTTTTCTGCAGGGTATCTAAGAGTAGCCATGTTTATACCCATTCATTTGGAGATGGGTCAAAACATGAAATAGCCATATTTTGAGGAATAAACATCCATTCGCCAGCTATTTCAGGATACCATCCGGGTCCTAGGGTTTTGACTCGTCGCCAGTTAAGTTATGGGAATTCAACCAATCAATGGAATTTTCAGGAACCTGAAATGGAGGTACTGTCCCATATAAGGCCATATTTTGCGGGGATATTCCCTTACATAGCCCTTACATATGGTAGGTACCTCCAATCAATCGGTTCCTGACATGGGAATTCAACTTCTCCAAGCGTGAGCCTCCGCTGCTTGGGACACAACATGTTGTTGTTGTGTTGAATCCCAGATCGCTGGTCATACCAGTATATCAGCCACATAGTGATAGGAATAGAAGATCATTAAGATATGAACTATAAACAGAGTATTAATAGTAATTAATAATAATAGCAATTATTAGTAATCAATAGTAAGTAATGAATAGTAATTAATTGTAATTAATAGTAACTAATATAGTAATTAATAGGTTGTTTATGTTGATTAACTGGTTCTTGATCAACCCATTTTTACTAGTAATTCATAGCAATAGACTCATATTAATCATAACAATAGTAGTAACAGTAGGATATTAAGAATAACATATTAACAGTAATATTCCATCATACCTCATGAAGAAAAAGACGCCATGTTCGTTGCTTAAATACCCAGTTTACATGCACCAAATGCACAAAATATCCCAGGCCCATGGTGGATTATATGGCTACGTACCAACACCTTCACAATGAAAAAGCAACAATCCACGGTTGGATGGAAAATAGCCCAGCGTATGTATCAATAAATTGTACCAGAAATCATAACTTGCATCATAGATCTTCATCCATGCAGTTAAGGCCCGAAATACCAGGTATTTATAAGTACTAAGAAACGCCATAAAAATGGAATGTATAGTCCCACTTATAACCAGTTATAACCATTTAGAACTGGTAAACGGCCACAACTGTAGGCCCGTAGGCCCTGTTCCTCAAAAACAAAAACTTTTCCCCTTGGATCCTGATGGTTACTCATTGGGACACCAACTCATTTGGAATTGGTAAACGGCCATCCCAGCGATTGGGTGTGATTTTGCTCAGACGGGGATGATCATAGAAACCAGCGGCGCTGCTATAGGTGCTGCTGTTGGGATATAGATATATAAATACATGTGCATGTATATGTATTTATATATATATATATGTGTGTATACATGTGTATATATATATATAGACATATATATATATATATGTATGTATATATATATAGACATATATATGTATGTATATATATACATATATATATATTTATGTATATCTTTATGTATGTAACTATGTAATGTAATGTAATGTAATGTAATGTAAAGTAAAATGTAATGTAAAATGTAATGTAAAATGTAATGTAAAATGTAATGTAATGTAATGTAATGTAATGTAATGTAATGTAATGTAATGTAATGTAATGTAATGGTATGTAATGTATGTATGTATGTATGTATGATCCCCCCCCTTTAACCCTGGAATATTTGGGGGGGGTAAGGCAAGAAATTTCTGAGAAATATTTCACCTGACCACGTGAAATATACCCCCCCCCCCACGTATTTTTTTGGGCTTCTAAAAGACGTGGGGGGGGTTCCTCCGGACGCTGTTCCTTTTTGGACCTTTTTAGTCCTCACGCGGGTAGGGCCCATGCGCAAACACTGACAACTAGGTAAATGGTAACTGCCGGCTTCCAAGGAAGTAAATAAGAGAGTGAACTTGCCAAACAGCCTTCAGAACATGACGTTCAGCCTTGAATTCAACCACGCCCAAAGCCATTATAGACCAGAATTTTTTAGCTGAAATATTTCACTTTAGGGAGGTGAAATATTTCTAGGTGTGTGGGGGGGGGAGACCCCCCCTAAAGTGAAATATTTCAGTTTTTACGCCCCCCCCCACCCCCCACCCTTAAAGGGGGGGGATTATGTATGTATGTAATGTAATGTAATGTAATGTAATGTAATGTAATGTAATGTATGTATGTACGTACGTACGTATGTATGTATGTATGTATGTATGTAATGTATGTAATGTATGTAATGTATGTAATGTAATGGTATGTATGCAATGTATGTAATGTATGTAAATGTAATGTAATGTAATGTAATGTAATGTAATGTAAGTATGCATGTATGTATGTATGTATGTATGTAATTTATGTAATGTATGTATGTATGTATGTACGTACGTACGTATGTATGTATGTATTAATATATGTAATGTATGTAGTGTATGTAAGTTTGTATGTATGTATGTATGTATGTTTGTATGTATGTATGTATGTATGTATGTATGTATGTATGTATGTATGTTATGTATGTATGTATGTATGTATGTACGTACGTACGTACGTATGTATGTATGTATGTACGTATGTATGTATGTATGTATGTATGTAATGTATGTAATGTATATAATGTATGTAATGTAATGGTATGTATGCAATGTATGTATGTAATGTAATGTAATGTAATGTAATGTAATGTAATGTAATGTAATGTAATGTAATGTATGTATGTGTGTACGTCTGTATTTATGTATGTAATGTATGTAATGTATGTAATGTATGTAATGTAATGGTATGTATGTAATGTATGTAATGTATGTAATGTATGTAATGTAATGGTATGTATGTAATGTATGTAAGTATGTATGTAAGTAATGTATGTATGTATGTATGTATGCATGCATGTATGCATGTATGTATGTATGTATGTATGTATTAATATATGTAATGTATGTAGTGTATGTAAGTTTGTATGTATGTATGTATGTATGTATGTATGTATGTATGTATGTATGTATGTAATGTATGTATGTATGTATGTATGTATGTATGTATGTATGTATGTATGTATGTATGTATGTATGTATATATGTATATATGTATATATGTGTATATGTGTATATGATTTATTGGACATATCATAGGCTTATCACCTGGAATATCCTGGGCCCGGAAACGGAATAGCTCAGTTGGTTCTTTAACTCCAATTTAACATTATAAGCGTAGTGTTCATAGGGTGTTCAACTTCACTATCAGGGAGGCCCCGCATTGTACTAGTAGTTGTAACATGATGTAAGCTTACAAACCCCATCAAACTATAATCATGGGATTAACTCTCAGATAGATAGTTTTAAAACTTATAACCCTCAAGCTTGTACAATTGTTAAAAGTGTGTGGGTGTATCTGTGACAGCCATTGATACAACGTTTATAAGTGCATATCCATGACATCCCCTGGGAAAATCCTCCATGGAACGGCCCCAGAGGTGACTTCTTCAAGCTGCAGTACGGCAGTGGATAAACTCTTCGATTGGAAGTTGCCAGGATGGCGGATAAATTTCAGATATGTAAAACCATCAGGTATATATGTTTATAGATGATTATAATATATATATATGGGTGTATATATGTGGTAGTATTTTGTTATAATTATTACCGGTACTATTGCTATATATTATTTATTTATTAATTAGTAATAGTATTATTGTTATTACTTATATATATATAGAGTAATCCAAAACAATCCAATGTATAATCCTGCATTGAAATTATGCTTCATTTTTTGGGGGTTACTATAAATATCGCAGTCCACACTAGCAATAATCGGGGTATAATGCCCATCATAGTGGACATATTTTTTTTGAACATTAAGGCGGGTTCAAAGTGGATAGATAGAACCAACAATACCTGGTTGGTTGTTTGGAACATTTTTTATTTTCCATAATGTATTGGATAATCCTTCCCATTGACGAACTCATATTTTTCAAGATGGTTATTGCACCACCAACCATATTATATATATACACATATTCCCATAGTTATTTAACTATACTAATCCATTGCTATGTTAGTTTACCAGAGGGTAGATAGAACCAACAATACGATATTTAAGCAACACAAACAAACCTCAGACATGTTTTTCCCCACTAGGTGAGGGTAGATTCTCCTCCTTTTTTGCCAGCTCGATGGACCGTGCCCCCGAACACCTGCCAGAAAGAATGTCAGATAGAATGTCAAAAAAAACATATATACTTCTAGATCATATTTCCGAAACTGTGTCAGAATCATGTGTCAGGGGATCACTCGCAGCATTTTTCCATGGAACATTATGTGAAAGTGCTGGGAACGTGTTGAATAGGAATGAAGTCTGTAAGAAGAAATAGACAAATACGGAATCCTGAAGTATTGTGTTAGATTCCGAAAAAAGACTCCAAGAAATTTGATGTGTCAGACACCGGGTTACCTAATAGGAAAACTAAGGATGGATGGAAGATCTGTGGTTTCTCTGAGAAATGATCCACTGATATTCCACATCTACGTTAAGAGCTAACCGGCAAAATGGTAGACTGGTTGGTGGTTTGGAACATGATTTTTCCCATATATTGGGAGTAGTAATCCCAACTAACTAATAATTTTTCAGAGGGGTAGGTATACCACCAACCAGTAGATTAATTAGAAGCAGTCCATTTTGTTATTCGTAAACCCGCTGTGATAAATCAGTAGAGAATCATGTGGGGGGCTCAATAAACGTCATCCCAGCTTCAGGGATATGCCTAAATTCACACACATTTCTTTTGTTTTGGGCGGGGTTTTGGCATTGGGTTTAACCTCATTCATCTATAGCAACAAAAAGGATGAAGCATGATGAAGCACCAAGCAATCTGTATCGTGGGAAGAATCTGTTGAATCTGTTGGGACTCGGGACTCATTTTCCTATTCCTTCATGATTTCTGGATTGGTCCAAGGTTGAGTCTCACGAATTCCAATCAGAATGTGCACACTTTCCTGTGGAGCAGCCAAAACGGAGAACCATCTTCCTTGGTGGTGGCTAACCTCAAGACCTTGCCCACGAAGTTCACCACTTCCATGAAGGACCTGGGCTTCTATGATCTCCAGCCATCCATACATGGAGAGCTTCAGCGGCAAAGCGATTGATTTTGGTGTTTCATTCATGGGGGTTTTAGACCAACTGGATGAATACACTGAATAGTAGAACTCCTTTTTTCTTAGAAACGGGAATGATATAGAAAAACAAAGAAAAAGAAGCTACAGAAGCATTGACCTGTTTTGATCTTGGCAATTGATCATCCCGTTGATGCCGATAAATGTTGGATCCATGATGTGTTGGCTGGCTGTTTTTTTAATCAGGAGCTTACGTCGTGACGTCACTGTGAATACATCTTTAGGATTGGGGTAACTATCCCAAAATGGCCGAAGTATTCAGATTATATATCCGTTAAGTTATGATGTATCTAGACTCATGATTCCCCCACCTTTCTTCCCTATCAATCCAAATACCTTCTCAGAACGCACGGTTCGCCCCCGAAATCACCCCCTCAAAAATTAAGAAGATACTGCTCCAGAGGAGGTTATTTAACAAACAGCATATGCTGCGTTTAAGCGCTGCCCCAGTTTGCAGACAGCTGGAGCTGCTGTGTCATCTGGTTGGTGGTTTGGAACATCTTTATTTTCCCCAATAGTTCGGATGATGATCCAATCTGACTAATATTTTTCAGGGGGGTTGAAACCACCAATTAGGTATGGTATTGCCAAGAAATTGGATGTAACCCTCTGGTAAACTAACGTAACTATGGAAAATCACCATTTTAAATGGGCAAATCCACTATAAATAGTCATTTTCAATAGCTATGTTAGTTTACCAGAGGGTACCATTTTGTTTCGCAACTATTGTAGTTTGACTTGAACACTGATTGTAATTGATCATTAATCTATTGGAATTGGTTCCCGTTTCACTCTGGGGGTCTGGGGGTTGAGGGTGTGTTCGCGCGACGTTTTTCCAAACCGTTCGCAACCGTCCGCAACCGTTCGCAACCGTCCGTGTGAAGGCCGTATGGCCGTGCCTCTGGTAAGTTCTGCAAAAGGGGTCATTTTTGGAGGTTTCAAACGTCGTGTTGCTTCGTTTCGCGTGGCAGGCCTGGGACTTCGTGACATTCAGACGTGTTTTGTAACGTGGCGAAAGTCGTTTTGTGTGGCGGGCACAATACTTTTGCAACGTTTTGGCAAGATGAGTTGCAGTTTTCGTGGCAGGCGCAGCACTTTGGACTTGTCCATCGTCATTTTGTGCGGCAGTTTACACTCTACACTTTACACACTCTACACTTGACTCTCCACACTTCACACTTTACACTCCACACTCTACACTCCACACTCTACACTTTACACGCTCTACACTTGACTCTCCACACTTCACACTTTACACTCCACACACACACTCCACACTCCACACTCTACACTCCACACTCTACACTTTACTCACTGCACACTCCAGACTCCACACTTCACACTCCACACTCCCTAATTTACACTTTACACTCTGCACTTTACACTTTACACTCCACACTTAACACTTTGCACTCCACACTTTACACTCCACACTCTATACATTACACTTTACACTCAACACTCTACACGTTACACTCCACACTTTACACTCCGCACTCCACACTTTACACTCCACACTCTACACTTTACACTTTACACTTTGCACTCCACACTCTACACTTTACACTCCACACTTTACACTCCACACTCTACACTTTACACTCCACACTCTACACTTTACACTTTACACTACACACTCTACACTTTACACTCCACACTCTGCACTCCACACTTTACACTTTACTGTACACTCGACACTCCACACTCTACACTCCACATTTACACTACACCCTTCACTCCACACTCTACACTTTACACACTCTACACTTGACTCTCCACACTTCACACTATACACTTTACACTCCACACTCTGCACTCCACACTCCACACTCCACACCCTACACTCCACACTCTACACTTTACCCACTCCATACTCCAGACTCCACACTTTACACTCCACACTCCTTACTTTACACTCCGCTCTCCTTACTTTACACCCCACACTCCACACTCCACACTCCACCACACTCTACACTTTACACACCCCGCACTGCACACTTTGCACTCCACGCTCTACATTCCTCACTCCACACTCCAGACTCTACACTCCACACTCCACACTCAACACTTTGGACACTCCACACTCCACTCCCCACATTCCATATTTAGCAGGCCACCATCTTTTCCACAGTCTACGGTGCACTGGTATGGTACCAGGGGAAAAATGCACAAGACTGTTCAAATAAACTGCTTCAGAAAATTGTGCTGCGTGACTGCATATCAATGTGTTTCGACATCTGTACCATTAACATACGTGTGAGCATTCGGGCTCGTGGGCTGCATCTTGTTTTTTGTTTAACATATGCTGTTGGAAATCAACAAGGGTTTATCACTCCTGGGTTTATCAGTTCTGATTTAACTTAACACATGTGCCATGCTCAAGACATGAGACATATTCTAACGTCTCTTTGAAATGCCACTAAACCATATTTTGTGAAATACGATTCTATCCGCAGAATGTGGTTGGTTCAAACTAACTTGTGGTTTCAACATGTTTTAGATAATGTCGTGTTTAAACACACACTTGGAATGATTGGTTAAGATTACCAATCTTCTTGGGATAGGGTAAAGCCACTAACCATTCTTGATAGTTATAACTTATAACACACATATTTGTTCGTTTAATTCCTATGAAGCACCATGAAATTCCATCAAATCCCATTACACTATAAATAAAGCCCTGGAATTTCCCACGGTTTGGCCGCCGAAGAGCCCACAACTCGAAGGCGATCTGCGGCAAGTCGGCGACGAATTTCGGAGACAAGGTCAAACTCCAGGTGGAGAAGTTGCCAAAGGATTCCAAAGTTCCGGAGAAGCATGAGGAGGCCGGGCTCAAGTGTCATATATCTACATTCATAAATGTGTTTAAAAATCTATGTTTATAGTTTGTTTTGTTTCATATATCTATATATCTACTAGTTGTATTCGTTCTTGGGGATATACTTGGGATCTGTTTGGGACATCATGGAACGTCCCAAACTTGGATTTGCGGGGCATATGTATATATATATATACACAATTGTATAGAGTCAATTGTTTATATATATATTTACATATATATTTACATATCTATATATATATATATTTCAATATATATATATACACATACATTAAAAAAACACATACATATATATATATATATATAACGAGGATATTAATAGGATGTCAACCAGTCACCACAAGCTTGTGCCCTCCTTGTTGTGTTTATTGTTTTACCAAGCCCAATGAATCCACTTCCGACCAGGTGTTCGTTTCTGCAGGGTATACCTGGATCCAGGGTATACCTGCAGGGTACCCCAAAATCATCCCAGTAGACCATTTTGATATTGAAACCCATGGTCACTTCAAGAGTTCCCATTTTAACAACCCTCATACATACATGCATACATGCATACGTACATACATACATGCATGCATACATACATACATACAGACATACAGACAGTATATATATATATGCATTTTTAAATATATATATATATATATATATATTTCTGTATATATATATATATGCATATATATGCATATATATTTATATCTGTGTATATATATATATGCATATATATATACATATATATATACATAGATATACATGCATATATATATATATATACATTCGTATACATATACATCATGCATATACTATTTATATTTGCACATATTTTTATAAATATATATGCACCTCTATATATATATATATATGTAATTATTTAACACCTGACTTGAACAGAGACGAACCATTCATTTCCTAATACCTAGATATGCAATTTGTACCGGTGAGTGAGTAAACAGACAAAACATGTTGCAAAAAGAACATGTTCAGGTGCAATTTGATTGCCTAGCTATAAACTAATTAGATCTAATTAGGTTTGATGATGTAATACATATATAATACATACATAGATGTTCGTTGCTTGGGAACTGGAAGTTACCCTCAAACGTTTACATAACTATGGAAAACACCATGCTATTAATGGGTAAATTAACGCATTTTCTACAAGATGGGGCCCCAATTCGTTAGCTAAGTTGGTGCAAATAACTATAATAACAATATTGTATCTGGTTGGTGGTTTGGAACATGTTTTTATTTTTCCATATATGGGGAATAATAATCCCAACTGACTTTCATATTTTTCAGAGGGGTAGGTATACCACCAACCAGCTATAATAACAATAGTGTATGATACGCAAAAAACTATATGCAGATGGGGCCCCATGTTCACCAACGTTCACATGACGTGGCCCCATCCTCAATGGCCATCAAAGGCCAGGCCTTTCCGAGGTGGTGAAGATGATGGTGGATGCAACGCAGCTTCCCACATGCAGCGAGCTGGAGGTGGAGGTGGGGTGGGTGGGGTTGGGGTTGGAACAATCTGCAGTTAAGGCTCGAAATAGCACTATAAGTACTAAGAAAATTTGTGGCCATTTAGGGAATAAGTAGATGGGATAAGTAGACTCTATCCACTAGTTTCACTGGGGTTAGTCATAACCCACTTACTACAAGGTGGTGGTCCAGTTCGTTAGCTAAGTTGGTGCAAATAAGTCCAATAACTAGGGTTTATGGGAGTTATATCTATAGTTAATGGGTATTATAAATTATAAACCAACTTATAACTGGGGGGGTACCACCTTGCAAGTACTAAGAAACCACCATTTATGGAATGTATAATCCCACTTAAAACCAATTATAACCATTTAGAATTGGTAAACAGCCAAAACTGAAGGGTAATATGGGGACAACATAGGATGGAAAATGATATAGGATCACTGGTTGGTGGTTTGGAACATTTTTTATTTGTCCATATATTGGGAATAATCGTCCCAACTGGCTAATATTTTTCAGAGGGGTAGGTGTACCACCAACCAGATAGGATCATAATGGGATAATATACTTTGTGGCTCATCCACCCCAGTGAAATACATGGGACAAGTAGACATCATCCACTTATTTCACTGTGTTTTTTACATGTTTTTACTAAGCCACAAACACTTGATTCGTGGGATGAGCCACCAGCCGTACCCTTTTGGTTATTTAACAGTTTGGAAAATGCCACATTTATATACGTTTTATGATGATTCCTTTTAAACAAAATGTGATTTTCGATAGCTATGCTCAAGTACTGGGAATATCATGGGAACACAGCAATTTGAATATAATGGGAATATCATGTTGGGGCCCCCGAAACAGAATCGCTAAGTTGCTGAGCCTATTTCCAAGAACCTTGGGGAGGGCCGCTGGTTCAACAGGGATTCTTTGGTAGATTGTTGTTGCAGAAGGAATAGAAAGTTCAAGCAGCAGTCAACCAACAGCGAGGTGCTTCAATTGTAGTTGGTCATAGATGTCCTTTTCCCTTTGTTTGGCTGATTAATAGAGGGGGTTCTTTACCCCTTTAACAAGAGGGTTGATGATAGATGGTATACCAAACCGGCCCAAACCTATTTTTACCAAAAGGTCATAAAAATTTGCCAGCAACCCATTGGTGGCCAAAAATAGTCTTAAATGTTCTCCTGGATTTTCCCTTGAATTCGCCATGGAGATCTCAGAAAATCCGGTAAATTTGCCAATGGGATCGAAAGGCGAGGAATCCACACGGGGACGATAGGAAACCATAGCGATTCCAACCAGAATTTTTGGTGCTTTGTCTTGTCGATTTGTCAATTGGGATATGCATGAAATATTTAATATAACATAATGTACAATGTATTTAATATATTATATATTTATATAATACCCTATGGATCCAAGTATCTTCTTAGGAAGTGTTTGCGGTATAATTTGCTATAATTTGGAGGGTTCAGTACCTTCTCAGACAGTGTTTGGATCCATAGGGACTATATTTAATATAATATATATATATAATGGTGGGAATGTCATGAGATACGATGGGTATGCAATGTTTCTTTGTGAGACAAATGAGATAAACATGCAATTACACATGTCCTTGCTGATTTGTTTGTCTTAATGTTGGCTCCTGATTAGTAGCTAGGTTCGCTATTGTGGCAATTTTTCTCCAAATTATTCTGAAACCCTTGTAATTGCTGAGAGGAAGACTTTTTTTCCAAAAGCAATTGCCAAATTCAAACTCCAAGCCTTTCCCAAAGGGGCAAATCCCTTATTAAACGCTTATTAAAGAACAGCTTTTCCACAATTTTCCAAGGCCCTGGACCAGGAGAGGCTCCATTTCACTATAGTAGGTTTGTTTGCTGGGCTCACTATTGTAGCAAGCTGTGCCAGAGCAGCTCCTGGAAGCCCAAAAGAGAAGCAAGCCTTTTCCAAAAGCAATTGCCAAATCCTAACTCCAAGCCTTTCCCAAAGGGGCCAATCCCTTATTAAACCTTATTAAAGAACAGCTTTTCCACAATTTTCCAAGGCCCTGGACCAGGAGAGGCTCCATTTCACTTTAGTAGGTTTGTTTGCTGGGCTCACTATTGTAGCAAGCTGTGCCAGAGCAGCTTCTGGAAGCCCAAAAGAGAAGCAAGCCTTTTCCAAAAGCAATTGCCAAATTCTAACTCCAAGCCTTTCCCAAAGGGGCCAATCCCTTATTAAACCCTTATTAAAGAACAGCTTTTCCACAATTTTCCAAGGCCCTGGACCAGGAGAGGCTCCATTTCACTTTAGTAGGTTTGTTTGCTGGGCTCACTATTGTAGCAAGCTGTGCCAGAGCAGCTCCTGGAAGCCCAAAAGAGAAAGAGGCTCCATTTCACTTTAGTATTGTAGCAAGCTGTACAAGTTGTGGGTACTACAAGTACTACAAGTACTACAGGTCCTACAAGTACTACAAGTACTACAGGTACTACAAGTACAACAAGTACTACAGGTACTACAACTGCAAGTACTACAAGTACTACAAGTGTTACCAGTACTACAAGTACTGCAAGTACTACAGGTACTACAAGTACTACAAGTTTTTACAAGTACTACAGGTACTACAAATACTACAAGTACTACAAGTACTACAAGTACTACAACTGCAAGTACTACAAGTACTACAAGCACTACAGGTACTACAAATACTACAAGTACTACAAGTACTACACGTACTACAAGTACTACAAGTACTACAAGTACTACAGGTACCACAAGTACTACAAGTACTACAAGTACCACAAGTTCATCGGCAAAAAACAGTTTTAAGAAGATTTCAATTGTAGCCAACTGAAATCCCTACTCAAGTGAGGATTTGTTTTTCTCTTGGGAAGAAAATTTTTGACTTTCCACTTTAAAGAAAGTCCAAATATTGTTTAGGGGGAGGGGGGGGCCTCACACTAATCAGGAACCAACATTATTGGGTTGTGTCCAGACATCACAGGGGGTGGTCAATGCCCTGTTTTTGGGATTTTGAACATCACTTTCATGTATCCGTTGGAGATCATATCCCCATAGTCCTGTAGTTGGGTGATGTTCAAGTAGAACATTTACCAACCCCTGCATTCGAAGTTTCCGCGAATTGAAGCGGTCTAAGAAAAATCCAACGTAGGCACGTAGAACTGTAGACCTCCTTTGCACCTAGAGTTTCGACGGCGGGGTGTGTATCGTCGTGGCGAGCCAGAGGGTTTTTCAATGTTTGGAAACGATACCATGAAACTGGGGATTCCAAGATAGATAATTTGATGTAGTTTGGCTATACAACATTGTTTATGGTGATAAAAAGCCCCCAAAAGCATGACTGGTGGACCCAGTTTGCCACTATTATCCCTGTTGATGGTTATATCACGATTTCAAGTCGAATGAAGTTCCTAAATATCAAATGAAAACCGCGATGTCCGCATATAATCCAATAAAATCCCACTAGATCCCATTAGATTCCATGATGTCATCAATAAAAGAAAAAACATCAAAGCCAATCAAATCCCATCAAATCCCATATAACATCAGCATCAAATCCCATTGACCCGTCCATTTCTTGTTGGGAGAACCACCGCAACTGAGGTCATGTATACGTTCCCCGGGCAGGATGCAAGATACGTCAAGTTCCTCCTGCCTGTAGACAATCCAAATGTGCCAGATGACCAACCACAGGAAACCTGGATGCACAAGTAAATTTTCAAATCATTATGGGAAACTGTTCACAATCTTATTACTTGGTAAATCATTCCATTACTTGAATGATTTACTTGGATGATCATTATCAACCATGTTTATGGAAAAATCAAATCATCCAAGTAAATCATAACAACCTCACTGCGACCTCACTGGAATGATGGACAGATTAGATCGCCACATTTTGATGTTTGTTGAGTGATGGACACTTTATATAGAGGTTTATCTACTAGCATTTCTTTGGGTGGGTTAAAGGGATAGGAAACTAGGCATAAATGAATTATATTTGGATGGACTATCAAACCCACACATAAGTTGATTTGTCTTGCGTTTTGGGAGGTCTTTCTGATAATTTTTAAACCTGACCCGACAAACAGGGCTCGGAGAAATCGAGCTGGCTCGGCACTGTATTTTGGATCCTCCTTATCGGTGGCGTATTGGCTTTGGCTGTAGGCGGTTTCTTGTATCGAAGGAATCTCTTGATCCAAGCGAACGCGCGTGACTGGTCACGGTGAGTTAAGGAAGTTGTTGATGTTTTTTGGGTGAAAGGTATGATTTGGCGGAGGATTTGTCATTAACGTTATAATTAAGCAAGTGGCTAGTTGATGTTTTTGTTGCTTCTATTTCCCCCATATGTTTTTATTAACCAATGTTCTATTTGTTATATGTTGTGGTTTTTGGTTCTATCAATGAGTTTCTATCTGCACATACCAATTGACTTTTTTTTGTTCATTTGTTGTTTCCATTCATATTTGTTAGGAACTCATTTGAAATATAGATAGAAATGAATGATTGCATTGTTCTCATCTCCATTAGACATTATTATCTAAGATCTTTCTATTTGTCTCATTTCTATTGGAAACTAATGTTGTAGAGATGATTTATCTCTTATCTAATATCTAATTATCTATTATTTATCTATTTATCTCATATAGCTGCTACTTATCTATATTTCTGATTTTCATTATTCATTTTTCTCAAAAAACAACTAAAACGGAAATGGGATGATAATCCCCAGAGATTTGTCCAGAGCTTCATCCGCCCAGGTGCTCTACCTTGAGACATCCAGAAAGATCGATCGACGAACAGAAAAAAGCTGCGATGCGGATCCACGTTGAAGCGAAGTTTTTGTTCATAATTCCCCTAAAGTGGTGGAGTTCTCCTGTGCATTTTATGGGTATATCGTTTCATCAAGTATTTATGATTATGTATACATGTTCAGTCATATTTTATATATATATATATGTATATATAAATATGTATATATAAAAAGATATATTTTATGTATATATATATAATATCTATGTATATGTATAGCTGCCTGAATTAGTCTGGATATACATTTAATGCATTTTTTGGGTTTTCTGACAATTGGGGGATCCCCAGTCCGATTGTGTTTCCCATGAAAACACCATTTTTAGAGGACTTTGAATTGCTACGTTTGATTACCGAAGTGTGCCATGCAGGGTTCCCAGTTCTAGAGTTCTAGGTTGGTCTCCTCAACTATCCCGCATAAAGCATAGTTAATTCGCCAAGTTATGTGCGTCAACTTAGCACAGTTGGTGAAGATAGCTCAAATTTCACAGCTTTATGGATCTTTATTGTACGTATAGCTAGGGTATTCATGGGGCATCATGGGTATTCATGGGGCTTACAAGCCAACAAACATCCCCAGATCCCAATTGTCACACCCGAAGATTTTTCCCCGTTGTCACTGAGTCACCTTAAATTTGTAGAGTTGTTTAACAGGATACCCGGCCTGGTAAACATACCAAAAACGATGGAAAGATCCACCACTTTATAGGTAGATCAACTATTTCTATGGCCATGGCTTCAATAGCTACGTTAGTTTACCACAGGATAACAATGGATAACATCATGAATCTCACATTTCTCAGACATTTCAAATCATTTCATAGCTGGTTTCTAGGCCTTGTGCGCTCTGCGTCGGTGATCGTAACTTTAGACGGCCGTGGGATGATCCTCCAAGTAGTGTCCGCAAAAAAAGAATTCGGTTTTTATAACAAAGTGGGGCCCCCATAGGAAAAACCATAGGGAAACCATAGGGAAACCATAGGGAAACCATAGGAAAATGGGAATTTCATGGGATTTATAGCTGATTTACGATAGCTAAGTTGTTTAATAACTCCAATAACTATATGACCATTTGTCAAAAATAGTTGTTTAGAAGTTTAGTATTGGTTGTTGATAATTCATCTGGATCTACTGTTTTTTTTCCTCTTCGTTATGAGGTGGCACGCAACTAAATTCAGCAATTCTGAAAGGCAGCGCTAGCAAACCCGCTAGGTTTGCGCTAGGTTTGATTGACAGCCATGGCCTCCATGTCGTGAATGTCTTGCCAGCTTTTCTTACAAGTCTGTCAGTTTCCACATATTCCCAAATTTTCGATTTTTTTTTACGTATTTTACGCGCTAGATCCCCGCTAGCAACGCGCTAGCGAAAATTGCAAATACATGCCCCGGTCCACCCACAGCCCATTCAGAGGCACAGCCACGCTCACGCTTTGGTAGCTTACAGTAAGGAAACAGCGTTGATCAGGAGGCATGTCAAGAAGCATATTGCATTCAGAGAGGCACACACACAGAGACACACAGTTCAGGAGATAGTACCAGCGACAGCGAATGAAAACCGACGTGCGTTAGCCGATTCTTGTGGTTTTAGAAAGATTTCCAAAGGTAACGAAGAATTTCCACGTTTTAACGTCATCAAGGTAGGTCATGTTCTTTTAAAGGCAAACATGAGGCGGCACGCATGGAATTGCGATTTATCAACAAAACCGGGAACAAACATTTTGACAAACCGTCATATGGTTTATGGTCGATATAACGAACTAGTTAATGGGGGCCCATCCTGTAAGGGATGTCCCACATTTTTCCTTTGATTTCCCATTCATTTTTCCTATGAGGGGCAAATATATGTCAATATGGATACTTTTTTTTTATCCCATCACATCCCATCACGAATATAAACCATCATTGATCATCCCATTTAGTACTTCGGAGATGTGGTATCATGAAAAATGGGATAGATAAATCATGTCCCATACCCTCTGGTAAACTAACATAGCTATGGAAAATCACATTTTTTCATGGGTAAATCAACTATTTGTATGGGCCATGGCTTCAATAGCTATGTAGCAAATTACCAGAGCGTAAATCCAATTACATCCCATTAAATCACCATTGAATCACCATAAATAACCATTAATATCCATTAAATCACCATAAAATCGCCATTAATACCATTAAATCACGATAAATTACCATTAATATCAATTAAATCACCATAAATTACAATTAATATCCATTAAATCACAATAAATCACCATTGATATCCATTAAATTACCATAAACCAACATTAAATCACCATTAAATCACCATAAATTACCATTAACATCCATTAAATCACCATAAATCACCATGAATATCCATTAAATTACCATAAATCACCATTAAATCACCATTAAATCACAATAAATCACCATTGGCATCCATTATAATACCATAAATCACCATTGATATCCATTAAATCACCATAAATCACCAAAATCACCAGAAATCACCATTTATATCCATTAAATCACAATAAATCACCATTAATATCCATTAAATTACCATAAATCACCATTGATATCCGTTAAATCACCATTAAATCACCATTAAATCACCACAAATCACCATTTATATCCATTGAATCACAATAAATCACCATTAAATTACCATAAATCACTTTTATATCCATTAAATCACAATAAATCACCATTAAATTACCAAAAAAAAATCACTATTAACATCCATTAAATCACAATAAATCACCATTAATATCCATTAAATTACCATAAATCACCATTGATATCCATTAAATCACAATAAATCACCATTAAGTTACCATAAATCACTATTAACATCCATTAAATCACAATAAATCACCATTAATATCCATTAAATTACCATAAATCACCATTGATATCCGTTAAATCACCATTAAATCACCATAAATCACCATTTATATCCATTGAATCACAATAAATCACCATTAAATTACCATAAATCACTATTAACATCCATTAAATCACAATAAATCACCATTAATATCCATTAAATTACCATTAATCACCATTAATATCCATTAAATCACCGTTGAATCACCATTAAAATTGATGTTCCCATCTCCAGTTTTTCCCATCTCCTGCAGGTCCCGCTGTGGATCCCATCCGCCGAGGCATCACGGCCTTCCAAATGGGTGGCCTCGACCAAGCCCTGCGGCTCTTTGGGGAGTGGATCGACTCGCACAAGGCGAAGATGGGCGGAGATATGCGACGATGACCATGGGTTGACCATGGGTTTACCGGGGGCGTTGGTTGGAAATAAGGCATTTGGACATGGGAAAAATGTGAGGATTTTATCGTCAGGTTGTGAGATTGTGAGAATTTCCCCATGGAATTGAAAGGAATCAAAGGAACTTCATGGGATTTTTTTTTGTGATAAATTCTGTGATATATCAAGGAGACATGGAGATTAAGCAACAACAACATGATAAAATGGAGATTGATGGTCATTATAAATGGTTGGTGGTTTGGAACCTGAATTTTATGACTTTCCATATTAATTGGGAATTTCATCATCCCAACTGACTCATATTTTTCAGCGGGGTATACCACTAATCATTTATAAATTACACCCTCTGGTAATTTAACATAGCTATTGAAAATTGCATTTTATGGTGGAATTACCCATTGAAAATTGTGATTTTCCATAGTTTTTTGTATGTTTACCAGAGGGTAAATTGTTTTTCATGGATGTGCGAGACCCCAAAGGACAATGTTGGTTTTGTTTTACGCCAATAACTGTAGATATATCTGCCATTAAGCATAGTTTTGCTAGTTGTAGAGCAACGAGCAACTGTTTCCCACACCTTGAATGAATCGTAAGTGGTGAGCATGAATCCAATTGTGTATATACGATCTATATCGATCTATAGCATTCTGTATATAACTACAAAGTCGGCCCCCACCCCAGACAGCTGAGTTGGTTTACAACTCCAATGATTATGTTTCATGGTACTTATCACTATAGTTAATCGGGTTTACAAACAAACTTATAATTAATTAGGGAGCACATGGTCGGTGGTTTTCGCCCACGATTCCTAGGTCCTGCACCCACACGTGGGAAATTTGCTGCTGGGGTAGACATTCCCCAGCTATAAAGTAGCTATACACGGGAATCAAACGTGGCAATGGAAAATCCCTTACAAAAGAAAGTGTTAATGGGAAGATCATCTATAAATGGTGGATTTTCCAGCTAGCCATGTTTGATTACTGGAGAGTAAGTGGGATAATCCAGGGGGCACTTATGATCACCAGGCTTGTTAACCATTTAGACTAAGTGGAATGATCCTCCAGGTAAAGTAAAGTAATAATCGCACATGCTGGGTAAAGCTTGGAAACCTATGCCTAGTCCATCGGAAGTGATAAAGATGAAGGGTAAACCTTGGAAATATCACAGATTCATGATTTATGACTGGTTGGTGGTTTGGAACATGAATTTTACTGTTCCATATTGGGAATTTCATCTTCCAACTGACTAATGATTTTCAGAGGGGTTGGAACCACCTACCAGCAATGGTTATCCAATAACTATGGTTCTCCAATAAACATCATTAACCATCATTAAATCACCATTAAATCAGGATATTGTCTATTATTGAAACCACCAACCAGTATGAGATGTGTACCAAGTTTTTCCATCAAGCAATCGGATGTACGCAGCAATGAAAGGGATTTTTGTTTGGTCAAACAGATGGGGAAAGCCACTGGTCACAGGGAGTTTACCCTCTGGTAATTTAACATAGCTATTGAAAATGGCCATTTATAGTGAGTTTTCCATTAACAATGGTGATTTTCCATAGCAAAATGTTAGTTTACCAGAGGGTAATGTATCCAAGATTGGCTATGATGAGGTAGCAGGTTTTTCAGATCATCCCGAGGATCCCAGTTGTGGTTAATGACCTCGGGAACTCTTCAGAGGCTGAGCCTCTTTTTTAGAGAAAACATCTCCAACATTTGCGTGGGTTAATGATGATTAATGGTGGTAAATGGTGGTAAATGGTGGTTAATGCTGGGTCTGCAAATGGGGTCATGTGGGTAAAACAATACCATGGTTACCATCCCCAATTTCACCAGAAACAGGTGGTATAAACGATTCCCAAATGGGTGGTTTATTGTTTAACCCACATTATACCTCCAAAACAACTTCAACAAACATATAGCGGAAATGAGACTTGCTGAAGCAGTGGATCGAACAGCTGGTTTTTCCCTAAAATTTTCAGACAAACCTGTGACCCATCTTCGGTCAAAAAGCCGCCAAAAAAAACTGGAAGACCAGCAGAAACAGAGGTTTAACCAGTAATATATATATATATATATATAATATGGATTTCGGGGTTTTTAGCAGTGGTTGAATAATGTTGTCTGACCAATAGTGATATCTTGTCAATAGTAGAAACATTTTTCCGCAACTCCAATTTTTCTCCAATACTAAAAGTCAATTAGTTCTATTTACTTTTAGTATTGCCAAAAGAGTCATGTTCAGACCTTGTCCAGAGGGCATGGCCAATAGTGGACCCAACATGGCAATAGTAGAAACTTTTTTCCCAACTCCATTTTTTTCTCCAATACTAAAAGTCAATTAGCTCTATTTACTTTTAGTATTGCCAGAAGAGTCAAGTAAAGCAAATCCTTTTCAAAGCAGCCTTCACTTTTGATTTGCAAACGCCTAGATTCCAGAAATCTGATCCCAGTCCAAAACAGACGATTTCCTTTTTAAACTCTTAGTAAAAAATTGAAAAAAACAGGTCCGCAAAGGGTACCCCCTTTGCAAGCCCGAGAATAGCAATAACAAACCTGCACCAGGCATGGCAATAGTGGAAACTTTTTTCCGCAACTCCAATTTTGTTGTCCTCCTTCTTCTCCTTCTTCTCCTTCTTCTCCTCCTCCTCCTCTCGTCCTCCTCCTTCGCCTCCACCACCTCTGCCCCCACTTCCATGTCCACTTCCGCCTTGCCAGCTCTTCGCCAATCTCTTCGCCACTCGAGAATCTATCAGATACATATCATGATCCCAGCTATAGATTCCCACAAATTGATTATTATAGGAAGGTTGACCCCCCCCCCTAAAATAAAATAAAAAAACAAATTAGGGGGGGGTATTTATTATTAGGCAGCCAACATTAGTTGAACATGGATGCATAGAATGTTTTTTTTCTTCGCTTTTTGCGATGCTTAAAGCAAACGGAGGAAGCACGGGTTATTAGCACGATTGGCCGAGAAATGATGTGCATCGGAGTATAGTTACGTGACAAAAATTGTAACTACCATCTGGTTATTTAACAGTTTGCCATGGAAAATCACCATGCTATTAATAGGTAAACCATCTTTTTCAATGGGCCATCTATACCATGGCTATGTAACAAAAAACCAGAGGGTATGTCATATCCCTGTTTCTCACATATGAGTATCACATATTAATAGGGTTACAATCCAAGATATGGTTTTTACTATGACACAGCTACACATTCCCACAAATTGTAACTGCGTCAACACGTTTCAATGTGCATTTTGAACAATCCAGTGCACAAATCACAAAATTATTGTGGTTACTGAAAAACAGAAACCGAAAGACTGTCCATCTATTTCCGAATATTTTTATGGCCATGGATCACCTATAAGCGTCTTTTGAAGGATGAACATGAATAAGCACTAGCTATGACTTGAGGTTCACTACCGGGGTACCAAGGTAGGTACCAAGGTACCGATCCCAACAGTCTAACCGTCGAAGTGGGGCTCCAAAGTTGTGTTGGTTTAAAACTTCCTTAATGCTAAAGTCTTAGATTCTGTTAGATGTTAAATAAGATTCATAAAGCCATGCGAATGTCCAAGTGGAGCTATGTAAAAACCACTGGCGAATCATATGTGTATATATATATATTCATCATTTCTTCACACATCATTAAACATATAAATACATATAACATATCATAAAACTGTTTGTAAATCCAATCATATATCATAAAAATATACTGGTTGATGGTTTCAAACATGTTTTATTTTCCATTTCATATATGGGATGTCTGTCATCTGAAACCCATTGACTTTCACTCCATCATTTTTCAAGATGGGCACATTGCACCACCAACCAGTCATTATTAACCATCATTAACCATCATTAAATCACCATTAAATCACCATTAAATCACCATAAAATCACCTTTAATTAACCATTATTAACCATTATTAACCATTACATAACTATGGAAAATCAAGATTTTTAATGGGAAAATCAATTATAAATGGCCATTTATAGCTATGGAAAATGGCCAGCTATTACCCCAAGATTTTGCCATGTCACCAGCTCTTCCGTGCCGCCGGAACTGCCGGCCCCGGAGAGGTGGAAGAATCCCCGGCCGAGCTGCCGGCCGAGGTGCCGTCGGTTAATATGTGATTGGCCCGAAAGAAATCACAAGAAATCACTGTACATTCAATGGATTGGTTTAAGGGAAAATTTACAGGAAACCATGGTTTTTACCATCAAATATAGGGGTTTCCTGTAAATTTTCCCATCATCCAGTTCTATGATACATTGTACGAAGATGTACGAAGTACCCCATAGGATCCATGGTGCTGCTATATATGGTAACATTTACCATCAATATACCCCCAATGTTAGCGTATATACCATACATGGGTCCTATGGGTACTAAGAAAACAGTTTTGTGATTGGTTAATAATAAGTGATACAAGTGATGTAGTATTAGGAAAAGAGTTTTTTTAATAAAAATGTAATTTTGAAAGTTTTAATAAGTTATAGTTATAATCCCATAGAGACAAATAAGCAGCGATAATTGGTTAAAACGTTAAACCTATACTATCTATATACTATCTAACATAGTATTTTTTACATAGGATACTGGGTAACATACTTTCCAGATCTATAATGTATTCGAACAACCTATACGAGCTGGGTTAGATGATATTCCCATCAAATCTAATTTAGTGAACATTATAACATCATGGATGTTGAATTTACTATCTATAATCATGGATGTTAGATTAAGATCTATATTATAGGATTATATACATATAGATATAGAGATAGTATAGGATATATAGATCTATAATTTTGGAGGATCTAATATATGTATATATTTTTATGTTAGATTACTATATATGTATAATTTAGGATTTTCAACAGATTATCCACCAAATGGCTATTTCATAACTTTCCATAATGGATTATCATACGATCTATATCATCCTGTACTATCTCATACTATCCTCAGGTTTTGGAGGAGCCAATGAGCCACCACAGTTGCAGTTCAAGTGGGCTTGGTCCGGATTTGATTCCGATACCGTTCTTTTTTTAAGATCTACCCTCTGGTAAACGTTTACATAACTATGGAAAATCACAATTTTTAACGGGATAATCAACTATAAATGGCCATTTTCAATAGCAAACTGTTAGTTTACCAGAGGCTAAATCCCATTACATCCCATGAAATCACCATTTAGTTCGTTGATTTTACCCATCAAAAATGATGGTTTTCCAGTTCGCAAATTGTTAGTTTACCAGAGGGTAACTATAGTTAGTTCAACCAACTTTCATTACATCCCATGGAAAATCACCATTAAAATCACCATTTTCCATCGCTTTTTCAACGTTTTTTTAAAGTCCACCTTTTTTTTTACGCTTTGGGATGGAAGAAAACTGGAGCATTTCTGGTGTTTCTGACTTGGACAGGCCCAACAGGTCAGTTGCATTGGAAAAGTGGCTGAATTCTATGGTTTTTAGTAGAGATAACTATAGTTAATGGGCCAATGGGGATTAATTATAATGGTTTATAAAGCAACTTACAAAAAAAAACATCCTGCAAGATGGTTTATGTTTAGGAATTAGCTGGTAACTTGTAGTGCTGGAGTTTCCAGATGAATAAAACAAATACATCTGACACAACCTGATAGCTTCGAAATCTTTCATAAAGGTATTCAAGTTGGTATTATTCAAATCGAGAGAGAACAGACAGAGTAGTGAGCAGTGGCTGAGCATTTAGTTGATTGTGATCCGATGACGATACAAAGTCGGGCCCCTGTTTAAGAAATCGCTAAGTTTGTGAACATAACTCCAGTTTCACTATGGTGTATGATACTTGTAACATCGAATAACTATAGGACTATAGTATTCATGGGGTTTACAAACCAACAAACATCACGTTTGGGGGCCCCGCATTGTAGGCATATATGTTTGGACATACTCACGTAGCAAGTCGGCTTAGTTTCACACCATTAAATGGAGATATATCTACTATGAACGCTTTTTAACCCATTGATAAAGCAAAAATATGAGTATGGTTCAAAATTAAAGACATGGGGGACCACAGATTTAAGTCTATTTTGAGTATGAATGGGGGTACAGGATGTGGCCCCCGTAAACGAGCTCGCGTGAACCGTTGCCTTAGAAAAGTGGCTGAATTCTATGGTTTTATGGTAGATAGAACTATACTGCTTGGTGGTTTGGAACAATTTTATTTTTCCATAAATTGGGAATTTCATCATTCCAACTGACAAAGTCATATTTTTCAGAGGGGTAGGTCAACCACCAACCAGTAATGGTTATCCAATAACTATGGTTCTCCAATAAACATTATTAACCATCATTAAATCACCATTAAATCAGGATATTGTCTATTATTGAAACCACCAACCAGTAATGGTTTATAAACCAACGTTCACATCACGCCCCATCCTGTAGCTGGTCGCTTTTCCCAGCTCCTTAACCATGGCTGCGCTTCGACTTGCAAAATGGTTATAGTGGGGATATGGGTAAATTGTGGTTAATAGATATGGATAACCACTATTAACCACTATTAACCACTATAATCCACTATTAACCACTATTAACCACTATAGTGGTTTGTGAATTGTGGGTGAATGAGGTTGAAAAAAACAGCGAATCAACGTTGTTTTTATGGCTACCATGGGATTTCATACCCCCTTTTATGCATCAAAAGGGCCCTGCTTGGGCCCCAAGGATCTATTAATGAAAAGAAGCAGTGCACATCCTGAGGCATCTGCGGAAAAAAAAAACATGCCAGATGCACAAAATGCAGCGTGTTAAATGCACTTTTGTAATTATGTGAATGAACCACCATGTTTATTGCATTGGTTGAACTGGGCAGTTTCATTGCTTAAAGCTGTTTTTTTGGTAATTAGTTAAATTCCAATTTCAAAAAAATGATTCATGGCACCGTCCAAAAATTAATGATAACGATAAGTTGAGAATTGAATCCACGTGTTTCAGAGATTTTCACTCCATGTTGAAAATTTGCGCTACCCTGAAATGTGATGATTTAGAACATAAATTTCCACTATCAAAATGACCATGAATTGGGTGAATGTTGTCCTTTTTATATATATATATTGGTATAGTATCGTTCGGAGCTTCGGTTTTCAACTTGTTTTTTGAACAGCAAATCTTTACAGGTTTGTACCTGCCTCCATCATGGAGAGACAATGCTTCCATCAAATGGCTCATTTTGAGTTTCATTTGATCCCCACAATGTGAGGCCCCCCAGTTATAAGTTGGTTTATAAGCCCCAGTAACTATAGTTATAAGTACCATAAACCATAGTTATTGGAGTTATAAACCAACTTAGATATCTTGGGGGCCTCACATTGCAAGATTAGTTTGTACAATATACTCATCAACATGTTTCTTCAGTACTGCTTGCTTTTTGACACTCGATTTTGAATTAACTGTTCTCACCGTGCTCCATTTTCCCCTGGACCAAAGCTTGAACCTGGCAACTTCGCTTTCAGCATCATTTGTGTGAGTACCATCTGCAGCTCGAAACTCTTTCTGGTGGTTCACTGTCTTTATAGGCAGCTTCAGATTCTTGGCAACTTTTGTCGTGGCTTTCCATCCATCAGCAGTAACTTTGGAGCCCTTTCGAAGTCTGCTTTGAAAGACTTTGACAAAGATTCCTCTCCTCTGGGTTTCCCTTTTGGTGCTCGCGAAGCATCAGGCAAGACATCCATAGCCACTCTCTTGTTGCCAACTTTGTGTGAGCGTGGCTGCTGGCCATCCTTTCCAGTTTGAACTGCCAACCATAACCATTGTGTAGACTTGTTTGAGCGCTTGTCCTTTGAAGAGCCTGCCTTGCTCTTTGGGAAGGCCTTTGCCTTGGGTTTCCAGATTGTTTTGCATGGTCTTCTTGTAGCAATCCTATCAGCAGCTCTAATGTAGCTTCAAACAGTAGCTTTGGCTTCCTCCCCCTTGTAGAGCCAATGGCCACTATTGTAAAACACTGTAAAAAGCTCTTGATGATACTATACCCATATATACATATATATATACAGATACACACATGTGTATATGTACGTATATATATATACATATACACACATGTGTATATGTATATATATATATATATGTACATATACCCACTACCTAATTGATGAAATCCCCAGATTTGCATCTGCTAGGAGGAGGAACATGAGGAAGTGGCACCAGAAACGCACCGAGACTCGCTACGAGACACCGTCGGCGGGGTCAGTCGGGCCACCGGCTTGTGACTTGGTTGAATGGTCCAGTGGTCAATCTTGGTCAATCTATGGTTAATCTATGATCAATCTATGGTTAATCTATGGTTAATCTTGGTTAATCTTGGTTCATCATGGTCAATAGTGGTTAATAGTGGTTATAACCCGGGAAAACCATGAAGATTATCACTGGTTATAATGGGAAACATCATGAAATACAATGGTTAATATCTATATCTAATGGATTCTAATGGTTAATGGTTATTATTCAGATAGGATATAACTAGGTCAATCAACTGGATGGCTATACACATCGACCTGGATCGCGCTGAATCCATAGCCCTTAGCGCCCCCTTGGATAGACCATATCAATCAATGGCCATGCAACAGGAACCTAAATTGGAGGTACCTACCATATATAAGGCCTATGTAAGGCCTATTTTTTAGGCCTATGTAAGGGAATATCCCAGCAAAATATGGCCTTATATGGTACTAACGTACCTCCATTTTAGGATCCTGGAATTCCCATTGAATCAAGGACCCCTCAATCAATTGGGCAGACACTGCTGGCGTCCGAAAAAGCGGGCTCCAACTGCAAGTGCCGTCAAGTGCCCTCACGGACTGTAAGAGTGTGTTTGACATTGCCACCAAAAATGCTACTCCTGTTCGCAGCGAAGACCGAACTGATTTTTGACAATTATGGCTCTTTGGTGACAAAGATCACTGATATTGATGCGATAGAAGAACCTACCATCATGCCAGACATTGTTTCAATGCGGTTCGCACGAGAAATGGAACCCAAAGAAAAACAAGATGCCGAGATGGAAAACATCCTGCAATTGATTGCTGACTTGCTGGAAGAAGATGCAAATTATGATACTTTACATTTACTGCTCAAGATTTCAATGAAACTCATCCTGGATGTCTTGGATGGTATCTATGGGATTATCTACCCTCTGGTAATTTAGCATAGCTATTGAAAATGACCATTTATAGTGGATTTTCCCATTAAAAATAGTGATTTTCCATAGCTATGTTAGTTCACCAGAGGGTACTTACTAACCAGCTAAGAATTTGGCATTTTTTACAGGGGCCCTCTGGCAGATAGGCCATGGGTCCGGGTATGTCCAGGTTAGTGAATGGTGTACTACCCGTTAAATTTCACCATGAAAAATGCTGGGAAATATGGTGAATTTTCAGCATCAAGCTGGGTAAATTATAACGACCTCACTACGACCTCACTACGACCTCACTGGGAATCATGGTTAGGATTCGGGAAATCATCCCCAAATAGGCTTAATTCAGGTTAGTGAATTATTATAATTTACCCAGATCAAGCATGGCCATGGAAAACCATGAACAAGTGACTTAAGTGGGATGGACAAAAAACATGACTGGGACGATCACCAAGATCACGAAAAATGGATGGATTTTTCACCATGAAAACCCCTTGGATTTCATGGGATGTTCATGCGAACTGGAAAATCATCATCTAATGGGCAAATCAACGAACGAAATGGGCAATTTCACACCGCTATGTTGGTTTACCAGAGGGTAAGGTACATGACCCCAGCCACTACCCGAACTGGTAAACTGTTGGGGATGAAATACCTACGTAGCTCCTAATCAAACCTTCGGGCTTAAGGAGCATCACTGAACTTTCGAAGTAACATGAACTAACACTATGTAGATCACCGTTTTTGATAGTTAATTAATCTATAGATGGGCCGTTTCATACCATTTTCTGCAGTTCTTGGATCAGGGATCCGGAGGGTAACAGCGGCTGTTTTTGGGTGAGAATGGACATTCCCAAGTAACTTCGCGACAGTTTTGGTGTCATCAAACGTGGCAATACGAAATGACCCATACATGGAGGTTTCAATGGGAAAATCATCCATAGGTAGAAGGTTTTCCCTTGTGCCGTTTGATTACTAGAAGGTAACCTTGACAAATCTTTTCAAATGGCTATCACTAAGATTCACCCTGAGAACACTGGAATAATTCACCGCTAGATTCACTTAACATCAGAGGAGAGGAAATCCAAAAGACGGCTTGCTTCACCACCACCTCTGAGGTTGTTGGCTGGTGACCTCATTTCAAGAGTTTCTATAGTTAAAGCCCACTTTAGCCAGTTGTAAATTGTATTTTGATGGGTTTATCATTCCATAAATGGGGTCGGGTCTTATAGCTCTTATAGCTGACTTAGAACTGATATTTCGGGCACATTTTGCAGAACAACTTTTTGGGCACTGATCATGCAACAAAGTGATTACCCTCTGGTAAACTGACATAACTATGGAAAATCACCATTTTTAATGGGAAAATCCACTATAAATGGCAATTTTCAATAGCTATGTTAAATTACCAGAGGGTATCCGAATTGATGCTCACATTGCCGTTTCCGTGTTTGCGGTTTAAATCCGAAATTTCTGGGCTTCAAAAACGCCATTTTGTTGGCTATTTTCTTCGTCTACTTCCACTACATGTTCCTCTTATCTTCATATGTTCCAACGTTTTTCCCCACAATTTCTGATCATTTGCTTATTTTTTTACAGTTAAAACCCTTTACTAATTATAACTGGTTATAAGTTGGCTCATATTATCTTATCATTCCATAAATTCGGTGAACTTCTGACTGGTAACTTATAACTGGCACTTTGGGCCACTGTAGAGGCCCCTGGCAGCAAAAATCCTCAGGTTTGACTCGCGGCTCAGTGGTCGAGAGACTCGAGAGATGCGTCACACTGTCCTAGAGGCCAGGCGCCTCGCAAAACGGACTGCCAGTTACAGTTGAGGCCCGAAATACCAGTTATAAGTACTAAGAAAACCCCTATGGATGGAATGTATAATCCCACTGATAACCAGTTATATTATTCATTTATAACTGGTAAAGGGCCATAAGTGTATAAGTATGGATAAGGTATATATTGTATAATTGTATCATGTTATATACTATATTACATATACATATATATATAATATATATATATATATATATATCAGCCAGTGATGATACAACTATAAGTTATAATACTGATTCCGGTGATCTAGAAAAATTCAGCCTCGCAAAAGGCCCCAAGGCGGTCTTTTGAACATATGGCTAATTTGACCATGAATTTGGGCTATACCCTGGGAAAACCATGAAGATTATCACTGGTTATAATGGAAAATATCATGGAATATCGTCATGAGAAATGCCATTTAAACCAGTTTCTAGGTCCATCAACTGGATGGATAGAAACTAATCCGGACTATTCTTGGATGATATCAATGGGATTATCTACTTGGTAACCAGCTAAGAATGTGTCTTTTTTTGCCAGGTGTCTAAGATTGGCCATGTACCAGTTATAAGTGAGTAAATCTATGTAAATCACCAAATTTTTGGAATGATAAGGTACGAGAAGCCCATGTACAAAACCATTTAAAACTGGTAAAGGGCTTTACCTGTAGCCAAGGAACGTGTTAACTTTGTGGGGTTTTAGTGGACAACATTAGTTATAAACCAACAAACACATGGGAAAAGCTTTGAATGTTGTAAAGTAATATCAAGTAAGCATAAACTATAGTTAAAACATCAATGAACTATAGCCATGATTTCTATAGTATGGGGATATTATTGAGAATATAGAAGATATTGCCCTCCGGACCAACTCAATTTGGGTTTGCTTAGGATTGGTTTAGAGTTTATTTAGGGTTTCATTTGTTTTTTTAGTATATTTTCCCACACTTTTAACTGGATCTTTCAAGGCTTACTTAGGGTTTCATGTCAGATTTAGGGTTTAGGGTCGAGGGTTGTGTGTTTTGGAAACAAGTCTCGTCAGCCAGGTTGCCATTTGGCCGACATCCCAGAATGCACAAACACTGGCCCTGCGCAGTTCAAATACACTTCCGCGGGCAGCATCAACATACATATTTATTTAAGTATATTATATATATATATATTTAATTTGATTTAATGGGGAAACTTGCTGCACCTGGGCTTGATACCGGTCACAAGCCTTCGAGTCCTGGTCCTCAAGTATTCACTGGGTAAATTAAGCCCCACAGACATATCCAGATACCAATCGGGGTGAGCTATTGAAAATGGCACATTTAGTTCGGTGATTTAAATGATTTACCTATTAAAAATTGGTGGATTTTCCAGTTCGCTATGTGAACGTTTACCAGAGGGTAATCTTTAATTGTGTAAATCAACGACCATTTCAGGAACCGATTCATTGGAGGTACCTACCATATATAAGGCCTGAATTTCAGGGAATATCCCCACAATTCATATGGCCAAACATATGGTACGTTTACGTACCTCCATCAATTGGATCCTGGATTTCCCATTCTGCAAATGGCTGTTGGCACCTCCTGGATCTTGCTGGTCTGACCGTTTGTAGTTTGATACAACTTCTTTTTTTTGCTCATTTGATGGGTACAAGGTGGTGCCCCCCCAGTTATAAGTTGGTTTATAATCCCCATTAACTATAGATATAACCCCCTAATCAACCCTAGTTATTGGACTTATTTGCACCAACTTAGCTAACTAGGGGCACCACCTTGTACCATTTAAGGACATACCACATTTTTTTTAATCCCCACATTCTACATGTTGATTAACATCATGTTGATATTTGTTGACACATTCCCATTGTATTCCCATTAATTGTTGATAAAACTTGCCGAATATATATATATTATATATATCCATTAATTAGTATGATAATAACCATAGCTATGCATCCATTTACAGATGGGATAAGCCAGGGGACCTTTATCCGACACCGGATGTAGATCGCTTCCCTAGGATTGTCCAATGGCGGAATTCCACGTTACCACCTTTTGGTAAACTCAATGCAATTTGAGGCTCCCCAGTCATAAGTCTGGGTAAATTTGATCACGACCTCACTGCGACCGAACCCTGGAATCATGGTTAGTAAGGGGAATCATCCCCAAATGGCCCAACATTTCAGGTTAGTGACATACTTTAATTTACCCAGTCATAAGTGGTTTTTTCATGGTTTATCACCCCCCATGAATACTATAGTTAAAAATAGCTCAAATCATAATAATGATACTAGTTAAACTATACCATTACTACTACCATAATAATAAAGTAGTCCCAAGAGTAAATATTTTTTGCTAGTACATGGTAGTTCTACTATAGTTATACCCTCTGGTTATTTGTTACATAGCCATGGTATAGATGGCCTATAGAAATAGATGCGTTACCTATTAATAGCATGGGTGGATTTTCCATGGCAAACTGTTAGTCATGACCAGATGGTAAACTATCATAGCTATTGAAAATGGCAATTTATAGTGAGTTTTCCCATTAAAACATGTGATTTTCCATAGTTATGTTAGTTTACCAGAGGGTAACCAGATGCTATGACCTCATTGCGGGGGAATTTTCTAAGCCCATCACCATGTACTAAACCATCCCTATGGATCCATGGCACCTGTCGAAGCTACGGATACCCCAGGGATACCCCAGTCCCACTTCCCTAAATTTTTAGAAGCTACGGTTGGATCCATAGGGACTATGTATTAGAATTATATATATAATATCACTAAAATACTAATTATAATAATAATCTCTATATATAATATAATACATAATACTAATTATTATATATATATATATATATCACTAGTTATATACATCACTTATATGATATATTATCACTAAAATAAGAAGCTACTTACTAGTACGGTTGGATCATGAAATCCACCCATGGCATGTTAAAAAACACATTTTTCAGAGCTATTTCAAGCCTTTCAAAAAAAAACTGCAGGAGTTGCACTCAGAGGAAGAGTCCGAGCGGCCGAATTTGATTGCGCCCAGTGGAGCCCCGGACGTGCCTCGGTTTTTCACCAGGGGTTTTAACCATGAAGATTACCCTCTGGTAATTTAACATAACTATGGAAAATCACAATTTTTCATTGGAAAATGGGATTTAATGGGATTTAATGGGATTTAATGGGATTTAATGGCACTTACCCTCTGGTTATGTCAAAATAGCTATTGAAAATGACCATTTATAATGGATTTACCCAGCTAGAAAGTGGTGATTTTCCATAGTTACGTAAACGTTTACCAGAGGGTATCGGGTATTTCATGGGAAATGGATGGAATATGGTCCTATGGTGATGAGAAATGGCATTTAACTATTTAACCAGTTTATCTACCAGCGGAAATCCAACCAAAAATTGACTTTAAAATGACTTTAAATGATTTGAAAAGGGGATTTCAATGATTTTGAATGGGCAATTCATCGAAGTAAATGAACAATTGTCCAGCAAACCATGCAATCGATTGCCAGAGCTCAAAAAATGGAGGATTTACACACTAAACAAAGGGATACTGTATGTGTATATATATATATATGTATGTATATAATAGTATTTATTGTGTATATATAATATATATATTTTGATACATACTGCATAAGGCTGGGGATGTTTCATGAGATTTATCCAACAAGAACTGGGAGAGTCTGAGGATTTAACCCCATCTAACGAAGTGTTCGTCATAAATACTTACTGGTGCTTAGTAGGGAATGGATGGGAATGGGGGTTGCTGGGATTATTATGAATAGCTATTGTGGATCATTCCCGAAAATTCCCTGCTAAGCATCAGTAAGAATACCATAGACCGTTTGGTTAATCCAACTTATAAACTATCTTCGCCAACCATTTGGGGCCCCACCTGACAGGCAAAAGCCTTGAAAGTGTGGTGTTTTGTTGAGTGCAATGCAATGGTTCATCGTGGTTTATCTAAGAAAAATATGAGGTTTTCTACTATTGAGCAACACAGAATATGGAAACTTACAGGGTTTTCCAAAATGGTACATTTTATGCCCACTTTTACAGCAATTTGATGGACAAAATGAGGGTTGCTCCAACCTATTACAGGTAAATTTTTGCCACAAAGGGGGGGATATTTGTGATGTCACATTCACATTTTACCCTTTGATTTACGAGCAATTTCCCTCGAAGGTCGGACCTCGCTTTGAATTTTGGTTATGTAATAATTCCATCTAACTATAGTTATACTTAATTATACCTATAAATCCTAGTTGACCCACTTAGTTTAACCAACTTATCCAACAATTTGGGGCCCCATATTGTAGTAGCACAAGCTTGTTCTTTACAGTTGGGAGTTGCACAAACATGGTGATATCGGTGATATGACCGGATTTCAGCAGTTGCCTAGCATGGACAACTTATCGTTCATAGTGGTAACTAGTATACTTATAGCTGTTCAAACTTAACATCCCAAATGGATAATATCCATTTTATAACTGTAGCTGATACTTATCCATGTTATAACTATAAGTATAAGTTGGCTGCTGTATCCACTAAGTATAAGTTGGTCCAAGTTGGTCCAAGTTGGTTAAAGGTCTGTTTTCGCCTTCTTTTGGGTTAAAAAAAACCTGTTTTTACGTCATGGTTTTTGGGGTCAGGCTCAGATTTCAATGATAGAATGAATGATGTGTCGGGCTACACATGAGCCACACACAACATCAATAATTGCTCTGATATAAATATATATATATATATGGTTGGCTGTTTGGAACATGTTGTTTTCCATTTCATATATGGGATGTCATCCTTCCCATTGACGAACTCATATTTTTCAAGATGGTTATTGCACCAGCAAGCAGATATGCACGGAGGAAAAAACACCGATGATTGTTGGATCACCTGGGATGTCTTCACCAATCCCATCGACGATGAGGGGAGTCATCCCCAAAATTGTTTGTTTCCGTAGAAATGTTTTAGGAATGATAGTTTAGGAATGTTGTAGGAATGTGACACCCAGAACATTGACGCCAAATATTAGAGACTTTTTTCGCGAAAGGAATCTGAACATGTGTTGCCAGTGATGAATTATTCCTTCATTACATGCAAACTTGAGTTTTTGCACATGTTCTTTAATTTTTTGACCGACATGTTTAGGGCATACTTAAAATAGACACATATTAATTGAAATCCTGGGTTTGGGGTTTGAACATGGACCCAGGTCACGATGTTTGAATTATCACCAAGGGGACCCCCACTGAAATGTTTGTTGGTGTACAGTCCCATCTAATGAACTATTCACAGCTACCATAAACCCAATAGTTACTGGTTGGTGGTTTGGAACATGAATTTTATGACTTTCCATATATATATTGGGAATTTCATCATCCCAACTGACGAACTCCATGATTTTTCAGAGGGGTAGGTCAACCACCAACCAGATTTTAATAGGTTTTAACATCATAAACCAACTATTTCTATGGGAAAATCAACTATTTCTATGGCCATTTTCCAGTTCGCACTTCCATATTTTGGCCGATTCTCAACCGACTTTGCGGTTCAAGTCTGGGGGCTCCCTCGGTTCCAGGACTTCAGATTGGAAGACTGGGAGCTGGAAGTGGTACAGGTCATTGATGAATCAGGCGGGAGTCAAAGTGACCCGTTGGGTATTTTATCTGCAAAGTGATCACACGTTTTTTTTTTACCATGAAATCAAAAGTGTAAACTAACCATTCCCTGAAATTTAGATTGGTATTTAGATTATTTGGATTGATCAATTATAAGTCATTTTACGATTCCCTGACATGTTGAATATGTTCATCTGCAGAAATGGGAGTTGATGCAATAAAATCAAGATGTAAATGTAAACATCTGATACAATGCATATTAGGGGATTGACTTGCTGGCTCCAACGACACGTACATGGGTTATATGGTCAAAAGTGGGGGAGATGTTTGATCCAGCCAATACAGTTGATGAAAAACGATGTGCAACAGAATCCACTTATAGAAAAAACAGTTGCAAACAAGCGACTTGCAACGCCTCCAACAAGGAAGTTGCAAACAGTTGCAAACCCTCCAGGTATGAAATTTCGATTTCATCATGAAATAATGTCAACCCCAGATTAATAAACCATGGTTTATTAATGTTTATTATTTAGGGGGGGTATTCCCTCAATAGTCGTGACTTGATATAGGGGGTATTCCCTCAATAGTTGTGATTTGATACTTTTTTATATTGCCTTACCAATTAAACAGCCGTTAGGGGTTTATTAATCCAGTGTTAACATTATAGGGATTATGTAATATGATTATATGGGATCATATCCACAGCCAAATTGTGCCATTAAAAGGCCTTATACTCCCGGTTATCCCCATAGTTTCCAATGATGATGTTCCATATCGTTCTCATCTTTTCACCATATTTTTCTACACAATATGGGGCCCACTTTGTATTAAAACATACGGAGACCGACGACCCGTGATGTGTCGCGTATGCTTCTGCCTAGCCTAAGCGTCAAAAAGGTGAGGTTCAAGCACCAATATAGAAGGCATTAAGCATGAAACAACCTAGCTAAGGATGGTTTAATACAACTTACCCTCTGGTAAACTAACATAACTATGGAAAATCACTATTTCTGATGGGAAATTCCACTATAAATGGCCATTTTCAATAGCTACGTTAAATTACCAGAGGGTATAATCTCTGGCTAGAAGTGCAAGAGCAACATACCCAACTAAACAAGCTAATTATGTCGGAAGGGCATGTAATATTATCCATGCCCTGGGACCACATAATACTGTCACTGTTTCCAGGACCCCAGGATATGAGTTTCTTTGCAGTACCCCGACATTGGGGGGTTCCGGTAACAATGCCCTTCTACAAATTCTGGGATACGAGGAATGGAAGCTTCAACAACCAGCTATGATTCTTTGGCTGGTCTTGATCCACCAATTGCCCATAGTTGCCCTGAATGGAGGAATGTTATAGTTCAGTCCAAGCTGGTTATAGTTGATCTTGCAACTTGTGGTTGAAACAAATAATCCGCGAACTTTCCATTGCCATGGAGCAAAGTGAACCCACATTTTTGATGGTCGCAACCAGTGGCTTTACTGAAATATCATACCATATTCTTTTTCCTGGTATCTAGTATCCATTCATTTATCAGTGTGGTTTCTGGAATTATATTCATTTATAACGGTTTAGCTGGTGAGTCCATCTACTCATGGTTGAGCTGGAGGAGCAACTTAAGCCACGGCATATTCCAGGAATAGTTCACCACGAATAAAACTGGTGCCAAAAATTAGCCCCTGCTGCAAAATGTTAACATGTAATATATATATATATAGTCATCCTGGAGAAGATTATATGAATAGTTCAAACAATTCTCGCAAGAATGAGCATATTATGACATTCCATATATTTCAGGATGATTATACGATATTCTATGTACCTATCTACGGAATCCCATGTTTCTCCCATTTGCGGTTTCTAAATTTGTCAACCAACCAGCTTAGTTGAGCAGGCACATCCACGTGGCTTGTCTGTAGCTCTACTGGTACCTGTGCTTCATTTTCACCGATGCCGATGGCACCTTCAACCTTCGGAGAATGTTTGGTGGAGAGGCTGGTTCCAAGACCAGCCTTCCAAGCCGTCCATGTAGTGCTCACCATTGGTTTCTGTATCCTGGGGACAAATCTCTATCCGGAGCCTCAGCGACATGGCGAAAGGCGAAGTCACCACCGCAAACAAGATCAAATGGAACCAGCCAAAGCTTCAGTGTTGCGTATTATCTAAATTGGCTCTGGTCCGGACTGTCCATGGTTTCGACCATTTAGCAGTGAAAATTTAGGACCCAGGGACCCACAAACTTCACTACTTCGGATGAATCGTCCACGTTGTTTTTGAATGTTTTTGATACGGTCAAGCCAATTTTGACCTGTCCGAACACAATGTTTGAACTATATGGGGGTTCTTAAAATGGAGTATCCCCAAGTCACCATGGTTGTTCAATACTAAAGTGGTCGAATGACTTTGATGATTTCGGGTACCCAGATGATTATGGGAAATGTACAACAGGATGCAGTATCCGTTGCGGCAGCAAAGAAACATCGATTCAATATGATGTAATCATATTCAATGCAAAAAGTTGTGAATTCAAAATGGGAGCCATGATTAGGTTATGAGCCACTCGCAAAACGACGTATACAGTCCCTCGCATTTCAAAAGCGGCGGCTCTGATGGATGATATGCCCGAAAATCATGTTCTAAACCCACCCAGAACTCCATGTATGGCATATATTTACAAAGCACATTAATTACCTCGTTAAATATGTCCCTGGTTCACAGATTTTTATGCATGTTGACCACGTTTCTCAGGATTACAACTTGTCCCATAGGATCCATGGTGCTGCCATATATGGTAACATTTACCATTAATATACCCCAGTCATGTTAGCATATATACCAGCACCATGGATCCTATGGGTATAGATACTTATAGTTTCTTTGCGAAATCTCAGTTCTGTGAACAGTTGGAGCGTCACGGACCTTTTCTCACGCCTCAGGATCCGTACTACTTCTCTCACGTGGGTGATATCAACGAAATCTTGAGTATCAGAGCCTCGATAGTTGAGTGGCCATTGCTGGTCAGATTGGGATCTTTTTTTTTAAAGATGTTCTTATCAAGACGGGCCCCCGAATTGTAACCTGGTTGTTTATATATGTTTATAATATATGATATATATATGTTTATATTGACTATAGTTATAAGTATTACAAACCATAGTGAAAATACGTATTTTATTTGTAATGAAAGACTTTACTGGAGATTCACCAGAAACCGGCTTTCGAGGAGCAATTTACTTGGTAAATGTGCGGAAGCATTTGGAATTGAAATGACTGGTGAGTAAACACAGATACAAGGTGGTGCCCCATAGTTATAAGGTGATTTATAATCCCCATGAATACTATAGATATAACCCCCATTCATCAACCCTAGTGAAATTGGACTTATTTGCACCAACTTAGCTAACGAACTGGGGCACCACCTTGTATCATACTTCGGATGTGCCTGGTGTTGATATGCCCTTGCTGGCTTCACCTTTCCTGCTGATAGGCTGATGAGTTATCATTTTAGATTCAAAAGGCTATGGTTCAATACAAGATGGTGCCCCCCATTGATGTTTGTTGGTTTATAACCCATCTAACTATAGTTAAAATTACCATAAACCCAAGCTATTGGAGTTATAACCAACTTTGCTATCGTTTGGGCCCCACCTTGTACCTTTTTTCTATCATATTTTCGGGGAGTTACACATTTTTATCCAAGCTATGTTGATGTTTTCACAGCGGGGTAACACCCATGATCAAGTCACAGCGCAAGATGAAGCACCCGTGGCGCATGAGTGAAAACTTGGTCGGTACCCGAGTTTTTCAGGGTGGAGTTTCTTCTTGCAACTCTGCGAAGAAACGAGTAAACAAATGGCTCAGGATTTTTGACCTTAGGTGGTTTTTAGTTTTCGTAATGACCAACATGACCAACATGACCAACATGACCAACATGACCAACATGACCAACATGACCAACATGGCAATCGCCATTTTTGGGGTGATGACTGATGGCCATACCATCATACCCACCTTGGATTTTTTTGGGCGCATGTTGCTTCATTTTTCTGGGACTTGAAGCTACTTCTTATGGGTACTTGGAGGGTCTACCATCTGATTATTTAACATAGCCATGGAAAATCCACCCATTTTTAAGAACGGTAAACCATCTATTTCTATGGGTCATCTATACCATAGCGAACTGTTAGTCATAACATGTCATAACCAGAGAGTCTACATGGCGATAATATTAATGGTGGGTTGATATGTAATCACGACCCTTGAGTCCCACTTGAGTTGGATCATGAGACCCTCCCAATGAAAACCTTCATATCATACAAAGTGGGGGCCCCATAGGAAAAACCATAGGAAAACCATAGGAAAATGGGGATTTCATGGGATTTGTAGCTGATTTTTGATAGCTAAGTTGGTGCAAATATGTCCAATAAGTATGGTAGATATAACGAACTAGTTAATGGGTTTATAAACCAACAAACATCAGTGGGGGGTACCACATTGTAGGGAACATGATGATGAATCAGTGCATGGAATGGCATACCCTATTTTCAGACAAACCCAATTCTGATATTTTCAGACAAACTCAATTAGATATAAAACCCTATATTATATCTACACTCACAGTGTTTTTTCGTATTTTTATTTTCACCTACTGAAGGGTATAAAAGAATTCCAATGGAATTTCCGTATCAGAGAAACCATCATGAATGTAGATATCTATGTAAATAGTCATGGTATTTGTCCATATCTACGTCCATATCTACGTGAATATACTGTGTATATATACCCTCTGGTTATTTAACATAGCCATGGAAAATGGCCCATTTATAGATGGTTTACCTATTAAAAATGGTGATTTTCCATGGCTATGTTAAATAACCAGATGGTATATATATATATATTATAAGATTTACTACCTACGAGTCCCGCAGATGCTGAATTCAGCAGTGAGGAAGTGCTGAATCTGCCATACTCATACTGAAGAAGCGTTGCTTTGGCTTGGTTTAAGGGAAAATGTGAAGCGGAAAGAAAAACACCATGGCTTTGGTGTGGTTATACCCATGGTTATATGTGGTTATAAGATGGTTTTCCCATAATCAATGGTTTTCCCATGATATCAATTGGTTAACCATTAAAAACACATGGTTAATGTGGTTAATTATATATCTAGGTCAATCAACTGGATGGTTAATAAGATGAAAAAAATGGATAATTAATGGATGATTTTCAAGGTCAATCAACTGGATGGGTAGAAACTCATCCGAACTAGTCTTGGCTGCTATGAGATTATCTACATTCACAAGCTTAGAATTTGTCATCTTTTGCAGGGTATCGGGCAGATAGGCCATGTTTGATGGAAAAAATCCATGGGAAAACCCGTAGATTTTCCCTTCAACGAATCCTTTGATTGCTGAGTCTGGCAACTTTGGGAGATTTCAGAAGGGGGTGATTTCCATGCAACCAGGGGCACAGAGATATGTCTGAACGGTGGATGAGGTGAAGGGTCGCAGGATTTTTTTGTGTATCCGATCGGATTTGGGGCTATCAGCTTTATACTGGTTGGTAAACCATCTATTTCTATGGGTCATCTATACCATGGCGAACTGTTAGTCATAACCAGAGGGTATATTGAACAAATCCTGGTTGGTGGTTTGGAACATTTTTATACATTGTTTATTTTTCCATATATTGGGAATGATAATCCTAACTGACGAAGTCATATTTTTCAGAGGGGTGGCTCAACCACCAACCAGTATATGTCAATGAATCGGATAATCTAACCCGACCTGGGGGATGATAAAGCCTAAAGGTTTTGCACGTAGATATATTCAGTGTCATAGATTATAGAGCCACCAATCTGAAGTCTTATAACTCTTAATGATGCTACTTAGAGCTTTTAAGTAAAAGTTCCAAGTCATGGGTATATATTATACTATATTCTAACAGTGTTTTTTGTTATAGTCTAGTATATTATTTTATATTATGTTATATTATATTTTGTCATATGATATTATACTATAGTACATTGTATACTATAATGATATTTTATAATGTACTATAGTATAATGTAATACACTATAATGATATTTTATGATATTGTATAAATTATGTGATCCAATTTTTGTAGATTGGAGGGCCTAGAGGTTAATAGAGGTTGATCTCAAAAAAAGCTGTCTTTCTGTTGATGGCACCTGAAACACCGTGGATATTCACGTCGCTTCGCGACGGCAACCGCCCGCACCGCATCGTTGGGCAGCCGCTCGTAACTGCCAATGATGTCGGCCATTGAGACCAAAAACATCCGAAAGTACTGATTGTCGGAAAAAAAAACGCGAAGAATTTGATAGCCATGTATAGCGGACCAACGCAGTTCAAAAAATAACGAAAAACATGAAAAAACGGCGAAATTGCTGTTATTTACAATGTTTTTGCGCGGTGAGAAGCAGAAACCACTGCAAATACCATGGTTTTTGAGGGTCAGGTGGCCAAAAACACTGTAATTTACAGTGTTTTTTTAACCAACGTCAAAAAACACTGGTATTTACGATGTTTTCATTCACACCGTAACATAAAACAGCGTAATTTACGAGGTTTTTGGAAGTTTTGAAGCTAGCCGTCAAGCATGCAGAAAACAGAAAAACACTGTAAAAACCAGTGTTTCTGCTATCACAAAACGACGAAAATCAGTCCAAAAACGGGTCCAAAAACTCAAAAATCCGCCTCCGGGCCCGGCACCTGCGGAACAGCAAAAAAAGATGTTGCAAACCAAAAAATTGAGGTCAAAAAGTTGAAAAACACGGTTTTTTTTCACTTTTCGCTTGCCGGTTTTGGACGGGCGCGTTCACGAACAGGTGTCTTCCGTACTTTTTTTTTACAGTGTTTTTTGAAGGCGAGCGTCACGACCTATCAAAAACAGGAGGTTTTGGCCGAAAAATGCCCCCCCCCCCCCAGGTAAACCTGTAACCTTTTACGAGTGCCATCCGGAAGATCACGCCCCAGCACCTTCGGTGCGGGCGGATTTTGTCGGTTACTACGGTTACCACCTTTTCTCTTGGTGCCAAATACGTGTTAAAGCATCGTTTCCGGGGTGCGTAATGTTGGGACGGCATTGGTGTTATGATCCTGTTGCTTGAGCGATTTCAAGATGCTTCAAATACCCTCCGACAAATTTGTCACGTAGCGAACTGGAAGCCATGGCCCATTGAGTTCATTGATTTACCAAAAATTGCGATTTTCCAGTTCCGTTCGCAAACTGTAAACGTTTACCAGAGGGTAGATCATACAGGTGGCCCATTAAAAAGAACCGCGAAGCCACGGTGGCCCGACTCATTGATATTGACAATGATGGAGCCGTCGAAACAGTGAATTGACTCCCGATCTTGCAATCTCCGATATTTTTGAACTCATCATTGATCATTCCTGGAAAGTGCTGTTTAGTCGGCAAAACATGGGTGGGGCGCACCCTGCCAACCCGAGTACATCTCCATCTCGTTTCCGTGTTTAGAGCCCTGCAACAGTACGAGAACATCGTCAGTGCTCAATCAGTTGTGATCAGTCGCCTTGAAGACCGCCTTGCAAGATTAGAACATGCAATCGCAACCGGATTACAGTTAGTTCTCACACCGCGCCCTCCTCCAGACGCGTCAGTGTGGTTCAATGCCGACACACCACCATGATCGCTGAGAGCATTCAGCCCGGGTGAAAATCCATCTTTCGGGGGGTGGTGCATGGCTTTTGACTTCATCTAAATTGTCACAAACATAAGATTGTCTAATATGTGTGCTTTCAGTGAACTCAATTTAAGAAGAACCGATGTGAACTCTGTAGCCCGAGGGAGATAGCATTGCTAAGTTGGTTTACATCTAGCTTAAACTGTTAGGTGATAGTTATAGTATGTTATAGTTACCATCTGGTTATTTAGCATAGCCATGGAAAATCCCTAATAAATGGAGGTTTTAATGGGAAAATCTTCTATAAATTGGCTATGTTAAATAACCAGATGGTAAGTTCGGTAGGATTTTGCTTCCGCACCTTTCGAGACGGAAGCCCACCTTGCAAGAACATTAATCTTTCTATGTGAAGGTTGGTGAAAATAATCCCCATGAATACCATAGCTGGTTGGTGGTTTGGAACCATGGAATTTCATGACTTTCCATTCAGTTGGGAATGTCATAAGCCCAACTGACGAAGTCATATTCTTCAAAGGGGTAGGTCAACCACCAACCAGCATAGATTAAGTATCATAAACCATAGTTATTGGGGCTGTCCGATACAGCACATAGTCTCCAATAAATACCCTCGTCATATATTCTCCACATATAGATCCCCTTGTTTGTCCATGATATCCCATACTTTAGTATTGCTATACTCTTCAATATAGATATTCCCATTACTTCTCACTGGTTGGTGGTTTGGAACATGTTTTATGTTTCCATATATTGGGAATAATCATCCCAACTGACTAATATTTTTCAGAGGGGTTGAAACCACCAACCAGATTTATTGTTTATATAGATATTCCCATTACTTCTTATATTTCCCATGATATTCCGAGATATTCACATGTTAAGATTGGCAATACTAATATCATCGATGAACTATCCATGAGATTTCCCATGAAACTCGTTGAAGAAATTCTTCGGAATTATATTATAGTCCATTGTATCCCATTATTATAATCCATCATACTTCCCATTGTATGTCTCATTATAATTCCTGTCATTACTAAGGAGCATCATTACTATTTCTTGATATGTCCCGAGTAATTATATAATATTCCCATGCAGCAAATATCCACATGACATGGCTCCGCTCAGGTTACTTTGTGCATTATAATTCACTACAATTCCCATAAGATTTCCCATTACTAAGTTGAGGAAATCATTGGCAATACTAAAATCCATGAAAGATCCATTATATGTCAAAAAAAACATATCCAGATGTGTTTTTTTTCATGTAAAATCCATGAAACATCCATGTTTTTTACATGTATATTTCACATTCAGTCGGGATTTCCCCATGAAACTCCTGGAAATTCTTCGGACGCTGCGCTCCGCTCCATGCTCTCACAAGGTGGTGCCCCCATAGTGATGTGAATGTTGGTTTATAATCCCCATGAATACTATAGATATAACCCCCATCCATCAACCCTAGTGAAATTGGACTTATTTGCACCAACTTAGCGTTCACGAACTGGGGCACCACCTTTGCACCAACTAAATCACCATGAATATCCATTAAATCATCATAAATCACCATAAATCACCATAAAATCACCATAAATCACCATAAAATCACCATAAAATCACCATTAAATCACCATAAATTAGCTAACTATGGGGCACCACCTATAAAATCACCTATAAAATCCCTAGATTTTCCCATAGCATGTTCCGCAGGTTACTTCGTGCTGCGGCAGCAGGACATCGCCATGGACTTGGCCCACTCCGCCCGCAGCGCCGCCGAGCTGCGCCGCGATTTGGATCGCTGCCCCGCGCCCTGGCAGCCGAAGCCCCGAAGGGGGCGGGTTTCGCCGGTTTTCCCATGGGAAAACCAGGGAAAACCACGGGAAGATGGTGAAAACCATGGAAAATCTGTGAATTATGATGGAAATCGATGGAAACATGATGAATCATGGGAACATGTGGGAAAGTCATGAATCATGAGGTCAAAACCACCTGAACATGTTGGACAAGAGAGCAAAGATGTGGGGAACATGATGTAAACATCAAGGAAAAGATGATGCGAACCAATGAAACAATATGGACGCATGATATATAATCATGAAACAAATGATGAAACATGTCAGAAACTGATGAACACATATGAAAGTATATGTTTTTTTAAACAATTGGACCTGCAGGCATGTGGATCTTAACAGCTGGGTTTGTTCAACAACACATGTTCGCTTTCAACCCCATTCACATTCCTATTACTGGTTGGTGGTTTGGAACATGAATTTTATGACTTTCCATATATTGGGAATTTCACCATCCCAACTGACGAACTCAGATTTGTTCAGAGGAATTGAAACCACCAATCAGATTAGAAACACTTTCAATCCCATTCACATTCCTATTAAGTCCTCATGAAACCGCCGTTGTCCCCATTTTTGTTGGGTAGATGTTCCCCAAAAAGTTCAATCCTGACCCCTTAAGTTCGAGAGAAGTTCGGCTTCAGGAACTCTGGGACCTTTTCAGAGCCAAGTTCGATTGCATGAAGTACAACGGCAAGGTGCTCGACGCAGGGCTTTGGGGATACCCTCTGGCTATGTCAAAATAGCTATTGAAAATTGCCATTTATAGTGGATTTACCAATTAAAAATTGTGATTTTCCATAGTTATGTTAGTTTACCAGAGGGTAGAAGCTGGCCCCCCAAGTTAGTTTTTGTTTGTTTTCGGGTCGCGTTTTTTTGCCTCAAGTTTGCAACATGTGAAATTGACCATCATTTTAAATGTCACCAAGATGAATTTACTATAGTCGTTATATCCCTCATTTTTCTGTGGAGGGCTATTTTTTTTGGGATTTTTTTCCCGTTTTCTGGTGGAAGGAAGGTGCGAGGAAGGAAGGAAGGAAGGAAGGCAGGGAGGGAGGGAGGGAGGGAGGGAAGGAAGGAAGGAAGGAAGGAGGGGAAGGGGAAGGGGAAGGAAGGGAAGGGAAGGGAAAAGGGAAGGGAAGGGAAGGGAAGGAAAGGAAAGGAAAGGAAAGGAAAGGAAGGAAAGGAAGGAAAGGAAAGGAAAGGAAAGGAAAGGAACAACAACAACAACAACAACAACAACAACAACAACAACAACAACACCCACACCCACAACCACAACCACAACCACAACCACCACCACCACCACCACCACCACCAACCACAACAACAACCAACCAACCAACACCAACCAACCAAGCAACCAACCAAGCAACCAACCAACCAACCAAGCAACCAACCAACCAACCAACCAACCAACTAACCAACCAACCAACCATCCATCCATCCATCCATCCAACCACAACAACAACAACACCATGCAAATCAGAGAGCTTAGCTGCAAAACGCTGCAAATACCAATCAAAACCATCAAACCCCAAAAAACGGGGGGAAAAAAAAAACGGGAAACAATTCCAAAAAAAAAATGCAGCCCTCAATAGTTAAGGCACAGATGAAATTAACGAAAACATGTGCCTTACTTGTATAGATGGATATTCTTCTGGGGATGGTGTGCAGTCATAAAAAACCACAACAAGCATGGGATTACATACAATATGAACTGTTGTTGGATAGAAAAGCCACTGTTACAGTTAGTTAAAACCACAAAAAAGGGATCAACCTATATTTTATTGGTATAATATATATATATGATGTGGGAATACAGATACACACGACGTTAGTGATCAGTGTCACTAAGTTTCTGTCCAAGAAGTTGGATCCGGCTAACTCCAAAGCCATAAAGCGCACTTGTTAAGGGTCATAGAACACACTTGGAAGCTGGGAGACAATGGCACTTGAAGATTTGAAGCACTTTTCTCTCTTTGGGAAGAACAGGTCAATAAATTACTGTATGGAATTATGTATGATTATATTGAAATGCTGTTCTATACTAGGTGTTTGTCAGTGATATGTCCCCTACTAGCTATTCCGAGTTTTACTAGGCTTAGCTATGGTTCTAACCCAGATATATGGTCTTCAGGATGTCAATAGTAGCTATAAGTTCTATTCCAATTAGTCAGACCCATGGTGAAATGTTTGCTGGTTCATAAACCCACACAAAGTGGTGCCCCAGTTCGTGAGCGCTAAGTTGGTGCAAATAAGTCCAATTTCACTAGCGTTGATTAGGGGGTTATATCTATAGTTAATGATAATCCGATTATAAACTAACAAACATCACATGGGGGCACCACCTTGCAAATAAACAACAATAAATATCGAAATATCTACAATAACCATGGCATGGTTGACCTTTTTTGACCAACTTCGCCAACTGTGGGCACCACCGGCAGTTGCTAAGTATTTCTCGGCTTCGTCAACTGCAGCAAGATCACATTCCGAATAGAATAGGGTCAAGGCTTCCTGCACTAAGGCTGAAGCAAACTCTGAAATATGGGTTTGCCTAAAAATTTGTGGACCCGTAAACCCGATGGTGAATTAATTAATACTCATCGTCCCTAATAAAGGGCTACAATTCGGGATATGCCCCATTTCCAGACATACTGTCACATAAACAAAATCAGGACGTGAATGGACATGAAATGAAGAACATTGAACATGGGTCATTAAATGTCTCCATTGAACATCACCCAACCATTAGGTATATGGTCTATAATGGCTACTATAAGGTGATGTCCAATATTCCCAAAATGGGACAGTTACCAACCCCTGTTGAACAACATCATCCAGGGTGAAAAGTAAACAACAAACACTAAACTCACTAAACCTTGATCTTTCACCATCTTTCACCTAGCTGTCAGATAGTGTTCACCAAGACATACCCGCTGTCCACGTCACGATGTAAAATGCTATGGGCTATGATGCTATGGATCTATCCGGCTGAACCATGATAGTTCAGCCAGAATCTTTGAATGCTTTTGGTTGTTTGAAACAGTGATTCCGGCATTTGAAAATATAATTATAGTGAATTATTGAATCAACTTCAATTCTATACATATAACATATCTATATATATATAATAATTATTATATTCTAAATTACTCTATGAAATTCATAGTGATACCGATTTTCATCTGGATTTTTTTTTTCACCTTGACTTCCGCCGTTCGGAAAAATCATCGGACGAGGTGCCGCTGCAAGACTTGGATCTCTACTTTTGCACGTTGGTCTATGGACGCTTGGGCTTTGATTGCACCAAGATGATTAATGATGGTTAATGATAAAGTGGTTAATACTGGTTAATAAATGATGGTTTTAATGATGGTTAAAAATGGTATTATATCTTAAATGGTATGGATAAATGGGATTTTGATGGTAATTTATGGTGATTTAATGGGATTTTGTAGGATATAATGGTTAATAATGGTTAATAAATGATGGTTTTAATGATGGTTAATTATAATTAATGATAGTTAATGATAGTTAATGATTGTTTATAATGGTTAATAATGGTGATTAATGGTGATTCAATGGTGATTAACCAAAGCTATTTTTACCAAGGTCGGAGATTTCACCATCTGCGGATGGGATGGGACGGATCTAAGAAAAGTCCCATGAAAAAATATGGGAAAATGTTGGGATTTCATGGGATTAACCCTCAAGAAATCCAAGAAATCCAAGAAATCATATATTACATGAATTAGATCCCATAAAAAAAACTACGTTTGTTGATTAATCCTCTGTAGAATCCCCATTTTCCCGGTTGTTAGTTGTTCATGGGATTAAGAAGAATGATGAACCAAGAGTTAAGGCCCTTTATCTACCCGTTAGAAATGGTGAAAAACATAGTTATTTCAATGGGGGACAATTCCCATTTATATTTTGTGAGGTTAGTTATAAGTGACAAAAATAGCTGGTATTTTTCCAGGGCCAGGGCACTGTGATCATGGAAATCCTGGAAGCTCGGTATAGCAAGGATCTGATGATGAGTCACTTCTATATTCAATGGGAATTTCAGGATCCTAAAATGGAGGTACTGTACTATATAAGGCAATATTTTGTGGGGATATTCCCTTACATAGGCCTTATATATGGTAGGTACCTCCAATTTAGGATCCTGAAATTCCCATTGATATATGGGTGATTGATGATCAATGAGTCACGACTCTATATTCTGAAAATGGCTGATAAAAAAATGAGAGTCGAGGTGGTGCCTTCAAAGCCTTGACTCCATCAACCACGGCGTTGAATGATATAGTCAAGTGGCAACTGGGAAATTTTGTTGATTGCTGGTATGCTCATGGGTTTCCGAATCAAACTGTTGATCATTAGATGACGTTTTCCATGATTTAAGCTGTTAATTAATCACCGTTCAAAACAAATGAAGAACTGGTTGGTGGTTTGGATCATGAATTGTATTTTTCCATATATTGGGAATAATCATCCCAATTGACTTTCATATTTTTCAGAGGAGTAGGTCAACCACCAACCAGATAATAATGCTAGGCCAGGTGTTGGGGGGCGGTGATCTTTCACTCAGAATTTCCCGCAATACGGCGCCCAGACGTGAAAAAACCAAGCTATCTACGTAGGGGGCCCCACAAATAGCAGGATTCCAACGTGTGTTTGACATGCTTCTCAAATGTAGTCTGATTGGTGGTTTGGAACATGAATTTTATTCCATATATTCAAATCTGGTTGGTGGTTTCAAACATTTGCATTCTTTTGCCATAATATATATGGGATAATCCTTCCCATTGACAAACTCATATTTTTCAAGATGGTTATTGCACCACCAACCAGCAAATGTAGTACTAAATCCCCCTCTCGGTTCACTAAGTTCACTGCGTCAAAGTCCAAGTTTTTGAGTCGGTCAAATCGCATCAAATCGCCGTGTTGTTAGTTTATTCCCCAAGCCTGCCGTAAAAATAGATCCCAACTTTTTATTCGTTGAATCATCCATTTTATGGATCACGTTGTCCATCTTTGCCCCAATGTTTCTTCGATGAGTAGTTTAGATATCAGATCCAATGATCCAATTCTTTCTTCAGTTCTATATCAACATTAATCTTCAGCAACCCCCGCTTGTTTCTAATGGTAAATTTCAGTTTTGCTAAAAAATGCAGTTGCGATCCCAAATCAAAACTTTTCCATCCCAATTTCGCTCAAAATGCCAAGTTTTGACCCTTTTTTTTTCGTGGATCAAATCCCTCAGTGCCGCCAGGTAGCAAACAGGCCTTCACCTCCATCCACGCCCTCTGGGACAAATTTGAAGTGGGCGAGACGCTTGGATCGCTTGGCGGGTGGGTCGGAGAAAGGACGATCAGTAAAAGTGTTGTTTCGGATAGTGGATAGTGATGATTTTAGAGTGGTTATACCATGTTTCCAAAGAATTTATGGGAGATTTATGGGATCTCTAGTACACTGAGACTTTGCGAAATGGAACATCACCATTTTTAAGAGGTAAATCTGGAGGGTAAGTTGGTATGGAGATGGGTGATAATTACATATATCCGAAACAAGCTACATGATGGGCCCCCCCAGTGATGTGAACCCTTATAATCCCCATTAGGTAAAGTTATATCTACCATAAACCATAGAATTCAGCCACATATCTTGGGGGCCCCATCCTGTAGGAATTTAACAAAAAAGGGTGGTGTTTATCCCTGACCGTAAGTAATTGGAATGTAATGGAAATGATGATGCTGGATATAGGGTTTTTTTAGTTTTTGTCAGCGAAAATAACATGTATGTTTTATATATTTGTTTATGGACTGTTATTTTTGCAATATAATATGGGAAAGCTTAGATGGCTAGTTTAATAGCTTTAAGGCATGTCATGTTGATGGGAATATATTAATTATTACGCATCTAAAAAACATGTTTGTTTTTGGACATGGTATCTAAGATTGGCCACGTATTGAGATGGGGCCAATCTGTCGGTGGTCCAATGGGTTGTCCAATGTAACAATGAATAAGATAATGAGGGAATAATATAGGGTGGGCCAATTGAGATGGTGATTGCCTTACTGGTGCTAAACGTAGGGAATTTTCGGGAATGATCCATTTCATCACTAGTAATAATCCCAGCAACCCCCAGCAACCCATCCATTCCCTACGTAAAACGCACCAGTAAGTTGAAGACATGAGTGGAAAACTGTTTGGTGAAAGGGAGTTTACTCTCCAGTATCATGTTGAAGCCATGGCTACTTCGATGATTTACCGATGAAAAACCGCCGTGATTTTCCACTTCGCAAAGTGTTAGTTTGCTGGAGGCGGTAAGCATCAAATCACTGGGGTTCAACTTCAAATACCGGGACTTCATCTCCCGCCGGATCAATATGTAGATCCGAGAAACCCAATTGGATGCACACCCAGGATCAAACCTACCAATATTACTCAATGGATTAGTTTCAGGGAATATCGAAACCGGAAACCATAGATTTTCCATTAAATATGGGGCTTTCCTGTAAATTTTCCCTTAAACCAATCCATTGAATTACTGTAATTTTGGGGGTCCCCGTCCCTTAACTACTGATCATTACGAGTGTTAACGGCGCCGCATACATGTAATGAGTGAAGCCAGTGCATGATTCAGCTACTCCATACAGGTCTCACCGTTACAATCTTGGATCAACATGGTCGTAACCCAGTTGCCGGCCATCGAATCGAGGAAAGTCTGATTGCTTTATCAATATTGGGTACATGGTAGCCCTTGGATTTTCATATCATTGCAATTGGGGAAAGCCTGGTGAAGCATATGTTGACAGGTGATAGCAATAACCACCCAAAAAGATAGAACAGTAAAATCCTAAAATCCCACTACAACAATGATAAATTATAGATTGTGTGTTCCATTTTTTTAGGCGTTACTAATGGTGAATTTATAGACTTATTCAGATCGTTTCTGTGGTCCCGAGATGGGGATCATTTTTTAAGTCGGCCCAACTGGAGAGGAGGCTATCTCAGAAAATGCTGTTTTTCCCCACCTGCCAAGTGAGGGTTGTTAGATTTTATCAGGGCTGTTCTCCTTGCCTTTACATGTTTTCCGATTGCAGCAGGTGTTCGGAGCTAGGCTGGCCAGATGCGGTCCGGCAACCAATTTGGCTGCGTTCATGGCGCACTTTCCACAAACGCAGGCGCCGCGAATGATCGTTGAGCCCTGGACACACGCCGGATTCGAGAGCAACACCCACGAGTTGGGCGGAGCCCTGTGCTACTTTGGATTGGTGTCATCCTTCCTTCCTCCTGAGGCGCAGATCGATGCCAACGTGAAATGACTCTTCCGACCTCGTTTGAAGCGGCACGGTGTGCAGTGCCCATAGCAATGGAACCCCTCGCGGCTCCTGTGCTCTCTGTGGGAACCGAAACCGGATGGGGAGATCGTGGTCACCAACCCGCCAGATGGGGAGTACTCACTGGAGGCAGCGACGGAGATAGAATGTCAGAAGATATGCCAGATAGAATGCCAGAAAGAATGTCAGAAAGAATGTCAGAAGATATGCCAGACAGAATGTCAGAAGATATGCCAGAAAGAATGTCAGAAGATATGTCAGATAGAATGTCAGAAGATATGCCAGATAGAATGCCAGAAAAAATGTCAGAAGATATGCCAGATAGAATGTCAGAAGGTATGCCAGATAAAGTGCCAGAATGTTTGCCAGATAGGATGTCAGAAGATTTGCCAGAAGATATGCCAGATAGAATGCCAGATAAAATGCCAGAAGATATGCCAGAACATATGCCAGGTAGAATGCCAGAAGATATGCCAGATAGAATGCCAGAAGATATGCCAGATAGAATGCCAGAAGGTATGCCAGATAGAATGCCAGATAAAATGTCAGATAGAATGCCAGAAGATTTGCCAGTAACAAAATGTATACATGTCATGGTGGGGATCACACGAAGTAAAGTAATTTTATATAATCAATAAAGACGTGGAATATTGCCACTACAAAGATTACAGAGTGGGGCTGCCTAGATAGATAAGATGCATTATAGTTTTTGTAACTCCAATAGCATGATAACTTGGGTTTATGGTACTTCAAACTATGGGTTTATATAGGCGGGTTATTAACCATGTTATGACTGGGGCTTCCCACAAGGTAGTTTTTCTAAAGGCAACATTCCCATATTCAGAAAATCTTCGCATACCATGTTTTCATCGTACTCCAGACCTGGGTTTTGGTATGTTACTTTGATAGGCATTTCAGCTCAATCTGGAGGGAACAGTTGGCCCACGGCGAATCCATTGAATGCCCCTCCACAGCTTTCTATCCCCTATGTCGTTCCAAAGGAGCTGTGGACGTTGAATGAATTGAAGGCTGCTTTGATAAGGAAGTTTCCTCATTTGTCTACAGAAGAAGGACAGGGTTGTCAAAGGTAACGTTTTTAAAGGTTGGCTAAGTAAAAATTAGCAAGTTTCTTCCCCGGGACCTCACCCAAGGTGAACTTGGAAAAATAGAACCCACTGGTGTGCCCCTGGAAGTTTGGGCCGGCTTTGGGATTGGAATTTTGGTTCTGGCCGCGAAATTTCCCTATGTGGTCTCTATACCAGCCACGCATACTCGGAATTCTTCGCATTCCACAAATTCTTCGCACTCCACATGGGACATCGAACTCCACAGCTAGGGACGCGCACATACTATAAAATCCACGCACTCTGCAAGATCTTCGCACTCCATAAAATCTTCGTACTCGGTAATTTTTCGTTTTTTCGTTTTTTTCTTTTTTTTTTTTCGTTTTTTTTTTTGCTAAAATCGCCTGGAATCACGTTTTCTGGAATATGGGAAAGGTAGCGGTTTTTCGTGAGACGTCTGTAGTTACACATACTATCGCATTCCAGGCAATTTTGCCCCAAAAAAAAAAGAAAAAAGAAAAAAAAAAGCTCAGCAGGGTGAAATGTGATAATTTTCTGGTATATGATGGAAAAAACTGGTGTTGGATTCATGGGGAAGGTCGAAGGGGGCCACGCATACTGTTTTATTTTCGCATTCCAGAAAATTAGCGCACTCCAGGGGTGGCATCGTACTCTATCGGTGGAATTATTTTGCACGGAAGAAAACAGGATCGTCGATGATTTGTGTTCCCAGATCCTGTTGTGCAGAGCTCTTTGCGGGGCCACAAAGATGTCAAGAAAGATGGGGATGGCGCTGCTGATGAAAGGCCAGCCAAGCGTGCCAGAACATAAGCTTAAAGCTTATGAATTGGGTTTTGGGATCGTGAAAAGTGTAGATGACAAATTTCCATAAGAACATTATTAATCCATTTTTGGAAAGCTCAACATTTTTAATTATGACATTTCCAGAAATTGTTGAAAGTAAGGATCTTCTTTGGGGAAGAACATGTGCAGTCGACAACGTACGTGCCAGAAGAAAAGGAATACTTGGCAAACTGTATGAAATACAAATTTCACCTGAAAGGGGTCTTCGCAATTCCCTGAAATTTCCCAGCTATTTTGGCATGGAATATGTTCGGCCCTGGAATATGGGCAAGAAATTGCTAGAGTTTTAAGAAAATCCCCCTCCGGTAATCAGACATGACAATGGGACATCCCCGCACTAAATGGAGGTTGATAGCTGGGACCATCATCTATAAATAGGATATGTTCCAGCAAGCCACGTTTCATTTCCAGAGTAACAAAATCATTGGTTTGTTTATATGTAGATAATATTAACAAAGTTTATGGTATGTAATACAACATGATATAACTATAGTTACTGTCATGGGGTTATAAACCAACAGAACCGGGTTGAGTGCGCATCATTCGGTAGCGAATGCTGCTTTGTACTGGTGTTATGCTCAACAGTTGATAAAGCATTCAGTCATCACTACCTTGCCAAAAAGTTTGCGGCCATTCAAAATGCCATGACTGGTTGGTGGTTTGGAACATGAATTCTATTTTTCCATATATTGGGAAGAATAATCCCAACTGACTTTCATATTTTTTAGAGTGGTAGGTATACCACCAACCAGATGATACATGTGTTAAATTTGCCATATGGTTTGTCTCAAAAATATGATACCCCAAAATTTGATGGTCTACAGCCGTTTTCCCCATTTTTTTGTTGCCAGAATTGGGGGTGTACCCAATTTTCAGACAGGTTTTATGTCAAGATCCCCAAAGTTGCAAGTTTATACCAAACTGACCCCATTTTCTTTTGTCATGGGGATATCCAGGATATCCCAGGAATCGTGACTTGTCAATAACCATGGTTATCCCATTTGGGCTTATTACCCTAGTAAGCAGTTACGAAGCAGTGGGGTTCTCCTCTATACCAAGGAAGGGCTACATGACCAAGGATGAGTGGTACAACCTCTGCACTCGCGACTTAGCATACTTACAAGGTGGTGCCCCAGTTCGGAATCGCTAAGTTGGTGCGTTTATAAGTCCAATTTCACGTTTGGGTTGATGAATGGGGGTTATATCTATAGTACTATAGTTACTGGGGCTTATAAACCAACTAACATCACTATGGGGGCCTCACATTGTAGCTAAGCTGCTGCAAATGTTAGGAGAAATCCACTGTTGGCTTTATGACATGGGGATGTGTCAAGTTACCTATGAGATGACCATAGGGGAATATTCACATATCATATCGCCATACCGGACCATACAATTATAGAAACATATCACATCTTAGGCGGTTACGGGGGGTTATGGTAGGTAAACATCGATATAGGCTGATATAGGCTTTAGATCCACTAGGTTTTATGATGAGTAGATAGATAAACTAAGGTTATGGCCATACATGACTATGGCCACACAAACATAGATAAACTAATCATTAGGCTTAGTAACCCATTAATCCATTATGGCACATTATGGTATATTATGGTACATAAACATAGATAACCGGTTGGATAACCGGTTGGATAACCGGTTGGTGGTTTGGAGCATTTTTCCATATATATATATATATTGGGAATTTAATAATCCCAAGTGACTAATATTTGTATGTGGAAAATATGTCCTATATATATATATATATGTATTCCCAATATGTACTAAGCAACCAGCATATTCCCAACTGATTATTATTCCCAATATATATATATATATATATATATATATGGTCCCGTCCTCCGTCTCTCCACCCCCCCCCTCCCCCCCCCATGGGTTGTGTCCCCAGGTAGCAGCCCCAATTCCCTTCCATTTGCAAGCTATTGGCAGCATTTCTGAGGTCCAGCTTCGTACTTGCTAGGTCTTTGCAGCATTTCTGACTACCAGCCTCGCATTTACTAGGCACATGCTACCTTTTAGGCGACCTGCGTAGCACACATATTCCTTCAAGGTACCTACGTGCTACCTATACTCATCTATACATGTGCTATGTATCTACTGTATCTACTTCCTATTTGCTACCTGTGTACTCTGACAACACTACCTGTGTTTAACATATAGCGTACCTACCATACATGTCAATGGTGCCATGCATACCATACCTATCATATCCATCATACATACCATACATACCATACATTTGAAATGTAATTACCACACCTACCATACATACAATAGCAAGCATACATGCCATACATACCATACCTACCCTACACAGGAAATATTCCATACCCATCATAGTAACCATACATACCATACAGACCATACATACTGTCATATCAAACATACCATACCCAACAGACTTACATACCATACCTACCATCCATACAATACCCACCACTCATGCCATGCATACCATACCTACCATACATACCAAACATACCATACTTTCCAAACATGCCATACCAGACCGACCATACACACCATACATACCCAACATACCATACCACACCCTCACCACACCACAGGGGGGGAGGGGGACAGTACCACACCCCCACCACGCCACAAGGGGGGAGGGGGACAGTGCTGGGTCCCCAGGTAGCAGCCCCAATTCCCTTCCATTTGCAAGCTATTGGCAGCATTTCTGAGGTCCAGCTTCGTACTTGCTAGGTCTTTGCAGCATTTCTGACTACCAGCCTCGCATTTACTAGGTACATGCTACCTTTTAGGCGACCTACGTAGCACACATACTCCTTCAAAGTACCGACATGCTAAGCCATAGTCATATATACATGTGCTATGTATCTACTGTATCTACTTCCTATTTACTACCTGTGTACTCTGACAACACTACCTGTGTTTAACATATAGCGTACCTACCATACATGTCAATGGTGCCATGCATACCATACCTATCATATCTATCATTCATACATACCATACATACCATACATATGAAATGTAATTACCACACCTACCATACATACAATTGCAAACATACATGCCATACATACCATACCTATCTTACATAGGAAATATTCCATACCCATCATAGTAATCATACATACCTTACAGACCATACATACTGTCATATCAAACATACCATACCCAACAGACTCACATACCATACCTACCATCCATACAATACCCACCACTCATGCCATGCATACCATACCTACCATACATACCAAACATACCATACTTTCCAAACATGCCATACCAGACCGACCATACACACCATACATACCCAACATACCATACCACACCCTCACCACACCACAGGGGGGGGAGGGGGACAGCGCCACACCGCCACCACACCGCATGGGGGGGAGGGGGATGGGACCCATCCCATGGGAGGGGGAGGGGTGGGGGGGGGGTGGCAGGGCCTGGTGCATATATATATATATATTTATATATAATATATATATATATACATATATTTATATAATATATATATGTATATATATATATGGGTTAAATATTTAACCAACCAGATAAACTAGGCTTTATTCTGAGTATCTAATTAGGCTTATCATCCAACCAACCCAGATCATCCCCGGGGGAAAAAGCACGGAACTAATATGGAGGGTTTTTTCATGGGGATCCCAAAATTTTGGAAGGTTGATGTCATGGAAATATGCTTTCAAAAATGGATGATTTTGGGGGGTTATGAAAGAAATTCCTATTGACATGGATGATTTGAGGGGTTTATAAAGGAAATTCCCATTAAGATTGATTATTTAAGGAGTTTATAAAGGAAAATCCCATTAAAATGGATGATTTAGGGGTACCCTCATTTTAGGACACCTGCATATGGAAAAGCATTGGAACATCGTTTTTTAGCTGGAAAAATCATCTATGAATGGTGGAGTTTCCAGTTTTTTGCTGTGTTTGATTTGTGGAGTTGATCGTTGCACCCTGAAATGGTTTGTCAAACCACTAGAAATGGTCATGTTTCCTATGATACCCTCTGGTAAACATAGAAAAAGCTATAAAAAGTGGTGATTTAATGGTGATTTAATGGGATGTAATGAAAGTTGGTTGAACTAACTATAGTTACCCTCTGGTAAACTAAAAGTTTGCGAACTGGAAAACCAACCTTTTTTAATGGGTAAATCAACGAACTAAATGGTGATTTAATGGTATGTAATGGGATTTAGCCTCTGGTAATTTAATATAGCTATTGAACATGACCATAGAAATAGTGGTTTTGATGATTTTCCAGTTCGTTATGTAAACGTTTACCAGAGGGTATCCATATTTCTTTTTGTGAACGGTCATGCACCTAATCATGGGGATTTACTACCCACTTGTTGATCCATAGCCGTAGCCTTAATATGAACATTCATTCGCAGGGAGTCAGAGAGAGTGTATCATATCAAATTCGACGATTCCTACTTACTTGTACTTTTGTTTGTGTTGTTATTCTTTGTTATTGTTTCTTTATTCTTTGCTGTTTGTTCGTTGTACTTTATTGTTTGATGTTTGTAATTTGTTCTTTGTTGTCTTTGTTGTGTTTGTTGTGTTTGTTGTGTTTGTTGTGTTTGTTGTGTTTGTTGTGTTTGTTGTGTTTGTTGTGTTTGTTGTGTTTGTTGTGTTCGTTCCTTCGTTCGCTTGTTCGTTTGTTTGTTTGCTTGCTTGCTTGCTTGTTTGGTGCTGTTGTTGTTGCTGTTTATTGCTGTTGTTGTTGTTGTTGTTGTTGGTGGTGGTGTTGTTGTTGTTGTCGTTGTCGTTGTCGTTGTCGTTGTCGTTGTTGTTGTTGTTGTCTAGACTTATCCAAACTAATCCTTAATGATTACCCGGTTTACGGATTAGCGGTTTACGCTTAGCCCGCGGACCGGGGCAGGGGTTCCACATGGATGTATTTAATCATTTTAAGCTTTCCTGCATTCCGAATTTCCAGAAGTCTCAGCCAATCAGAACATGTGTTTAAGCGTATTGGTTTCTTGGTTTCCTTTTGTGAATGTGGTAAGGTGGAAAGGCCAAACCCCCGGGAAGAAGAAATCAGGCTGGAAGTGTTCGGGGTCTGCTGTCCGGCCATGTCTATATATAGTAGAAGGTGAATATGTACAAACAAGTGTGTTCCCCACATTTGCACTTTGCCCGGGCACTTGTTCACAGGAGTTTCTCCAGCAATGGAGGCACATTCTGCGCATAAAGAATGCAGTCGACACTCCTGAAAGGCTTTGCTTGCCTCCTCGAGAGTATTGGCCGAAACAATGTGATCAATGGCAAGAAGCGGATCAAAGTCAATGGCAACTGGAAGTGGCAACGCGCCCCACCTACGTGAAGACCCAGAAGACCTTGCTGGAAGAAGCCCTGAAGCCCTTGAAGGTCAAGTCTGGTACGCAGACGGCCAGCGTCTTTGGGCGATCCGGTCGGCGCATCACCAATATACTAGACGACAAGAGCCCGCAAAGGCAACTACCCTCTGGTAAACATACAAAAAACTATGGAAAATCACCATTTTTAATGGGTAAATCCACTATTTCCATGGCCATTTTCCAGTTCGCTATGTAACAAATTACCAGATGCTAAATCCCATTACATCCCATTACATCCCATTTTATCACCATTAAATCACCATAAATCACCATTTATGTCTACCAGAGAGTAATTGGAGCCAGTGCCCGCCGCCTCCCGAGGCGTTCAGACCAAGTTACCCAAGCACGCGCAGCTGGACATTTGGAATCTCTTGGCCTGGCGTGACAAGGCACGTTCACCGCGTTCAGCGCTTGTTCAACCGGGCACTGTTCGGCGATGAGCCAACCAAAATGGGGATATCATTGGAGCTATTTATGTGAATATAAATAGTTTAATAATGTTTAATACATATATCATATATATATATATATATCAATTATATATGTATATCTATATTTGTATGTTATATAGACATGTGATTTCATAGTGTTGTATGTGATGTTGTTTTACTTTCAAGTCACGGAATAAACTATCATTTTGATATAGAAACAGAGTGGTTAAATTGTGTATAATCTATGTGCTACGTGATCTAAGTCTAGAAAGCGTAGATGCGGTTTATAAGTTGGTTGTCAACCAACGTGGTTGTCGCAATTTGCATGGTTTACATAACAGGATGGGGCTCCCCAGTTATAAGTTGGTTGAGAAACCCCCATCTAAATATAGTTATTTAAATATCATACACTATGGTTATTATAGTTACAAACGCACCAACTGAACGCGATTCCGAACTGGGGCCCCATCCTGAATGTGTAAGTTATATAAGAATCATCGGTGCTAACGAACTGGGGACCTCTAAATCGTCCATTTTTTTCTTTGGAGTTTCCCTGAAATAAACTCACCAGCTGTAGGGGATCCCCCATGGCCAGCTGGGAAACATCTGTAGGGCATCCCGGGGATCCGAGAACCATCAGCACCAAAGCTTCAGAAGGCCCTGAGGGGCAAGGTAGGTCACCCCGAGTACACGGTAGATCAGGTAGGTGAGCCAAGCCTGCTTTTTCCATATGTTTCCTACTCATATAGCCTGGATTAGCCGATTAGCCTGGTATATACGGTATATGTGAAAAACCCGACTTTCTACTTTCAGAAAGATGTCAATCAACATTTAGCTTGGAACCTAGCACGGCAGACATTTGCCCCAGCTGTAGATGAATGATATAACCCTTGGCATTTTGATTGCGACAGTGAATCAGGACTTGAAGATTTGCCCTCCAAAAGTTCGAAGATACTTCTCCCCAAAAATGAGGAGCTACGCAGACATAATTAAGATTAATTAAGGAAAAAAACAACACATGTTTATTCAACAAACCAGGCTACCATAAATCATCATGAATCCATTGATCAATCATCATTTTCACGTTAATGAATGATGGCCGTACTTGGGTATACGAACAAAAAAACGAAGGATTTTTAGAGAAACCCAATTCACAATACTGATATCACTGATATCACCCAATTATCATCCAATGATCACCTTTTTTTTCTTCTCAGCTCACATCAACTCCCAGATTTCATGCGGAACTCCCCCAGGTCCACCCGGTTTTTTTCGGTCCAGGTGCACCTGCATAAACCGGACTTCGTGGCGGGATGGCACGTGCACGTGGCTTGGACGAGCCGGTGGGAAAAATGAGGTTCCTATCGGGGGATTCACCCCCCAAAACAGGGAATTACTAAAGATTTAAACTGGCTGGTGGTGACTGGAACATGAATGGATTATTTTTTCCATATTAGTTGGAAATTTTATCATCCCAACTGACGAGTTGTCCATCATTTTTCAGAGGGGTGGCTCAATGAGATGGCAATGGGATGACACTGAAGAAAAATGGGGATCTATGGGGATTACCTACACTTAAGGCCCTTTATATTCCAGTTATAAATGGTGAAAAACATGGTTATTTCAATGGGGTTATAATTTATAATTCCCTAAATGAGATTATAACTGACTTATAACTGGTATTTCGGGCCTTAACTGTATGGTTTATGGGGTGAGCACTGATTATGTGAAAACTCGCAGGGGTTTTGGATGTACCAGGGTGGTGCCCTAGTTGGTGAAATTCGCGGTCACATCACTCCATTTTCACCGGGACAGTGGTAAAAAAAAAATTACTTTACTTCGTGTGATCCCCACCATGACATTTATACATTTTCTTACTGGCAAATCTTCTGGCATTCTATCTGACATATCTTCTGACATTATATTTGACATTCTATCTGGCATATCCTCTGGCATATGATCTGGCATATCTTCTGGCATATCTTCTGGCATTCTATCTGGCAAATCTTCTGGCATTCTATCTGGCATATCTTCTGGCACTCTATCTGACATATCTTCTGGCATTCTATCTGGCATATCTTCTGGCATATATTCTGACATATCTTCTGGCATTCTATCTGACATATCTTCTGGCATATATTCTGACATATCTTCTGGCATATCTTCTGGCATATCTTCTGGCATATCTTCTGACATATCTATCTGGCATATCTTCTGGCATATTTTCTGGCATTCTATCTGGCAAATCTTCTGGCATTCTATTCTGGCATCATATTCTATCTATCTGGCATATCTTCTGGCATACTTCTGGCATATCTTCTGACATTCTTCTGACATTCTTTCTAACTTTCTTCTGCACATTCTTTGTCCCATATCTTCCTACATGAGGTCCGGCAGGGAACACTTGGCGTGGATACTCGCGGTTGAGGTCCGGCAGGGAACACTGGGCGTGGATGGTCGTGGTTGAGGTCCGGCAGGGAACACTGGGCGAGGATGGTCGTGGTTGAGGTCCGGCAGGGAACATTGGGCGTGGATGGTCGTGGTTGAGGTCCGGCAGGGAACACTGGGCGTGGATGGTCGTGGTTGAGGTCCGGCAGAGAACACTGTGGATCGCGGGTCGCAGTTGAGCAAGGACGACGAGGACGACGAGGACGACGAGGAGGACGAGGAGGAGGAGGAGAGGAGGATGAGGCAGGAGGAGGCGGAGGAGGAGGAGGAGAAGGAGGAGGAGGAGAAGGAGGAGAAGGAGGAGGAGGCAACTAACATAAAATCTAACAACCCTCACCTGGCAGGTGGGGAACAACTATGGAAAATCACCATGTTCAATGGGTAAATCCACTATTTCTATGGTCATGTTCAATAGCTATGTAACAAATTACCAGAGGGTAATGAGGATACAAATCAATAAACATCATTGGGGGTAACCACCCTGCAGTTATGGTGGGAACATGGGGATTGATTAGATGACATGGAATTTCATGAGATTCAATCGGATTTAAGGTTGGTAAATAAGTGAGTTGTTCACCACGATTATGACTGCATTAACTCCACTTACCCATTGAGGTTTCACCTATTTTGTTCGATATGTTTGATGAACCGTCAAAGTGGAACACATCGGAATTGTTTGTCCATGCAGCACGGGTATGATTGACACAACATGAAGACGCAAACGCGAGAAAAATACGGATAAAACCAACCACACAACGGGATACCATGTTGCTAGAATGGGATAGTTAAGTTGGATTTTAATGATAGTCATTCCTGTTTAACGCGGGGAACATGTTTTCACAGCAATGAAGAATCCATGACTTCCCCAGGCAATTATCAACAAGACTGGTTGGTGGTTTCAAACATTTGTTATTTTCCATTTCATATATGGGATGTCATCCTTCCCATTGACTTTCATCTTTCATATTTTGCAAGATGGTTAAAACCACCAACCAGCAAAAATTTACTGGGATGACAGTGATAAGATGATAGTGATATGACAGTGATAAGAAGAGGTTCATGATAAGAGAAGGGTTGGCAGAAAGGGATGATAGTGATCTTGCAGCGCCCATCCTTTGTCCATGGCCAAAGACACCATCCGCAAGACTACTTGGACTATAGATTAAAGACCAATTGATTGGGGTTTACCCAACAGCTACCCTCTGGTAAACGTTCACATAACGAACTGGAAAATCACCATGCTATTTATGGGTAAATCAATTATTTCTATGGCCATGGCTTCAATAGCTTTTTGTTTGTTTACCAGAGGCTAAATCCCATTACATCCCATTAAATCACCATTTAGTTCGTTGATTTACCCATTAAAAATGATGGTTTTCCATAGCAAACTGTTAGTTTACCAGAGGGTAAAGCCCATTTATAGTGGAAAAAATGCCATTTATACTGGATTTTCCCATTAAACATTGTGATTTTCAATAGCTTTTTGTATGTTTACCAGAGGGTTCAACTAACTTTGTTCACGAAACCGGGGCCCTCACCTTGTACGATTCGTAGTGTGATTCATTTAGGTTTATCCCCATTGATTTTGGATATAAAACTCCCATAACCCGGTGATTTTTTGGAGTTAAGTACTCCCTATGGATCCAAGTACCTTCAGAAAGGAAGTGGGACTGGGGTATAATTTACTATAATTTGGAGGCTTTTTTGTACCTTCTCAGACAGTGTTTGGATCCATAGGGACTGGTTGGTGGTTTGGAACCATGGATTTTTTATGACTTTCCATTCAGTCGGGAATTTTATCATTCCAACTGACGAAGTCATAATTTTTCAGAGGGGTTGAAACCACCAACCAGATTATGTTCACTAACTTTGCTAACTATGGGGCACTCCCATGTACAATCCCATTGTCATCCCATTGAAACTCTATGAATTCCCATTTTTTTGGGGCTGAATCTCCCATAGAAACATCATGAAACACCAACTCTTGGGGAGATACCCATTGTGAACAGGCCACTCCAATTTCACTACAATTATTGCCATTGAGAGTTATAAAGTGCTATAAATGGACATAGAAGTCCTACATAACTGAGGTTATATATCATTATAATCCCATTTATAATTGTTAAGCGCCATGACTGTATATGGTTTATGATCCTTTCGACTATAGTAATTGTTTAGAAAGCAACAAACACAACTGAGGGACCCCACTTTGTATATCTTATTAGGTGAAATTGCCAATAATCTCACGTAATCCCATCCACCATTCATATTAGACACCCCATTGCATGGTTCCAAACATGTGGTTTCATCCCCTATTCAACCATATTTTCTGTGGGATGTTGAATATTAGTGAGATGGGAGTAAATAGCCAACCGTCTTGCTGATGAAACCGACGTGAATGTCCGTAGCTGCTATAGGAAATACATCGTTCCATTTCATCAATGGGAATTTCAAGATCCTAAAATGGAGCTACGTTAGTACCATATGTTTGGCCATATGAATTGTGGTGATATTCCCTGAAATTTCGCCTAACAAATAGGCCTTATATATGGTAGGTACCTCCATTTTAGGATCCTGTTGCATGGCCATTGAATATTTCTCCCCTCTGTTGGTGGCCCGACTCAAAAAACGACAGCCACTGATGCCCTAAATTCCACCCAGGACTTGGAGCTTCGTGATGCACACGTGAAGAGCATTGCAGGGAACTTGCAATTGGAGTGCGCCGAATGCGCTGGGAAAGCTAAGCGGGAAGATTCACCAAGATTGAAATCAAATGGGCATATGAATCACCAAACATGGCAGTGTCTGCAACTGAACAGTTTTTTTTTTAAAATAATATATTACAAGAGTCACCATATGGACAAACAATGGTCCTCGGTATTTTCGCTGTGCTGGATGCTGATTCCCCCAGTCATATGGTGACGGATCCGACTGGTGCTGCTATTTGTTTGGTGCACCAGCCGGATCCCATCAACAAAAACCCCCCAATAAATGTTAGCATTAATATACCAGCACCATTAGGATCCGTCATGGGTATGGCAGTAGATGGCACTTATCAGCCTATCGGTGGTGCCACTGACTGACAAGGTGGTGCCCCAGTGAGTTCGGAATCGCAGATGTTGGTGGGTTCAAATAACTCCCAGAAACCATCCAATACCTATGGTTTATAGGTGAAATACCTATGGTTTTTGTTGGTGAAATACCTATGGTTTATATGTGATATAAGTGATATATCTACAGTTCATGGGATTATCAACCAACTTATAACTTGGGGGGCACCACCTTTGCAGCAAAAAGAGAATCGATCCTGAAATGATCAACGGTTGATGCCGGCACATATTTGCCATTCATATGTTTTGCCATTCATATGTTTTGCCATTCACAAATTCAAACGGCCATGTTCAATACCCTCCAGTGAACTAACGTTAAACCCATGAAAAGTGGCCATGTTCAATACAAGGTGGTGCCCCCATAGTTATAAGTTGGTTTCTAATCCAACCCCTATAAATCCTAGTTATTGGACTTATTTGCACCAACTTAGCGATTCCGAACTGGGGCACCACCTTGTAGGTAAAACATCGAGAATTACCAGAGGAGACCAACATGGCAATCCAACTTGGCAATCGATGCGCTTTTTCCAGCGAACTAAAGCTCCCATTGATCGGGGATCTTCCAGCCACGTTTGATGGCACGGGAGGGTCCCGAGAGGATTTGATACGTTGAGGGGTTGCCAGACTGAGATATGAGAGGATCATCTTCCCACAAGGCCAGAGAATCGGAAAACTTTACGAAGAATGCCATGTCTGAACATCAGCTATACCCAAACAAAAACGAAAAATGCCTTTGAATGAGGAAACTGATGATTAAGCCTTGGGTTTAGGGTTTGTCTCGGTTTTGTCCCCAAAGTGTTCAATTTTTTTGTCATGTAAACCGCGGGTTTTTCGCCAGCGGGATCACACACAAAAAGGGACCGTGGGACCCTGGGACTCTCAAGGGGTCAACTGAACCCGCGAGAGGTACTACGGGATCAAAGTGGAGGAACTGCAAGAACGAATGAGGCGTGCCCATGGAACTGGGAAGATCTGGAGGTTTCTTAAGTCATGGGGGTACCCCCAAAAGCATCATCCCATGCTTAGAAGGGGATCCCCCATTTTCTCACAGTTACCTCCTTCTATCTGAACAGGAGAAAAAGTGAGAAAAACAAATCATCCCGACCATCCCCAATAATGACACACATCCCGAGAATCTGGTTTATCATCGGGTTTACCACATCTGGTTGGTAGTTTGGAACATATTTTATGTTTCCATATATTGGGATATATTGGGAATGTCATCATCCCAACTGATTTAATGGGATGTAATGGGATTTAGTGTCTCTGGTAAACGTTTACAGTTTGCGGACTTGAAAATGGCCATAGAAATAGTGAGTTGTCCCATTTTTTGCATGGTGATTTTCCAGTTCGTTATGTGAACGTTTACCAGACGGTACAAGTTGGTTTTTAAACCAATGTGTAACTTGTTCGATATATCTACCAAAACTTACTGGTGCTTAGTAGGGAATGAGGGAATAATCCACAATAAGTACATGAATTGTAGTCCCATTCCCCCATTCCCATCCATTCCCTACTACCCTCTGGTAAACTAACATTTTGCTATGGATAATCACAATTTTTAATGGGTAAATCCACTATAAATCACCATTTTCAATAGCTATTTTGACATAACCAGAGGGTAAGCACCAGTAAGAAAAAGCCAAGCGTGAAACCAAGGACTTCTGTTCACCAACTTAGCTAAGGAACTGGCGGAACCACCTTGCGGGTGTCTGGCTGGACGTGTCTCATTTAGTTACCCTCTGTTTATTTAACATAGCCATGGAAAATGGCCCATTTATAGATGGTTTACCTATAAAAAATGGTGATTTTCCATGGCTATGTTAAATAACAAGAGGGTAAATGATTTTCCCAGCTCTAAACCTCCATGTATAGTGGATTTCCCGAAAAAAAACATAACACATCCCATGATTTTCCTATTGGTTTCCTCTTAAAAACTCAATTTATAGAGGATGTCCCCACATGTTCCTATGATTTCCCCATATTTTTATCATATCTTCCCATGATTTTCCCATGAATTTAGCTTCATCCCTTCCCATGGCTCTCTCCGTAGTGATCAGGATGCGGCTTGCGGAAGATTCGCAGGTTTCGGGATCCCACAGTCGGTCCAAGGAGCCTAGGGGTGGTTCATTTCATGGAGAATCCTTTCGAAGTGGATGAAACATATTAACAGCTATTAAGACATGTCATTAAAACAAAACCTATAGTTGTCATAGTTAATAAATAATAATCAAGAAGTTGGATGATTTATGACAAGTTGTCATAGTTAATAATATTGGGAATAATCCCAACTGACTTTCATATTTTTCAGAGGGGTAGGTCAACCACCAACCAGTATTTTTTTAAAAAAATAAAAATAATACCCTCTGGTGAACTAACATATCAATGGAAAATGGCCATTTATAGTGGATTTTCCCATGAAAAATGGTGATTTTCCATAGCTATGTTAGTTCACCAGAGGGTAAGTCACTGGGAGGATTATGACTTGGGGTAGCCCATGAATCGGACTCGTCGAAGACCTCCATGCAAAAAATCCCTCAATGAATGTTGAGAAATACATGGAGAGATACGGGTTTTGCTGCATATGAATGGTTAATGAATATTAAACAGCCCCTTATGATGTTAATTATCATGAACATTGACTTATAAGCAGCCCCTTCATACGGGTGAATATTAAAAACATGTTATACTGGTTCATGGTTGTTGCTGGTTGATAAAAATTGATAAATGTCAATAAGGGCTTATTTTACAAAAATGCGGTCGTTGGTGGCACTTGGCGGTTAAGAAATGTAGAAATGGCCCATGTTTGGCTTTGTTAAAATGGTGAATCGTAACCACCACCACCATTTTATTTTTGGCGGTCACCGACCTGGCTGGAGGTGTCTTGGGTAATGACAATTATTGGGACAATGGTTCATCCACATTTTTTTGGGGTCACCACATGTTACCCTCTGGTAAACTAACATAGCTATTGAAAATTGCCATTTATAGTGGATTTACCCATGTAAAATAGTGATTTTCCATAGCTATGTTAGTTTACCAGAGGGTACCAAGGGTATTTCTCAACATGGATAAGGATTACCATGGATTACCCTCTGGTAAACGTTAAAGCATAACTATTGACCAGAGGGTATTTCTCAACCAAGGCTATTTACCAGAGGGTATACCAACCTTTAAGTCAGATGGGTATTTCTCAACCTTGGTATACCACATGTCACCAAGGCTATTTCTTGGTCACCAACCTTTGAGTCAGATGGGTTTTCTTGCGACTATGGTAAGTCGACTGACTGATTTTTTCAGATTTTTCTATCTGCATGCCGTTAACATACGTTGGATGGGGCCCCCAAACGTGATGTGAACGTTGGTTAAAACAAAACATGAAATAATCCCCATGAATACTAGTTCGTTATATCTACCATAAACCATAGAATTCAGCCACTTATAAACCAACTGAACGCTATCTTGGGGGCCCCATCCTGTAGGAAATCCAAGACACAGATTCGTCTCTTTAGCCAAATCAGCTATCGTGAAAAACCATATGTTTTTAGCCAGTTGGTTTAGTTTGCTGGTCAGTTGGTTTAACAATGCACCTTATATTATATAGCTGCTACATGCTGCTAACCCTTAGTTTGGCAAACCATTTTTTCCGTCAAGAAATGGCGTGCAAGGCAATTTCCGGTGACTTATCGATGCTCATTTCGGATGATTAGCAATTGTCCCAAAGATGGGCCTCGTTTCAGGTTAGTCATAGTATGCCTAGGTTGATTGATTGTTCCATTTATGAGTGTCAATGGATTGGTTCAAGGGAAAAAATACATAAAACAAAAACATGTGACAGTGTGTCAAAACCTTGTACCCCTGTAGTCCACATCAAAATAGCTGGTAAATGGATGTTCATCCCCCTAAAAATGGTATTAATAGGTATTGATCCATACCCACATATTTAATGGGAACATCTGATTGGTTTCCTGTAGATTTCCCCAAAAAAACAATCCATTGATCCATTGAAAAGTGGCGTGGGTTGTAACCCTAGTTGCGTTTGCCACAAACTCGAGGACCGTGGTATGATCTTCAGAGTCGACTTAGATGGGTTTAACATGCTTTAAATGATGTTAGGTGGTTAGTGTTTATGGCTATAACTTATAACTGACTCAGGTGGATCATCCCACTTAGTAAAAATTAGTAAGTGGCTTAGTTCACCGCGGTGAAATAAGTGGATGAACTCTGCTTATGAATCATGGGATGATCCATCAAGTAAATACTGGATTATTGTGTAGATATATGAATCACTATGGTTAGTATAACCATGAATGGTTAATGATGGTTAATAATGGTTAATAAATGATGGTTTTAATGATAGTTAATGATGGTTAATATTACCCTTTGGTAATTTGTTACATAGCTATTTAATTCGTTGATTTACCTCAAAAATGGTGACTTTCCATACAGTTATGGCCCTTTACCAACTATGAGTACTTATAACCCCATTTATGGAATGTATAGTCCCATTTATAACCGGTTATAACCATTTAGAATTGCTATTTCCGGCCATCATTTCCATAGTTGTCACATGACCAGAGGGATACCGGGCTCCATGACGGTGGCGTCTCTTTTTGTCCTTTGCCAGGACACCTTGGTGGCTCTTCCCATGGGCGATGGAGAACGCTGGATGAAATCCGACCAAAGTCAGGTCAAAGAAATCTGATGATGCGATTATCCGATGGCATGAAAATCAGCATCTCACTTAATTAAATGGGTTGACTAGGTCAATCTTACATGGATACAAACTAATCCTGACTAGTCTTTTGGTATCAATGGGAATATCTACTAACCAGCAAAAAAAATGCAGGGTATCTAAGATTGGCAATGTTGATGGGATGAAGGGACTCATGGGACGGGATTTTCCACATCCAAACACCCTGGGACCGTAATGAAGGTGACAGTCATGAGGTTTTCATTAAAAAATGCTTGGTACTTTCACCCATGTTTATAAGTATGTTCAGGGTATTTCAGAGTCATGATATAGCCCCTGGTAAATGTTTACAGTTTGCGAACTGGAACATCACCATCTGATAATAGGATATAATAGGTAAATCAACGAACTAAATGGTCAATGTTCGATAGCTATGTAACATAGCTATTGAAAATTGATTTACCTATTAAAAATTGTGATTTTCCATAGTTATGTTAGTTTACCAGAGGGTATAGGATGGTTATGCGGAGGCGGGACCATTTGGCCCATCAGGATTGGATTGCTGATGTAACTTATATGATGGGCCCCCAGGTATGTTCGTTGGTTAAACCACATGAAAACCCTATTTATAAGATGTTATAAGTATCATAAACCAAAGTTGTTGGAGTTATGTTCACCAACTCAGCCTTCGTTTGGGGGCCCCACTTTGTACCTGAATATAGCTTGATATACCCTCTGGTAATTTATTAAGTATATAAGTAGCGAACTGGAAATCACCATGTTCTATATAGGTAAATTGTCATGTGTATCATCTATGTTGATGGACCATGAAAACCGTAGCTATGTTACTATGTTGAATATCCAGAGGTTTACCATATATAGAAAGGAACTCTCTGGATGAAATATGTTGTGATAAAACGTCGTTTTCCGTCACTGGAATAATGGGAAAATCGCCGCAAGTTTCAGCTATTTTAAGGTTATAGTGAATTATTAGATTTCAACCAGGGTATTTACTATCCAGTAAATTAACATAGACCCTGGTAGATAGGGGTTGGAAGATTAGTTTCCTCTAAAAATTGGTGATTTTCAGGGTCAACATGTTAATTTACCAGAGGGTACTATCCAGCTATATAAGAGTTCATTTGCTTTGCAGGATATCTAAGGGTTGGCCAAGTGAGATGCTATGACTGCTATGAAGTCTGAAGAATGGGTGCGTCCGAACTCAGGAGAGTTTTGAAATTTTCCAACACCATGACAAAAGCATAGAGCACTTGTTTCGACAACCAACGGATTGACAGATTTTGGGGGATTGATAGGCGCATACCAGTGGTCAGATTATCCAATGATTCCAACCTTGCTGGCGCGCAAGGTGTTCCGGACATACCCAGATGTTTCATGTACGAAGAAGCGTTGTACTCAGAAGCCCTAGCGAAAAACCTAGGGCGGCTCCCATGTTTTGAGGGTGTCGGGTCAAACGCGCCTCAAATAAGATGTTTGAGGAAACTTGCTGCTGCGGCCTGCTCAGAATGGATTACTCTGATCAATATTTATCACTTGAGCTGTGGCTAAACCACCCAATGGTCGGTTTGTTCGGGATTGTACAGCATGATCTGGGTATGGATCAATACCTATTAATTTATTAATACCTTTTTTAGTGGGATGAACATCCATTTACCAGCTATTTTGATGTGAACTACAGGGGTACAAGGTTTTGACACACTGCCATCTACCAAAACATGTGATTCGCAAGGAAAAAAACTTGGGCTTTACATGGGATTCACCATATAATTTACCAAGAACAGTAGAGGATTTGACGCACCCTTCGAAGGGTTTTTAAGATCTTTTGGGTCGAAAAAACCTGTTGTTTTCTGGATGTTACGTATATAGTACTTGGAAGATCATCAAAAAAAAAGTAGCCGATTCGTTGCTGGAGTTATCACCCATCTATAAATAGAATACCCTCTGGTGAACTAACATAGCAATGGAAAATGGCCATTTATAGTGGATTTTTCCATTAAAATTGGTGATTTTCCATTGCTATGTTAGTTCACCAGAGGGTAACTCACTTTGAGGACTTACGATCTCTAGGCTTATCAACCACCTACGATTCGTTTTTGGTCATCCTCCAGTCGTACTTGCAAGAAGTCACCTCCAAAGCCCATTTCTTGGACCCAGATCAATGGGAGATCTCCAGGATCCTAAATTGGAGGTACGTTAGTACCATATAAGGCCATATTTTGGGGGATTATTCCCTTACATAGGCCTAAAAAATAGGCCTTATGGTAGCTACCTCCAATAAATCGGTTCCTGGAATGACAAGATTCCAGCACCAGGATAGCCCTAGGTCAATTGGTGTGTGAATCCCACACTGTTCGCAAGCTGTCGTTGAACACTTTTTCTCGAGCCCATTCGGGCCCATTCAGAGTTGCGACAATGTGCCCCCAGTGATGTTTGTTGCCTTATAAACCCCATGAACTAGGATATTATATATATATATAGCTTTATAAAGCCCATGAACTTTATAGCTATTTATGTCTATATGTATACGTACATCTATACCATTATTGATATGGTTAGTGACAGACCAACTGCTGTTCCGAAGCCGAAGCGGTTCCGTACCACCATTGTAGGATCCCATGGAGAATGGGGTGTACATAGCAACTACACAGGTCGCAGAGAAAAGAGGTTGATAAAAGGTTTTACCCTCTGGTAAACATACAAAAAGCTATTGAAAATCACCATGTTTAATGGGAAAATCCACTATAAACGGCAATTTTTCCACTATAAATGGGCTTTACCCTCTGGTAAACTAACAGTTTGCTATGGAAAACCATCATTTTTACTGGGTAAATCAACGAACTAAATGGTGATTTAATGGGATGTAATGGGATTTAGCCTCTGGTAAACATACAAAAAGCTATTGAAGCCATGGCCATAGAAAGTTCGTTGATTTTCCCAGCTATAAAATGGTGATTTTCCATAGTGATGTTAGTTTACCAGAGGGTATCTGGTTTATTGGGTATGATTATAACATATTATAACCCATACAATGTGAGGCCCCCCAGTTATAAGTTGGTTTATAAGCCCCAGTAACTATAGTTATAAGATGTTATAAGTACCATAAACCATAGTTATTGGAGTTATTTGCACCAACTTAGATATCTTGGGGGCCTCACATTAAGTAGGAATATTCACTAGCGAAGCAGTATAGTTGAATGGGACAGGGTATATCTTTTCATCGTGTTATCGGGGGGAACACCACCGAAATCCATTGATTTTGATTCATCATCATCCCTGTTGAAATTGAGGCCTATATATATATATATATACACCTTTTTGTCATATTTTTAGGCTATACCCAACATGTCGCAGGGTTTTTCAAAGATCAGTGGCCAAATTGGCGGTGAGTTGTCATTGAGCATGGAGCTATTGCCAAGATCAATCAAATTGACGACAAGGTGGATGGTCCCAGTCGTGATGTGAATGCTGGTTTATAACTCCAATACCTATGGTTTTTGTTGGTGATATATCTACAGTTAATGTGATTATTATAAATTATAAGCCAACTTATAAGTTGGTCTATAATCCCCATGAAGCTATAGATATAACCCCCATTCATCAACCCAAACGTGAGTCATTGGACTTATAACCGCACCAACTTAGCGATTCCGAACTGGGGCACCACCTTGTAGATGTTGGAAAATGTTGGAAACCGAAGCCAAGAAATTCAAGTGGCATTTATAGTTGACTAACGTTGACTAATGTTGACTAAATCGAAATCACAATTTCTACACATTCTGCTTCATAAGTGAGTGGCTATACTGTTTACTATCAGTTTGACTGGAAGATAGGAATCTCACCAACGAAAAAGCTAAGTCCATAATTTTGTTCGCTCTGATTTATGATCAATTCTCATTAGTTTTGCTTAAATGAACATGTGGCATACCCTCAAAACTGGCGACTCTATGTATGTATGTATTCAATGGGAAACTATGATTAACCAGTGGATGGAGAGGGGTAGCCTATTTTCAAACAACACTCAAATCAGAATTCATCTTAGTGTGTGATTTCCCAAATTTCCTCGTGATTTACCAATTTTTCTTAGTGAAAATCACGATGTTTCTATAGTTCCCCCCTTGCCCTTGCTGCTCGTTTTTCCTTGTTTCTCGCAGGCCGGCCGTGGAAAGAAACGTCAGCGCGAAGAGGCCCACAGCGTTTTTTCTGGAGGACATGTGAGTCATGAAAAATTCCCTGATTGATAGGTCAATTAATATATAGGGAGTTCTGAGTTCTAGTAATTTCTTGGAGGGAGCTACTTTGGGGGTGCAGTTGAAGTTACTTTCATGTTTATCAGCCCCACAAGTTGGTACAAATTTATTTGTTGTTTTTTGTTCCCAATGATTTCCACATGCATTCGCATGTTCAGTGGGTAAATCCATATGTTTCTTGGTTAAATCATGTTTATTTCAACATGAATTCTCGATTTCTTGTCCACTGTTGAGTGAGAAATTCCATGACATTTTCCATTGATTGTCACCCGTTCCCCATTTTTCAATAGGTAAATTCCCACGTTTTCCCGCTAAAACGTCCGTGTTTTTTTTCTTGAGGCTGAAGCATCGCAGCCAGAGTCGGTGGAGGAGGTGTGGCAAAGAAGTCTGAATGTTAAACGCAATAATGATGTGGGTTATATGTAGATATATGACTATATGAATTATAAATGGATTATAGTGGATTATATGATTATATATGATTATTAGTTTTTGGGATTATATGGATTATATATAGACTATTAAGAATTATAGTGAATTAAATTATAGTGGATTATAACCATAGGATTAGTCTATATGGTGTCAATAGTGATTATATGGATTATATATATGATTATATACTACTTTGTCAATTATAGTGGATATATATATATGAATATATATATATATATTGATATTGAGAATATTGTTGTATGGGTAATATTTCAGATTTACAGTGGGTTTTATTGGATATATATATATACATACATATGGATTATATTATTGTATGGGTTATTTTGTATTGGATTATATTGGTTATATATGGATTATATTTTTGGATGAGTGGATACTAGTGGCTTAGAAACCATCTGGAATCCAATTATTACAAACCATTCGTTTCTAAGGCCATATAAAAGTTATAACGTCTGAGTAAGTCATCTGGATTATAAACCACTTACTAAGTGGGATGCACATCCAAGTTGTGAAATGGAATATCATGGAATATCATGGGAATATCGTTGGGTAAACAACGGGATGATCATTTTGGTTTTTCAAAGGAAAGAATGGGGACATGGAATAAGAAGTGGTATAAAATGGTGATGTGAAGTGATATAATGGAACATATGATGTAATGGGTATAGACTGGGATAGACATAACATTGCATAGCTGGTTTATAACTATATATCATGAGCCGTTCAAAGCGATGAACTATGTTTAAGGACAGAAAGGGGAACTGGAATATCATGGTGATATAATCTGATATAGCCACCCAATTTTTGACTAATGTAGTCACCCAAAATGAATAAACTGATGTAGTATAATCAATGTATATAATAAACCCAATCATATCCTCTGGTAAACATAGAAAAAGCTATGGAAAACCATCATGCCATTAATGGGTAAATCAACTATTTCTATGGCCATTTTCAGTAGCAAACTGTTAGTTTACCAGAGGGTAACCCATCTCCCAAAAATCACCATTTACCCTCTGGTAAACTAACATTTTGCTATGGAAAATTACCATTTTCAATGGGTAAATCCATTATTTCTATGGCCATTTTCAATAGCAAACTGTTAGTCATTACCAGAGGCTAAATCCCATAAAACATCCCATGAAATCACCATTTAGTTTTTTGATTTACCCATTTTTTAAATGATGGTTTTCCAGTTCGCAAACTGTTAGTTCGTTTACCAGGCCGGGTACCACGGTTGTATAAACCATCCCCACATGGATGATGTCATGGCAATCAGAAGTTTAACATCGTTTTTTGTAGGGAATCACATGTTTTTTGTTAATCCAAATATTGGAGTGTTAACTTAAACACATGCTTGATGATTCTTGAGATTGCTGCTTCACTTCGATTTGGATTTGTCTGAAAAGGACAATGGTGAACAGATTATAGGAAGGGGCTTTGCAGAATCAATGGTTAGTGGAAATTAAAGATGGATTTATCTGGTTCAAACAGTAAGTTTCACGATGGCTTGTGCATCCCCAATTTTTCCGACAAACCCATGGCTTGGTTTCTGGAGTTGTTCAGAAAGGGTCCTCCAAGTTTCATAGGTTTTCACCTTTACACATGGCTTAGTTTGAATGGTTCAAGCCATGGGACAACATGGAACTAGGGCCACTGGTGGATTTATGGTAGACATAATCAGCTAGATGGGGTTATGAGCCTTATAGCTAGGTGGGGGTTCTGGAGTTTGTTTGTCCTGGCAAGCTGAACTTTAATATATGTTGTGCAGGTCGTACTGGATTTGCCATGCATTCATATGCATTCCCATGCTATTTGCATGCTTCTGCAGCTTCACATGTTGTTTGAACTTCTATTGTTAGTTCCATTTGTTTCTAGAAGTTTTTGGTGTTTTTGTGGTTCATTGTTTCAGAACTGCCGTGTTAAGGTTATATAAGTATAATATATGTGTTGAGGCTTAGAACCGTGTTTAAGTACGTGTTTTTGCATGTCTTTGCCGATGTGTCAGCATGTTTTACCCCGCAAAAAAAAAATGTAATGTTTTTTGTCAGTTGGCATTGTTCGGGTCAGCCTTGTTAACAATCATTCCAAATTACCTTTGTTCTGTTGATCGAATCAACATTTTATCCAAATAATGGTGCCCGTATGCTCCAAGTATGGTATATTTACCTACATTAGGGTGATTTTTAGGGTAAATGTTGGTAGATATTCCAGCACCATGGTTCGCATATGGGGTGGTTAAATGTCTAGTCTATACGGCCAAGGGTCATCTATCCGGTTGCAGAATTGGATTGCTGAGCACCGGGTGTTGTTCCATTGGGCGCCAAAGATGGCGGAAATGGCACCAAAATTGGGATTTTCCTGTGGCAAAGCAAGCAACACACTATCTATTATTCAATGGGCCACCACACTATCTTAATAAATATCAATACATGTCCCATTGAATGATTAAGCCACCCGTTTTCATGTTTACATTTTTGCATAATTACACGAAATGAAATTCAACAAAGAGCCTGTCCGCGCCAGGGCATCATGAAGGGTCGATATGAGTCCTTGAAGACATTGGTGGGACGCTGCTTTGCGAAGCTTGACTGCATATTTCGGATTGTTTGAAGCAGCGCTTGTTGGAATTAACTTCTGAGGGTTTCATAGCAAACAAAGCCGAGAGATGATACAGAACTTGTTAGAATAATTTATATAAGAACAACAATGAAGTTCTGATATTTATTGCACTGCCGCACACAAACCGGAGACATACAGGAAACAAGAAGGAACTTTACCTGGCAAAACTTGATACCATCTGGTTATTTAACATAGCCATGGAAAATGGCCCATTTATAGATGATTTTCCCAGCTATAAACCTCCATTTATTTACGGGATTTTCCATGGCTATGCTAGTCATAACCAGATGGTATCACCTGTCATTTTGTTGAAGGTTTTTTTCCCACGAAATCCACTAGAGGCCAGGGTGAGAATCCCACGTCGTGTTTTGCATAACTTCCTGCAACTTTGGACCAAGACTTTGAAGGTCTACTTTTGATCCACTCGGGCCATTTGAAATACCATTGCTGCTGGGTTTTTAGAGCCGTTGTTATACTACTCGTACCTGGGTTTATAGGGAAATTCTTGCGACCCAGTACTGGATGGTAGCATATGGTAGCTATAGCAGCTATAGAACTGGACCAGTGCCACTTTTGTCAAACTATCACCCCCCAACAGGCACTGTTTGCAGGGCAGTTGTAACCATGGTCGCCGCACTAGTGACATTTGAGTGAGATCTTTGCAGCTTGAAAGCTATAGAAAAATCAATGGCCATTTCAGGAACCGATTGGATTGGAGGTACCTACCATATATAAGGTCTATTTTTGAGGGCTAAATTTCAGGGGATATACCCCCAAAATATGGTCAAACATATGGTACTAACGTACCTCCATCAATTGGATCCTGGAGATCTCCCATTGAAAAAATGGCACGTGTACATTAAATGGACCCCTAACTCTCCGGTGGTTGGGAGCGGTTGGGAGCCATGGCTACCCATATTCCCTAAACGGAAGCGAAGGAGCTACGAATTGAGTTTCCCAACCACCTGATAGATAATCTATAATATATATATATATATATCCCATAATATACTCTCATAATATAGATTTGTTATATAGGAAACAACCTGATTATCATGATTGTTTTGTTTCTCCTATAATAATCTACAATATATATATATATCCCATATGTCTTTCTCCATGTTTACCAAAACACATTTATCCAAATATTCCAATTGTTGGACAAGGCCAACAGGTTGAAATCCCAATGTTTTCTGCAGTAAATCTACGAGCACCAATTGTTTGAATGGTAAAACCATCATTCTCCCAATGTTGCTGGTGGATTGATTTCCGCAAAAAAAAACATTCTATCTCCATGATGTTTAGTTTTACCATGTTCTACCTATAAAGGTGAGATTATATACTACAAAGTGGTTTCTCCAGTGAAATGTGTTTTGGTTTAGTTTCACTCCATGAACTCTATATATCTTATACAATGTAGCCCCCTAGTTATAAGTTGGTTTAACAACCCCATGAATACTATAGTGATACAACCATCGTTATGGGAGTTATGTCACCTCTGTTCACCAACCAATCGCAATTTCGTCACCACGGGGGCCCCACTTTGTACATATTGTTTGTTTTCGTATTCCTCAGAAATATATATATATATATAGACATGCGTCTATATATACACATATATAGACATATATATAATTATTTATATTTGCAGTACTATATACACATATTAAATCTACTCTAAACCGTAGATTTCCCATTGACTCATTGATGTCATGGTCAATTCGAGGAAGCAACGCCTGCCTTCCATTGGACGGATGGATCTGCTCGCCATGGTGGCCTGGACGGAAGCGGATTGTGTAGATAGATAAATCACTATGGTTCGTCGTAACGATTGATGGTAGTTAATGATGGTTAATACATGATGGTTCTAATGATGGTTAATGATAGTTAATGATGGTTAATGATAGTTAATGATGGTTAATGATAGTTGATGATGGTTAATGATAGTTAATGATGGTTAATGATGAGTTAATGATGATGATGTTAATGATAGTTGATGATGGTTAATGATAGTTGATGATGGTTAATGATAGTTGATGATGGTTAATGATAGTTGATGATGGTTAATGATAGTTGATGATGGTTAATGATAGTTGATGATGGTTAATGATAGTTAATGATGGTTAATGATAGTTGATGATGGTTAATGATAGTTGATGATGGTTAATGATAGTTGATGATGGTTAATGATAGTTGATGATGGTTAATGATAGTTGATGATGGTTAATGATAGTTGATGATGGTTAATGATATAGTTGATGATGGTTAATGGTAGTTGATGATGGTTAATGCTAGTTGATGATGGTTAATGATAGTTGATGATGGCTAATGATAGTTGATGATGGTTAATGATAGTTGATGATGGCTAATGATAGTTGATGATGGTTAATGGTAGTTGATGATGGTTAATGATAGTTGATGATGGTTAATGATAGTTGATGATGGTTAATGATAGTTGATGATGGTTAATGATAGTTGATGATGGTTAATGATAGTTGATGATGGTTAATGATAGTTGATGATGGTTAATGGTAGTTGATGATGGTTAATGATAGTTGATGATGGTTAATGATAGTTGATGATGGTTAATGATAGTTGATGATGGTTAATGATAGTTGATGATGGTTAATGATAGTTGATGATGGTTAATGATAGTTGATGATGGTTAATGATAGTTGATGATGGTTAATGATAGTTGATGATGGTTAATGATAGTTGATGATGGTTAATGATAGTTGATGATGGTGAATGATAGTTGATGATGGTGAATGATAGTTGATGATGGTTAATGATAGTTGATGATGGTTAATGATAGTTGATGATGGTTAATGATAGTTGATGATGGTTAATGATAGTTGATGATGGTTAATGATAGTTGATGATGGTTAATGATAGTTGATGATGGTTAATGATAGTTAATGATGGTGAATGATAGTTCATGATGGTGAATGATAGTTCATGATGGTATTATATCTTAAATGATATGGAGAACTGGGATTTTGATGGTAATTTATGGTGATTCAATGGGATTTTGTGGTTAATAAATGATGGTTTTAATGATGGTGAATGATGGCTTTAATGATGGTTAATGTGGGAATAACTATAAAGATAAATCACCCATGACTTGGAATGGTAGACATACCACCTACAAAAATGGTTATTTTTCTCCACATGCAATGAATATTAATGTATATCTTCAATGTTATGGAGAAATGGGATTTTAATGGTAATTGATGGTGATTTAATAGGATTTTGTAGGATGTAATATTACCCTCTGGTAATTTGTTACATAGCTATTGGAAATGGCACCTTTATAGTTGATTTACCTATCAAACATGGTGATTTTCCATGGCTATGTTAGCTTACCAGAGGGGATATCTTCAATGATATGCACAAAAAAAAACTGGAAGTTAAACTGTTATGTATCCTCGTTTTTTTTTCCCGGAGCAAGATTGTTAATGTTGAAGAGTGGGCAAATGTCCTTTTTTGACCCACATAAATATATATATATATAGGTAAATTATAACGACCTCACTGCGACCTTACTGGAATCATGGTTAATAAGGGAAATCATCCCAAAATGGCCTTAATTCAGGTTAGTGAAATATTATAATTTACCCATATATATATATATATATATATCCAGTCATAAATGAACTTGCCAAACTACTGGGCACCACTTAACTGTGTCAAAACTCACCTTCAAAGAAGTGAACACCTCTGGGACCATCAAAACCCTGTTGCTGGGATATGACTGCAAAGTGGGGCCCATTGGTGTGGCCACGATTGGTTGCGAGCAAGGTTGGTGAACAGTTCACTCCAAGAACAATGGTTTATGATACTTAGAGCTGAAGTATGCCAATGGGGTCTATAATAAACATATAAACCAACTTATAACTAGCCCCACATTGTGGCAACCGAGGTTGCCCCTGTTGGATACAAATTTCAGGTTGACCCTCTGAAAGAGGGGTTTGAAAGCCTACAAAGTGGGGCCCCAAAACGATAGCTAAGTTGGTTTATAACTTCAATAACTATGGTTTATGGTACCTATAACTATAGTATTCATGGGGTTTATAACCCATCTTATAACTGGGGGGCCCCACATTGTACTTTCCTCTGTTACTCGGTGATTCTCAGGGTCTATGTTATTGGGGGGATCGTATATTGGACAGTTATATAAATTTATATATATAGTAAGTATTTAACCGCACTTCTTTTGTCCGTTTGATCTCCTGTTTCTTCTGGAGGTTGAATGTCTGAATCACCAACTTTTGATTGAACTACCACTTCTTGAGACCTTAACTCTCTTAAAATCACCATTGATCCTAGTTTAACATACAGAAATGGGTTGGAAACAACAGAAAACCACATCACCATGTGTTGAATGTATTTATTGCTCCCATCTTCATTTTCTCCCATGTTACGAGAACGTCAAGTACCAACGTTTTTCAAGTACCCAGATGTCAGACTTGTTTCCGGTCCTAGCCTTCCTTTTGACTTTTGGTGTGGATTGTATCGGTGGGTAAACACAAAAAACTATCCCATTGAGTTCACCCACCAGTAGATAAAACAGGCAACGTAGGAAGCCATCGAAAAAAAAAAAACTGTTCGAGTCTGAAATTGGTGTTTTTTATCATATTATTTTGCCATGTGTTTCTCCAATGTTTAGCACATGTTCCCGTATGTCACATGCCTGGGTAAACTTTGGAGGGATACTTTACTACTTTTGTCCTTCATTTGCTTTACATAGATATCAATAGGTTAACCGACTAACCTAGACTAACCAGCTTTGAAAGAAACCCAGAGTACAGTACCCTCCGGAGTCATCAAACGTGGCTGGAGAATTCTTCGATTTCCTGTTCCCTATGATTTTCCTCTGTATGATTTTCCCATGAAAAAATATCTATCCATTTGCCCAAAGGATTTTCCCCATATTTTCCCATGATTTGTCCCTTAAAACCAATGGGTATTCCAGGATCCTAAAATGGAGGTACGTTAGTACCATATAAAGCCATATTTTGTGGGGATATTCCCTGAAATTTAGGCCTCAAAAAAATGGTAGGTACCTCCAATGAATCGGTTCCTGTTGCATGGCCATTGATGGTTGGTTTCCATTCTTTGTCCCCAAAAAAAACCAGAAAAAAAAAGGTAGGGAGATTCCGATCCCCAGATATTTCCCATGGATTTCCCCCATATTTTCCCATGGATTTTGTCCCTTAAAACAACCCATGGGAAAAATCATGGACTTCCCCGGGCCAACATCCCAGGTGAACGGCGACTTGGCGCCGGGCGAGCCCGACTTCACGGAAGCCGAGCTGGATGCGGGGCTCGCAAAGTGGGGTTTCTCAGCGTGGAATTTCTCAACCCTAAAAGTTGGGATAACTTTATAGTTACTGTATATTTTTACATATATATATATATACATATGTATATATATATGTATATATATATATGTATATATATATATATGTATTACTATAGTTATATTTTATAACTATGTAATTATATGGTGTAATTATAATGTTTTATATATATATATATATCACGTTTGTTTACCAAGCACAGTACCAAGCCATGGTGATCAACCACTATGGGGAGGTAATCGGTGAGGACTTCGTACACCGAAGATAGCTCAGTTTGTGGTGGCAAAGAATTCAATGTGACAGGCCGCAGCACGGAGCTCCTGAGTGCCTCATGGAAAAAAATATCACGTTTGTTGCTGGAACTGCACATCCAAGTTTTCGCCTGGAGGATGAAGTGGGATGCATCCGGCATGGAATACCATCCGGTCAACTGACATAGGGAAAATTGTCCATTTAGAGAAGATGATTTATTAATTAACAAAGGTAATGTTCAAAAATTGAATTCTAATGGTATTGTTGTTGTACATGATGGTCCCTTTATGTGGGTTTGATGAGGTGTTTTTTTCTCATAGACACAAGTCATCTGGAAATGTGGTCGGGTGGTTCACTCAGCCCTGATGGATCCTGATGGCCCATCCGATTCAGCGTCCGATTCAATCATCCACACATTGTATTTTGGGGTTGGTCAAGACCGTGCCAAAACAACGTTTCAACGAACTATGAAAAGGGCCTCAAAAGGCTTACCCTCTGGTTATTTAACATAGCCGTGGGAAATGGCCCATATATAGATGGTTTACCTATTAATAGCATGGTGATTTTCCATGGCTATTAAAAACGTAATGAAATCCCCAAAAAAACTGCTGGTAAACCTGGCATTTCTCTTGATGCAATGCCCATTGGGTTTTGCCGAGTTTCTGCTGGTCCAAGTTGCCCTTTTTTTCGTCACAGGATGGAGTCTGCCAACAAGATCATGATCGATGAAACCGGCGATGAGGCCTTGAACCAATGGGCATATCATGGGGCTTCCAGTTGCGTTAGTTGGTTTATTGCACCATTAAGATCCATTAACAAAAAACGTACTGCAACGATAGTTGTTAGTTACAGAAGTTATAAGAATAAATCATGAACTATATAAACTAGTATTTATAAGTTCCATGAGCCTTCATTGGAGTTGTAAACCAACCTAGGTATCGTTTGGGGGCTGCGTTAATGCTGTTTAACAATTGAAAGTACCATACAACTACTAAGAGTATCAAATTGTTTTAGTTAGATAGTTTGACAGTGAAAAGTAATAAATGGTACATGAGCAAAGTAACTACTTATTAGATCTTATTAGAACTGTAGTACAATCAACTCTGCTATAAGCTAATATCACAGAGATATGTACAACGTGAACCGCGCATCGATAACGAAGTTGGTGAACATCACTCCAATATCTATGGTTTAAGGTACTTATACGAACTGGAAAACAGGTTGAAGATGTTGAAACATCAAGGTCGGGATATCCAAGAATATGTTCCCAAGCCTTATACTAAGTCCAGTATATGGGAGTGTCCATAAATAGGGGGTAACGCATCTCCAATAGCTGGAAGGTTTATGTCATGGAAATTCCCAATCTAAAATGGATGATAACTTGGGGTACCCCCATAGGAAACCTCCATATGGTTGTAACATGCTGACCCAGTGACAAGACAACTGTGGAGAATTTGTTGCAAGGGACATGGAGCACTTGTGATTGATGATCTACGGAGTGGGATGATGCGAAAACGGAAGCATAGGATTATTTATGGATTTGCCATTAGTGGAGCAAAGGACTTTCCGCTCTTCCATGATATATGGATAAACTTTCGTTCTACTTAGTCTACTTTACAGCTCAGATGTGTTTAGTGTGTTTTTGTCCCAAGTGTTGGATAGCAAAGAAAGTGGATAGCTGGATGTGCATCCCTGTCACTTGGGTGGTAGTAGGACCCATCTATTACCCTCTGGTAAACAAACAAACAGTTTGCAAACTTGAACATGGCCCAGTCGAAAGTTCGTTGATTTACCCAGCTATAAAATGGTGGATCTTTCCATACCCATAGGATCCATGTATGCTATATATGGTAACATTTACCATCAATATACCCCCAATGTCAGTATATATACCAGCACCATGGATCCTATGGGATAGTTTTCTGTATGTTTACCAGGCCGGGGACCCTGCTTCTTTCTGAAAACCACTCAGGAATTGGCGAATTGCGGGACCAGATGTTCAACCTCCAAACGGATCAGTTTTTCATCTGGTTGGTGACTGGAATCCCATGGCTTTTTAATGGGATTTAATATGATTTAACGGTGTTTTTAATGGGATATCATGGGATATAATAATCAATAATGGAACCATGGAATTTTGAATGACTTTCCATATCTTGGGAAGAAAGATCCCAACTGACGAACTCCATGATTTTTCAGAGGGGTAGGGGTTAAAACCACCAACCAGTCATTTTTCTTGCCACTTTTTTAAAAAACGAGAGCAATGAACATGAACCACGGAAACATGAAACTTCCTTGAAAGTGGTGATTTCTTCCACCCTTCTTCCGGATATCCCATTTTGCCCGGCACTGGCCGGGCCATCACCACATGTCACCATCAGCGTTCCGCGCGTCAGGTGATTTTTGTGGGTTGAGCCGTGGTTCGAGGCGCGTTTGTTCCCAGGTAGATTTGGTAGGTGAAGCAGTTGCTTGTGGCTGCGAAACACCTCTGGCAGGGTCGATATAATTGATCTGGTTGGTGGTTTCAAACACTTTGTATTTTCCATAATATAAATAATATATGGGATCATCCTTCCCATTGACTTTCATATTTTTCAGAGGGATTGAAACCACCAACCAGTGATAATTGGTTTTGGGGTTAGTTTATCTAATATTCCGTGGGGACTATCATCAGCCCTGAGCTGGGAATTTCGTTCTAAACGATGGAATGAGATTGGGGATGTTGAACACTGCTCACTTGCTAGCTGATGTTATCTCATTTCTCGTTGGACCAGCACTACTTACAGTATCCCCCTCTGGCAAGCATGGCAACAGACATGTTTGCCAGTTGTAGATGACTTGGTTGTATCCCTTTATATTTTATGGGGCATTTACACATATTTGAGTGGGACTACATTGCTACTTGACTTTGACACCATTGTTTATAAACGTGAATGGCAAAGTGGATGTGTTTTCCACTGAAATGGCTATATTACGGCTATATCATCTGGTTGGTGGTTTGGAACATTTGGATTATTTTTCCATCTTGGGAAGAATAATCCCATTTGACTTTTACATGTTTCAGAAGGGGTAGGTCAACCACCAAGCAGTTTATCAAAAGACTGTTGGTTTCACCAGCCAACACACCTTGGGATGATGAAATTGATGAGTGAAACCTTGGAAGTTTCACAGATTCAACTGTGATGTGCAAATCCAACAATTATTGTAGTTCTGAAGCAACAGAAACCTAGGATTCTTATGTTGTTTATATAGATTTTTTTCATGTTCGGTGAATCTAGCTGTAAACCTCTTTTTGATCTAGTTAAACCAGGGGTTGGTAACTGTCCCATTTTGGGTATATTGGACATCACCTTATAGTAGCCAGTATAGACCATATACCTAATGGTTGGGTGATGTTCAATGGGGACATTTAATGACCCATGTAAACCAACTTATAGAAGCCATGCTTCGCGGGGCACTTACCGGGTAGGATAAACCATGCCATTCGGATCCTGGAGATCCCATGCTATGGTGATGACCATGGGGCCATGGGATTCCCGGAGATTCCAAGCCATAGGATCCATGGTGCTGCCATATATGGTAACATTTACCATTACCCTCTGGTAATTCAACATAGCTATTGAAAATGGCCATTTATAGTGGATTTTCCCATTAAAAATGGTGATTTTCCATAGTTATGTTAAATTACCAGAGGGTAGTATACCCCAAATGTTAGCATATATACCAGCACCATGGATCCTATGGGCAATGGAAAAAATGGGAGATTTTTCACGACCAAACATGGAAGACTTGGGTGAGAAAAAGGGGACGATCTGATTTGATGATTTGAGGCATCTATTTAGATGCGTAGGACTGGGTGCTGAGTACCATGACTCCTTCGTTCAACAGCATGTTGCATGCTACTGACCTACATGTCCTCCGGTAATCATGGCAATGGCAATGGAAAATCACCCAGATTTTCTAATTGAGCCATTAAAAATATCCCTATCCCATCTCATTATACTAGTTGGTTGATAGGTTTCCCTACTATGGGTTATCATAATCCCCAGTAAACCAGGTAGTATAATCCCCTATAACAATCAATTAACCAGGGTATTTTTAATGGCTCAATTTGAATGCCCATTGATATCCATTTATCAGGGAGTTCCCATTGCCATGTTCAATGACACCGGAAGATAATATCTATCATATGCCCATGAATATCGGCTGATAAGCCCAATTGTCCTATGAAATTGGTGGTTGTATCACTCTGAAATCCCATGATAATCCCATTAAACCATATTAAACCCCTATAATCCGCTGATATCCCCATTGGAATCACATGAAAACCTCACTAAATCACCACTTTTGTTGCTTGCATAAGGTGGCAGGTAGCGTCGCACTCCCTGGGAGTGAGTGCAGCGCTGTTTCACCTGCGGACGTGTTTTTTTTTGGCGCGAGTTGTGATGTCGATGATGCTACACTCAACATGATGATGGGGATTTCATAGCATTTCCAAGACTTACTGAAGAAGGGTGAGAAACTGGTTCTACACTCAGGGAATATCACTGTCACGATCTGTTACGTTTGATTGACTTGTTTCCCACGGCGTATCGCGGCGTAGATTTCCGATGTTTTTTTTGCCGTCGTCGCCGACAACAGACCCCGATATAGGCACCTGTGCCGGCGCCCCGGGTGGTTTCGAAACGAACGTTACTCGAACGTCTCATTTGCTGCGGGGAATGTTTCAGTCTGAAACATGTGCAGCAGATTCTTCCTCCCTTTGGGGGGATCTTAGGGGTGACCAGGTCAGAAGTTGGTGCGGTGAGAACCAGGGGACCAGGGAGCTACGCAGAAGATGTTGACATGTAAGAATCATGAGTTGGAAGTGCACAAGAAAGACCTGGTTGTGGAGGTCAGCACTTTAATAAAGTTTCCAGCTGTCATTTTTTTGGAACAATGTTCCAGCAACTATTAATGAATAGAGGCTTCATCAAGAACAGGAAAATCCATGAAAATCCAACGTTTTCCACATCTTTATTTACTAGAAGGGAACTTTATTACAGGGGTGTCCACGCCTAACCATGTGCAGAGCCCATGTAGCTGACATTCTTCATTTGCACCCATTCGATTTGGTCGGATGCCGACTATATATAATTAAGATATATTATGATCCTGTAGTAGATTGAGCATGCTTGTTTTCCGAATATGTTCATTGGAGTGAGTTTTTGGTGAACAAACAAAACATTTCTATCTACTCCAGGACCGAAAAACATGGTTAAACTTCGGCACCCCAAAACGCCAGTGACAAAGACTAAACATTGACCAAGGTTTTAGAATTTCATGGCGATTTATATGTATCTATAATGGGATTCAATGGGATTACATACATCCTTTGGGCCCGAGTTTTTTTTGTTTAGTAGACCCATTGTCAATGGCTTACCCTTTGGTAAACTAACATAGCTATGGAAAATCATCACTTTAAGAGATAAATCAACTATAAAGGTGGTGCCATTCTCAATGGTTATGAAACTGTAAAGGGTACACAGTAGGTTGCATTCAACAGCTCAGACTGCTGTGCCAACTTTTGAAAGCGGTGACGACCATCGTCTTTCGGACCTGACCTGTCGCGTTATCACTCGGAAAAAAGAAGAGCTACGGCGGGTGCAGGGGTCATATTGTGGGGACTCACTTACCATCTGGTTATTTAACAGTTCGCCATGGAAAATCACCATGCTATTAATAAGGTAAAGCATCTATTTCTATGGGCCATCTATACCATGGCTATGTTAAATAACCAGAGGGTAAATGAAATTGGATTGCTGGGTTTTGAAATTCATTACATTGATGGATGGTTTGATGGTTGGATGGATGGGGGATGGATGGGGACTCACAAAAAACGAATGGATGTGTAATGATGTGGTTTGTATTACAATCAAAACTGGGTCAAAATGATGAGGGAATTACTTGATAAAACTTGTTTACATTAAACACCAGTCAAATCTGCTACAACATTGAGGGAAAGAAATACCTCGGTTGCGAAGAAACTTGTTTGAGGAACCGCGATCATTGGCAGCCTTCACCTTCAACACATGGTCCCTTCTTGGAGGATCATATGAGCTAGTGACTAGTGGTTGGTTGATGACCCTGCTTAGTAATCTCTCGACATCTCTCGACTCTTTGGGCTGCTGCCTATATGCGGTATATGCTTGTTCTGAAAGCGCATGATTCGTATCGAATGTATCGATTGGCTTTAAATCAGATAAATCAGTGATCATAAAAACCAGGTTTTTCAACATGGTGAAATCCCCAACCAAAAAAACACCTTTCTGTTGCTTAAATCCCATTGAATCCCTGTTTTTTAAAGGTGAACCCTCAAGAATCCCATTGGTTCTTACGTTTGGTGGTACCAACCGTGATGTGAATGTTGGTTTATCCCCATGACTAGTCCGATATAACCCCCCCAAAGAAATCCAAGCGTGAAATTGGAGATAAAAACGCAGCAACTGAACGCGATTTTGCGAACACTGGGGCCCCAGCGATAGTATGATAGTACCATCTCTTCACCATCCATCTCTGGTTGGTGGTTTGGAACATGAATTATATTTTCCATATTTTGGGAACAATAATCACATTTGATCAATGGCCATTTCAGGAACCTAAATTGCAGGTATCTACCATATATAAGGCCTATTTGTTAGGCCTAATTTTCAGGGAATATCCCCACAAAATATGGCCTTATATGGTACTAACGTACCTCCATTTTAGGATCCTGAAATTTTAATAGGTTTTAACATCATAAACCAACTATTTCTATGGGAAAATCAACTATTTAACTATGGCTTTCCATATTTTGGGAACAATAATCCCATTTGACGAACTCCATCATTTTTCAGAGGGGTAGGGTTAAAACCACCAACCAGATCTGCTTATGCACCGAGGTCCAGGCGAAGAACCGGCGCAACGTGGAAGTGCTCTACGAATACCTCATGCATCGTCTATATGTGCCGTGTTTTTTTCCATGGTTAAAACGGTTGGTTGGGAAAATGTCTGGGGATATGGTTGATACAATTTAATGAGACAATAGTGATCTATTCATAGATTGTCTATGAAATGACCTATGAGTAGGAGATTTAACATGATTTAACATGATTTAAGCACTAACACTGGTCAAGTTAATTGGATTCAACCATCAAGATGGTGAAACATATGGATATATATATATACATATGAATATATATATTATATATATATATACACATATGGTATATGGGGGTATCTTGGGAATCTGTTGGGGATATAAAACAGGGAGGTGTAAATGAGGATGACCAATAAACATTCGAATGTCGGACAAAAATGGTCCCAAAGATGTGGATTCATCACTAGTTCCCACAGCAAAAAGGAAGGGGGCTGTTCAGTATTGGGGGGAAGGGATGATATGCAAGGTGGTGCCGCCATAGTGATGTTAGTTGGTTTTTAATCCCCATTAACTATAGATATAACCCCATAAACCCTAGTGAAATTGGACTTATAAACCAACTTAGCTAACTATGGGGCACCACCTTGTGCAGTTGCCAAAAAACGGCTATAATAGAGAAAATTCCCCCAATTGGTAAAACTGGTTTGTGAATCCTGAAATCTTGGAATTGACATCAATGGCTATATTGGAATTATATTGGAATTAATGTGATAACATCTAGCCTCCGGTAATCAAACATGGCAATGGACAATCCTTTAACTGGTTGGTGGTTTGGAACAAGTTCTATGTTTCCATATATTGGGAATTTTATAATCCCAACTGACGTTCACTCATTTTTTTTCAGAGGGGTTCAAACCACCAACCAGGTATACAGATATGAAGATTATTATAATCCACAATTTTTCAGGGCTCCACTATTTTAGGATCCTGAAATCCCCATTGTTCATGGACAATCCTTCAACCAATGCTTGTTTTTTTTTATAATCCCAACTGCATCAAGCGGTTTTGGCAGGCATTCGACTTCCACAGGTTAGGTTGTCAGAGTTCCAATGGCGACTTCCTGGCCACGTTCCTTGGGATAAGGTTGACTTTGACCGTTGGATCACTTCTCCTGATTTGGGTCCTCTCTTCGGTGCAAACCCGGCACATGTGGGTCGTGTCGGATTGTCCAATGTTCATGACGGACAGTCGTCCAGGTCTAGTCAATCCACCACCTTGGACTTTCATAGGTGGAGTCAAGCCTTTGAGAAGCAAGTCACACAGTGCCTCCCTCACGCTGTGGGGCGGGCAGATCGGAGTTTTCATGGCCGCGGTAAAGTGACCAAACCAGCCATACGGCAAATCAATGCACCCATCCCCAAGCACCACCGACCCGGTGAGTTGGCTCAAGCTTCCGGTTTTCTCAATCGAGCTGTTGCAGCATGGTACAAGCAGCTTCGACGGCTCCAATCCTTTTGCCATGCTGCCAAGTCCTTGCGTGCCAGCGAGACCTATGAGTCCAGAATGGCCTTGTGGAATAGCATTCTTGTGGCTTCAGGTTTTGCAGGAGGTTTCCAAAAGTGGTGGCAAACTCGACCTTACCCTCACCAAGGTTCTCCTAGCGTTTTGCCCCCTTTGCCACCTGACCAGTTTGTGGCTCAGCTCATTTTTGATGATTTTGCCCAAAACTACCGACGTTTTGAGCATTGGCAGATGAATAGGAGGAAAGAAAGCTGTCACTCCAAGCTTCTTGCACAGACCAAAACTCTTTTTACCCATGTGCGCAAGCCACCAAAGCCTCCTTTGGATTTTCTGATAGATTCACATGAGCAGCAGCTCACAGTGGTCAGTACGGTTGATAACATCGTCCAAGTGCCTGTGCCTTTTCCAAAGGACACCACTGCCCATTGGACTTTGCAGGGCATGCCCGCCAGGGTGAAAGAAGTGCCACAAGGGTATCAAGTGGATTCCGACTTTGCACTTGCAACAGGCCAGACTTTAACTTGTCATCAGATGGTAACGAGCACCGAGGTAATCCATGACCGTTTGCACAGTTTGTGGTCACCCAGGTGGAACAAGCATGCGGATGTCCCCAGCCACTTTTGGGATCAAGTTTGTCAGCATGCGGCCAACACTCTACCACAAGGGCAAATCATTCTGCCACCCATTACTGTTCAAGATTTCCGCACTGCCGCCAAGGGCTTCAAGCCAACTGCTGCGACAGGGCCTTGCGGATGGACCAGGGCCGATATTAACCATTTGACAGATTCGCAGATCACTGCAATTCTTGATGGTTTCCATGCCATTGAGCATGGCCAGGCTTGGCCAAAACAGTGGTGTGTTGGACTTATCCATTGCCTGCAGAAACGCGATACAAGTACTGCAGTTGAAGGTTACAGGCCCATAACAGTCATGAGTCTTTTCTACCGGTTGCTCACTGGAATTCGAGCTGGGCAAATCCTTGCTCAACTCTCCTGCCAGGCTGCCAGTATGCAATGTGGCTTCATGCAAGGCAAAGAAGCGGCAGATGTTTGGTATTTCGT